GTGGTTCTATTTTAACGTTTGATAACCATTGTACAAAACCGTATTATTTCATGAATATTTTGTTTGTAGTCGTCGTGCATGACGTGGTCTATATTTTTAACCTCACTGCCCGGTCTTTTTTCTTTTCTTCGTTCCAACTATATTGTACAGCCATCCCCTATCTGCTCAGGGCAATGTCGTCTATCCGCAGAATCATCTTGACAGTCTCGGCCGCCAGCTCGATCGAGCTCGTGCTCACCAACAAGGGCTGCAGAACGTTCTCCTTGGCAATGTTGGTGTTGACACCACCCGACTTGATGCTGACACCCGCGTTCACCTCGCCCTTCTCATGACGGTGCCGCAGGTCGGTGACAACCTTGATAGGGTTCAGGCCGGCGTTCTCTGCCAGCGTCGTCGGAATCACCTCAAGCGACTCTGCAAACGCCTTCCAGCAGATGGCCTCCGTGCCCGTCAGCGCACGCGCCTGTTTGCTCAGCTGGGCGGCAATTTCAATCTCCGGTGCACCTCCACCGGCAATCAGCGCCTTCTTCTTGACCAGGCACCGCACCACGCACAGAGCGTCGTGCAGAGACCGCTCCGCCTCGTCGAGAATGAGGCTGTTGGCACCACGCACCACAACCGACACGGTGCGGCCTGTGATGCCAGCGGCGGCAGCAGCCGAACCGCTGGCTGACGCAGAGGACGACGACGAGCCCGACACCGAGCCATTGGCCGTGCCGGTGATCTTGACGAGACGCGAGCCCGAGGACGTGACCTCCTCAACCAGGTCGGCGCTGCCCAGCTTGTCCTCAGCGAACGAGTCGATGTCGGCAATGGGTTTGCAGCCGGTAGACTTGCAGATAAACTCGACCTCGTCACGCTCAATGTCCTTGATGGCAAGGATGCCAAGCTTGGCCAGGAAGTGCAGGGAGAGCTCGTTAACAGCGTCACGCAAAATGGACTTCTGGATCAAAAGGACATTGCACTTGGCCTTCTTGATCTTCTTGACCATATTCAGCAAGTACAAACGCTCCTCCTTGACGATCTTGTCCATCTGGCGGTAGTCGTTGACTGCGATTGTGTTTTCCATCTACTCTGTTAGCAAAATGTTCTATAAATTCAATGGGCCAAGGTCTGGCAAGAGTATGAGAGGGACTTGCATCTGGCTTGGGGGGCGACAGCTGGAATTGAACCAGGGCAATCTTGGCCTTCTCGATGCGGGTGGGGCCGCCGGCGTTCTTGAGCACGGGCTGCGTCAGGACGAGGCCATCGACCAGTTCGCTGTCCTCAATTGTGCCGCCGACCTTCTTGACGACACGGATGTTGCGCAGGTCAACGTTGTCGGCCGTCTTAAGGTCGATCGTCTTGGTGACGGCGTTGACGGCCATGGGACCGAGCAGGTTGGCGTACTGGGACACAATCTTCGACGACAGCGACGTGTTGGCGGCCTGCAGCAGCGCAGATGTGTCGGTTAGGGCCACGGGCTGCGACATGCCGTGCAGGATCTTGACAGCGGCCGCGGCCGCGCGCTGGAAAGACTCGGAGATGACAGAGGGGTGAATGCCCTTGGACAGCAGGCGGTCGGCGGCGCCGAGCAGGCTCCCGCAGATAACCACAACGGACGTCGTGCCGTCACCAGCCTCAACATCCTGTGCATGTGACAGCTGGACCAGCATTTTCGCGGTGGGGTGCAGTACGGCCATGCTCTTGAGCATGGTGCTACCGTCGTTGGTGATGATGGTTTCGCCCTTGCCGCTGCGAATCATTTTGTCCATGCCGCGAGGGCCGAGGGAGGTACGGATAGCATCGGCGACAGCTAAATAGTGACAGGAAAAACCATCAGGTCAGCATTGATCCCGCTCGGTCAAGGTAACTGCCGCGAACATCAAATAGGGGCAACCTGTCGCGGGGACGACATACCACGTGCGGCGACGATGTTGGCCGAGCGTACAGCCAACGGCTTCTCCTTGTCCTATACATATAGGTTAGAGGACAACTACTAGACGTGTTGTGCACACCAGAATGCTATCTGGGCCTGCGCCGGGGCCGGCTGTCGAAAAGGGGCCAGACTCACGCGAAAAGCAGCGTTTGATGGGCCTCCGCCCGACGGAGCCACTGCTGCCATGGTTTATATGCGACGGGTGTGTGAGTTGCAGGATGGAGTAGTTTATGTCGAAGGCGAAGATACCGTTGTAAAAGGTAAAAGTCGTGGAAATGCGAAACGTGAATGGTGGCAGCGAGTTAAGGGTTGTCGTCGCTTTGTAAACGCTGGTGCCTCGAAGCTTTTCTCTGCTTCTCCAAGCTTCCCTCATTCACCGTTTGGTGGGGCGCGGAAGGCACAAAAAAACTATCCTAAGGGGGGTAAACGGCACTTATCGCCTAATTGCATACTTACTGTTCAGGGGTGGTGCGCTGATGGTGAATTAGGACTAGCGCCAATGCCGCGCAGTTGTGGATTCTGCTGGAAACGGGCGGCAGAGCTCCCCAAGGCAGGCACGGATTACGCTGTTTGAGCAAGAGCGAATCGCCGCTGGCAACGCCTCAACTCGCTGCTTTCCGCGTTTGGCTTCCTGGGAGCACGTTCGCCAAACTTCATCATTACCAATACCAATTTACCACCAGAACGCCCCAACACCTCTTGACGACCTGGCCATCGATCCGCTGGAAGCCGATACTGTTGTTTTCAAAGACGAGAATACATCGAAACGAGTCTGTTTACTGAAGCTCAGCTCACCGTGAACACTCCTCAACCCAACTTCCCTCCTGCAACGAGCATCGCCATTGCGCATCCGCCAAGATGGTGAGTCTGCTCTCTGACGACCCGATTAGCTTTGCATACGCCTTGTGAATTTCGAAACACGCCTTGGACAGACCGGCTAATACCATGTGCAGCCTTCCGCAACCGGCAGGGACTGGGAGAAATACCAGAAGAAGTTTGCGGACGACGAGATCGAGGAGAAGAAGATTGCACCGTTGACAGATGAGTAAGTCCCGCAGCCAATCTACACAAAAAGAAACGAAATATAGAAGCGTCGGGAAGGGTTGGAGGCAGCAGATGCTAACGCGTGGCTTGTCTAGGGACATCCAGGTCCTCAAGACCTACGGAGCCGCCCCATATGGCGCGGCACTCAAGAAGCTCGAGCAGCAAATAAAGGAGAAGCAGCAGAGTGTGGACGAGAAGATTGGCGTCAAAGAGTCTGACACGGGTCTTGCCCCGCCACATCTGTGGGATGTCGCCGCAGACCGGCAACGCATGTCTGAAGAGCAGCCGCTCCAGGTGGCCCGCTGCACGAAGATTATTGCGGATGAACTCGACGACTCCAAGAGCAAGTACGTGATCAACGTCAAGCAGATTGCCAAGTTTGTCGTTCAGCTCGGCGAGCGTGTCGCTCCCACCGACATTGAGGAGGGCATGCGCGTCGGTGTCGACCGCAACAAGTACCAGATCCTGCTGCCATTGCCACCCAAGATCGACGCCAGCGTCACCATGATGACGGTCGAGGAGAAGCCCGATGTGACCTACGGTGATGTCGGTGGCTCCAAGGAGCAGGTCGAGAAACTGCGCGAGGTCGTCGAGATGCCGCTGCTGTCGCCCGAGCGGTTCGTCGATCTGGGTATTGACCCGCCCAAGGGTGCACTGCTGTACGGCCCGCCCGGTACAGGCAAGACACTTTGTGCGCGTGCTGTGGCCAACCGTACCGATGCCACATTCATCCGCGTCATTGGCAGTGAGCTTGTGCAGAAGTACGTTGGCGAGGGCGCGCGCATGGTGCGTGAGCTGTTTGAGATGGCACGGACAAAGAAGGCCTGCATTATCTTCTTTGACGAAATCGACGCCATCGGCGGTGCCCGTTTCGATGACGGTGCAGGCGGTGACAACGAGGTGCAGCGCACGATGCTGGAGCTGATTACGCAGCTGGACGGTTTCGATGCACGTGGCAACATCAAGGTCATGTTCGCGACGAACCGTCCGTCCACACTGGACCCTGCGCTGATGCGTCCGGGCCGTATCGACCGCAAAATCGAGTTCTCTCTGCCCGACCTCGAGGGCCGCGCCAACATCCTGCGGATTCACGCCAAGAGCATGTCGGTGGAGCGGGACATCCGGTGGGAGCTGATTTCGCGGTTGTGCCCCAATGCGACGGGTGCTGAGCTGCGTAGTGTGTGCACGGAGGCTGGTATGTTTGCCATCCGTGCCCGACGGAAGGTTGCATCAGAGAAGGACTTTTTGAGTGCGGTGGACAAGGTCATCAAGGCGAACCTCAAGTTCAACTCGACGGCATCATACATGCAGTACAACTAAAGAAGGGATAACGTATGGGGAGCTGTGGATACCATTCATTCTGCCATTCTTTGCCCTTGTTTCGTGTGTCTATTTTTTTATATCCGCGTAGAATATGTATGAGTATAGAATCATTACGGAGTCTATTTTTGCGTTTTGACATTAATTTTGTGACTGAGAAAGAAGACTATCCAAATCACCGGTATTTATACTGATCTGGTGATGGGTAACACTACAATAGCAATCCGTTCGCGGTGTGGCAGAATGTGGGACGTGTGCTGCTAATGTTATTTTGAATAAACCAAAATGCATTGAGAGGGATGGTGCTCTATGTTAAGCGATATATACATTGGAAGCAAAGCCCTGCGACCCCTTTTAATGAGCCCTGGATATCGTGACTTATGCGTGTGCCGCGGAAGAAACAAACGAAGCAAATAGATACCATGCCCTACCAATTAAAGATAAAAAAAAAGGCTAGCTGGCAGGCATGAATGGTCATGACATTAAAAACAACCAGAAGCAGCCGTACTCCATCAATGCCCTAATGTGCTTGCAACGCCGTTTGTTTGACCCGCGTAAAAAATATGAAAATAGTGAGAATCCCTAGGCACATGAATCATTGTGGTGGAAATGAATGGTCCAGGCAAAAGACAAGAGGCTTCCATTAGCCATTAGTGCCTCTTGTTGCATTGTCCCCTTCCCCTTCGATGCTTTGCGATGCCATTCGCAAATTCGTCATTTATTCTCCGGTCACAGCCATGCAGCCGAGGCAAACCACGTCGCCATCCTCGCCGCGTTCCACGCAGCACCGACTACAGACCATCCGGCGATGGCCATGGCTGGTTGTAGACCAAGGCTGTAGCTGTTTTTGGGATGGATGCGTCGACTCTGTCGGGGTTTCGTTCTCGGTCCAACTGAGACATTCTCGGAGACACACGAAACACGTTCTCTGGCCACAGCCCTCGCAGTTGGCGAGCGAGTCCAAGTCGACCTTCCGCCGCGGCCTACGATGGCAGATGTGGCACGGCGCTGTTGTCGACTGCGCAGGAAGGCTATGGTGGTGTGACAACGGCGAGTCACGGCCGGCTCTCGAAGGTGATGATATTGATAATGGCCGGCCGTCGTCGACACTGCTGTTGCTCAAGCAAAGCCTTTTGCTTCCGAGAGGGATAATCTTTCGTTGTGAAGGGGACAAGTGGTTGAGAGTGTAGGTAGCTGTCGCTCCTGTCGTAGGTGTGTTGCGTTGATCCACGCGGTCGTGGTCGGAACCGTGCACGAAGATGGTGACGACGTCGTTTCCGCCGCCGACAGTGCCGCCGCTGGCCCTGCAGCTGTCATCCCACCGCCGTTTCTTAGCGAGGACGGAGATGCCATGTGCAGTACCGCTGTTGTTCCGGCCGTCAGCCTCGGGGCCTTCCTGAGCCACCGACGGCATCCCGGCGACTTTGATCGAGAGATTCACAGGAAGTATACTGGACGCGATGCGAGCGTCGGTCTCGGTTGAAAATAGAAAAAACAGCGCAGCCAATGACGACTCGAATCGTTTCGTGACGCAGTCGGAGTCACGGTGCTGCTTTGCTGGTCGCGGTTGGCTGTTGTTGTGGTGGTCGAGGTTGTCGATGTGGTCGAAGAATCCAGGGTCGAAGACAGCGTGAGGTTGTGAAGGCGGTCGGAGGCAAGAATGGCTTGGTTTGTTTTTCTTGGATAGCACTTCCATTCATCCACCCATTGGCCCTCTCAGAGCCATTGCCCTAGGTTGAAGGCGAGGTTACAGGGGATGAGTGCCAGAAGGGGTCGCTAGGGCGGCCAAGAGGCGTGAAACAACCGCCAGGGCTTCGGGAGGCTGGGGAACTGTTATGCCAGTTAATGTCCAATGATTTCCTAGCATTGACGTGTTTGGTTGGTCCATCACGTCGGGGGAGTCTGTTTGGTGCGTTTAGTGGACCTGACATGAACGAGACAGCAACATTCAGTGATTCATAATGCCCATCAAGGCCTGGTGAGGTTTCGCCATTTCAAGCCCACAGTCATCGGTCGGAGTTATCGCTCCAGCGCTGTCGCCGCCTGTACTCCGCGGCACTAAGGCCGAGTTCAGCGAGGTGGTCAAGGCCGTCGAGGCTTGCCTTGTCGACATTGCGGGGGCGAAGTGCACCGTATCCACCGAAGCCGACCGAAGGAATGCTCCTGCGCTGCAGATAAACTGCTGCCCTAGGTCAGCCAGAACTATCTCCGCCTGAGTAGCAGCGCAGGACGCGGTCTGATTGGCCGAGTTAATCACGTGGGAGTGCTGGAGACAGTGCGCGTAAGGGAGAGACAGGCGTCCGAGCTCGACTGGCACAGTGCGATTCGTGTCGCCTTTTCGCCTTTTCCTGCCAGCATTTTCCAACTTTTGCGCATTCTGAACTGGAAACACTCCTGAGCCACATCCACACTTCAATTTTGTGCGGAGATAAGTTGGGTGCACTGTGCTCACTGTGCGCCCCCTCCAGTGGCTCTTTCCCTAAATCTCGTCTGATGCCCACGAGCCGCAAAAACCTTGCTTGTTCTTCGTCTTTTCCACAGCTTGCAATCAGTCTTCCCGTGCCCAACTCCGCTGTTCGTCGCTCATCCCTTCCTTCAACAATCCCCACCACGTCGGCTTGAGAATCGCTTCGACACCTCGACTTTGATTTCGGATTTCAACACGATCTTGTTTTGCATTGTCCAAAGCATTTGTCTTCTATCGCGCCCAACGAACGGTCATCCGCGCCGCACGCCCCCGTCCCCTTACCCACCACCGCCGACAAGACCGAGTTTTCGTGATCCTCTCCGAATTCAATATCGTGAATTGCAGCAACCGGCCATCAAGATATGAGTCGCGCAGGCAAACTTGCCCCGGAGGTTAACCGGTAAGTGTTCTTGGTCATTTGAACACCTGTGTACCTTTGCGGCCCTTTCGTGCTTTGTTTCCTATCCTGGGCTTCGTCATCACAGTCCAGTCACAAGCCTCGCACTCGGCCTGTCAGATGCTGCCTGACCCGTGTCAAAATTCATCCGTCTGCCGTCGAACATTAAGACCGCATCCATTCTTTTGTCTATTGCACGCTCGGTCGAGCGATCCTGTCTCTGTTTTATCAATCTGGCATCTGCGTTTGGGCCCCCGCGCTGTTGTTCGTCGTGGTCACACTTTTTGGTTGTCCATCTTGTTGCTAACCACGTCATGGCGTTTCTCTCGAACAGAGCTTTATTCGTAAAGAATCTAAGGTATGTCGTCTATCCTCTTGCTGCGCATGCGACGAGGAATATGTGACTGGACCTTCTCGCTAACCACCCTTCTAGCTACAACGTTACTCCCGAGGAGCTCTTTGAGCTCTTTGGCAAGTTTGGCGCCATTCGGTACGTGATCCATTAGCTTTCTTGTTCTTTCCCCTCCCTCCTTCGGACAACATCTAACACATCCCAGCCAAGTGCGTCAGGGCATTGCCAACAACACCAAGGGCACTGCCTTTGTCGTCTATGAAGACGTCATGGACGCAAAGCAGGCTTGCGACAAGCTAAACGGCTTCAACTTCCAGAACCGTTACCTCGTCGTCCTCTACCATCAGCCCGACAAGGTGGCCAAGTCAAAAGAGGACCTCGAGGCCCGCAAAGAGAATTTAGCTCGGCTCAAGAAACAGCACGGCATCGATTGACGATTAGACGGGCCTGTGGACCAGCGCCTGCAGACGGCAACCAACAAAATCTCGTTGTCTCGACCCACTGCAGGCCCGTCTCCTTACTCTCCCCCCGCGCGGCCGTCGTCCTCGTCTAAGACGCCGGCCTCGTCGTCTCCGACAAAGACACCCTCGAAGCATCACGCCAAGCTGTCGCCGTCGACGCCGTCCAAGTCCTCGCCGGCCCGCCTTGTGACGTTCACGCCGCCCGTTACGACGACCTCTACATCGACCACGACCGTCGTGTCCTCGACTGCAAACATGTCGTCTTCCTGCCCCCGAAGCAGCGGCAAGCCGAGCCTTGCAGACCAGACGCGCAATGCCATGCCGCATTTTGTCCGCAAGCTCCTGCCTACCGTGGCCGAGTGCGCCTAGAGTAGCGGATTGGCCCTTCCCTGGGACCTCTGCCTAGCCGTGTTTCACTCGTTCGGATGTGCCTTTATCGACTAAGAACAATCTCAATCGTCGACACTACGGCAGCTTATTCGGCACATTTGTGGGAGGACGGGAGGTCTCCCCGCCTGGCTCAACGAAACTGGCCCAACAGATACCGACCGTTGCAGTCATGATACGAGATTGCATTGTGTATCTCTCGTTGTCCCGTTTTGTTGGCCTTTGTCTTTGACTCGCACCGCTCAGTAGTGCATTCGCCTTTTCTATATCCGGGGCGACATCCATCTTTTTATTATTCAAATTTGCGACATCTCCACTTTCGTTTTCTGCGTTGCATTTCTTCGAACTTCCTAACGACTCTTTTATTTACTGCGTCTTGCGCTGGGACGGTTATTTATTCATTTATTCTTCAGTTGGTTCTGTTCTATCACTTGTACCATGTTACGGTTATTTTCTCCCTTACGATTTCCATCTCATTGCTTACTGTTCGACTTTGATGCATTGGGAAGGCAGGCGAATTGGGAGGAAGGAAAGGCGTTTTACCAGTCCAACTCTTGACCCTTTTTGCTCTGGCCGGGAAGGGAGACAATTCATATTTGTGTGATTGGCTCTCAAGTTGTTGGAGGTGTTGAGAATCGGCAAATGGCATGCACGATCCACCTCCAGGGGAAACAAAAATCAGATTGTGTTTGCTTTTCTTTTTCAATTATTCTGAGACGCAATATCTGCACTTTTCGCTCCTCGTTTGCTAAGAACAAACGAGCTGCGATACTGGGCGCTTCTCTTTTTTATTCCATCTAAGTTTTTTCTTGGTGCGACTGTAACGGGCCACCTCCATAGGATTGACAGGAAATGAAGGCGAAGAAGGACGCACCGAATAGGCTTCCTGAGTTTCAAGACTTATTGGTTTTCCAACGTTCTTTGTGATCTGCTTCATATCATTGTCATTTATGTCTGGTACAAATGTCTTGTCCAAATCCTCGTTTCTCGTATGTAAAAGTAAGATGATTTATGTAAATGGTATCTATGAATCGTACAATGTATATATACTTCCCCCTTGATTTTCTCCACGTTGGCCTAAAATTGCCATACCCCAATTCCAAGATCTCATATTTGTAGAGGTGATTATATTCTCTCTTCGAAACGTTCCCTGTTCACCGTTCATACCGTGGCAACGGCTCTGCATGTTCGTTTCCACCGCTAGTTCCATGGACGGCTTCTGGTCCACTCCCAGGCCCGTATGTATAGTGCCGGCCATAGCGTTCTTCATCCGTGGTACCCTCTGCTGGAGCATCAACATCCTCGGCAAGAGGGGCGCTGGGAGCATCATCCACAGCACTGGAGCTCACAATATCATCACCCAGAAGAGCATCGGCAGGAGGTGCAGATGGTGCCATTGCAGAAGACACAGGCGGGGCTGAAGGCCCAGCAACTGGCGGCGCAGAGGGAAACGACGACGAGCCGCTTGCGGGAGGAGGATGTAAGTAAGCAGGACTGTGATCGTACTGCTGATAATGGCCATCGTCCTCTTCGATGACTGGTGCGGATGGCGCCGACGGCGCCGATGGGTCAGCGGATGTGGCACGAGCTCCGTTGAAGCTTGGCACCCGGGCACCGGCACTGCTGCTTGGACCAGCCGCGTACGTTCTTGTCGTCCTGCCGACACGGGTGTTGTTGCTGCTCGATCCGACGTCCTCGTAGTCTTCTGGGAAAGAAGGAGGTGCACTGGCTTCGGCCAGCAACCGCCGCCGCTCTAGCTCTTGCTTGTCCTCGGTTGGTGGCTGTGCCGGACCAGGGCGGGAGTCGGCGTCGAACGGGGGCGCAAATGGCCCGTAGGTGGTCAACTCATCGAGTGTTGGGGCCGTGGGAGCGGACGGTGCATGGCGGCCGGCACTTCTGCTGCTCTCTCCATTGTCTACTGGCGCCGATGATCCTGGAGCCTCACCAGGATGGCTGGGCAGGAGCCGCTGCTCGGCACGGCGGACTCGTTCCTTCTCTGATATGTTGGGGTCACGCTCAGCAGCAAGCATCTCAGCCGTCGGCACGTATTGCGGTGCTTGTGACGATTGCCCGGGATCGATATACGGAGGGCGGGGCGGTGCAGTAGCAGACGGCGAGCCTGGCTCGTCATAGTAGTTATAGTTGTGCCCATGGCGAGGATGATTGTGGTAGTTGCTGTTGTTGTAGTCGTGCTGCTGGTGGTACTGGTAATGTGGATAATGCTGTTGCTCGTAGTAAGGTTCGTTAGGAGGGCCTGGTGGCGCAGTTGATGGCCCTGCAAAGGTACCGCCAGATGCTGTCCCGTTCGCTGGCCAGCTCGGGTACGGAGGTTGCTCAGGCTGCTGGTATGGACCTTTACGGTCTTCTGGGTACCAGTCAGGGGGGTGGCGTGAGACATATGGCAATGGCTGTTGTTGCTGCTGCAAAAGGATTTGCTGTGGGTCTGGCTGCTGCTGGACATCCAGAGACAGTGCGGTTCCTTTAAGGCCACGGCCGCGTTGCCGGCTCGTATCTGTCGTACCGACGACGACCTCAAAGGCAACAAAGATCACGCCCTTTTGTCGCCGTAGCTGGTCCGTATCGATCATGTTGCTGCCGCCGCTCCAGAGAGCCGATGTAGGCGCCAGCATGGGCTTGCCATCATACGGATTGCTGCTGTTGCTGACCAAATTGGGGCCGGTAGGGCCGACGCCAGACTGTAGCAGGCCAGCCAACTTTCCTCCCAAGTCGACAATGACCTCAAGCTGATACTTGAAGCTGATCATGTCACCCGGAACACCCTTGATGGTGGCGAAGGCATCCTCGGGCATACGGACAGATGCAGTCACGCTTGACTGCAAAGTGCGAGGGTCGATGATCAGTGGGCTAAAGGACTGCGAGAGATCTTTGCGAAATACACTGCAGGTACCCGCAGACATAAGAGACAGGCCGCCAAGACCAGTCTTGGACTTGGGATAGTAGTTTTCGTGCTTGGCAGCCCCGTTCCCGCCGCCACTTTTCTTGTCCTTGCTGCTCTTGTGGTTATGTTCTTTGTCTTTTTTTCGGTCTTTCGCCTGTTTTTCTTTCTCTTTTGCCTCTCGCTCCATTTGTTTCCGTTGCTTCCGACTTTTTGGTTCAGCTTGCTCGTCATCCAGATCGGGATGCGGCTGCGAGCCGGCGTCTGTGGTGCTATTTAGCAGAACGCCGTTGCTGCCTGCGCCTTCGCCGTTGGGCTCTTCGTCCTCTTCAGCGATGCTCGTCCCCGCAGAAGGGAACATGAATTCTGGCGGTGCAGAGTCGATCCGGCCCTGGCGGTAAAGGGTGACAACCACGCCGTGCAAGCTCTTGATGCGCTTCACATGCTGCACGGAGACTTTCACGCTGACGACCTCGCCGGGAAGGCAGCCGCCTTTGAGCAAGTCGATTGTGGCCGTAATCGTTCGGTCGTCGACAACACCACTCACGGTAGTGGTAGAAACAGACGACACGGGCCCGGGGTGTGATCGGTAGCCATTTCCAGAAGTGCTATTTCCGTTGTTGCTGCCGGCGGCCGGATTTGTGATGGTTGACGAGGATGTGTTCGTACCAGTGGTTGATGCCACTGATTGTCCAGCCATGCTTGCTGGAGCGTGTGAGCTTGCTGGACTCGATAGGCGGACGACGTTGCTTGCAGCACCAGCCCCAGAAATGGCTCCAGAACCTAGACCAGAACCAGGTCCTGCTCCGGAACCAGATCCTGAGCCAGATCCCGAGCCAGATCCTGCGCCGCCACCTGTTCCTGCAATTCCACTGCTTCTACTGCGGCCTTCGCTCCCTCCACTGGTCACACTGTCAACGCTGACTTCGCTACGGATGTCCGTTGGCGCGGGACTTCGAGGTTGTGACGTTCGTGACGTCCGACTTTGGGCTTCAGCGTAGCCGTCATGCTCGTTGTCTTCGGTTTGTATGGTTCCGTGGGTACTATCTCGCGCCGACCCACGGTCAGAAAGCGCAGCAGTATCGTACCGGTCGGTGCTGCCGCTGCCCGACGCAAAGGAAATTGTGGACATGGCGCCTGCAGCGCCGGCTGAGCCTGCTGGTATGACCGAAGTGGGACCGCTTCCTGATGGCGGTTGGGTCACAACAACGAACTTGCGTTTCTTGGACCGCTTCGATATGGGCTCAAGGGAGATTGTGCGCGGCCGTGGCTTCGGTACTGTGCCGATGTCGACTGGGTCAACGAGATAGACCCTCCGATCACAAGACTGAGTGGGTGCAACCGTAGTCGGACGAGTAAGGGTAGCGGTAATGACATAGCATATGGAGCCACGCTCAAACTAGAAGCAGAAACGACACAGTTAGTTAGATATCGACACCGTAGTGGACGAACGCCAATGACGCGAGACTCACATCGATACTACTAGGCAGCCCCCGCGAGGGAAAGATGAGGTCGAACTCGAACTCGTAGTTGCCGGGCTCTAACCGGCCGGCGCCACTCAGGACCATCTCATCGCGGAAGAGAAGGGCATGGCCGTTGCCCAGGTAGGAGGAGGAGGAAGAGGAGGAGGAGGATTTCGATGCCAGTAGACGCGACGAGGACGACGAGGAGTCGGTGGCGGTATCGTTGGGCAACGTTGCCGTGGCAGCCGAGTTGGGGTCCTTGAAGACACGCACGAGGCCACGCAGCGACACGGTCAAGTGGGTGATGCGAACTGGCTTGACGACAGCCAGTACGACTGCGCCTAGGACATGATCGCCGGCGCCATACTTGCGATGTGGCTCGGCAGGACGGATGTGGAAGTCGGCGATGGTGCGGGCGGGCGCGTGGAACGGGAGGGAGAAGCGGGAGAAGAAGGAGCGTCGGCGCGGCGGTGTCGTCGTGGAGGAGGCGGGAGATGTATGTTGTTGCTGTCGTTGAGGTTCCGAGCTTCGCTGGCTTCGTCGATCGTGATCAAGGTCCTCTTCTTGTCCACGGTCTCGTAGGCTTCCTCGCAATGATGCCGGTGACGAGGATCTCAAGCCTGCAGCAGCTGGAGCCGGAGGCCCATCAGGCCTTCGTGCTGGTGGCAAAGACGGGTCTACTGTTAACACAGACGCCGCTGCTGTGACTGCAGGTGCCGTCCCCCTGCCGGCCACGTTGGCTGTCCCCGTCGTTGCCGGAGACTGGGGCACCACTGCTCCAGCCGCAACCTCGGCACCGGGCGGGGCTGCGCCAGCGGTCGGCGGCGGCGGCGGCGAGCTGGAGTCGCTCATGGGGTGTTGGCGGGGGACCCGCGGTCCGCCGTGCGCTGTGGCGGCTGCTGGTGGAAGTCGTTGTCGATGGTGTGGCGTTGCTGTTGGTGTCGGATAGGTTCCTGGTGTAGAAAAAGGTGCCCGTGGCCCTTCTTCTTGTATCGGTTCGGAGTGCTCTTGCCTTGTCTCTTGGGTTTGGTTGTTCGCCCTTTCCCTCTGTCTTCCGTATCTTGTGTATCTAAGCCGCAACAATCGGTTGATGTCGCGTGGAATGCCAAGAAAGGGCGCAAAGAGGGCAGAGGCGGGAATGCGGTTGCGACGACTTTATCTTAGGGGCCTTTCAGCCCTCTATTTTGCTGGTGCTGGCTGGCTAAGACGCGGAACCCTGTCTCGGGATCTGGGGCAAAACTCACAAAAGAATAGGCCACGCAATGCTTGCCTCGTATGGGGCACTTTCGGTAGTGGGGAAGGTTATCTGAGGAAGGAGCCAGGGGTGCACATGCATTTTTAGATCACTTCTAGGGGGGGTGTTGGGCAGACTATTGGTGGGGCCGTTATGGTAGGCTGTTCCTCACCTGGCATCACCCTTGACCAAGAGGGAAGGACAGTGAAAAAGGGAGGTGCGCAGCGTACGTCGTAAACAGATTAGAAAATGGAGACAGATAAAAACGAGAAAAACAACTTTAGGAAGGAGACAAAGTGGCCCAGAAGCTCAACAACCTATCACGGGAAGGTGGGACCGTATCGAGGAGAACGGGCTGTAGTGGAAGGAAGCACTGGTGGACACTGAACTCGGTATATACTCACTCCGAGGCAATGTCCTCTAACCTCTTCATTTCGTGAGACTATCGTCGCGAGTTATTTGCTCCTGGCATACGGAGTATTATGTGGCCCTGCGTCACCGCAGCAGCTACAAAGCTCCAGGTGGTCTGTGGTCATCTCCGTGCTGCCAACACAGCCTGCCAACACACCACAGGTTTCCTTTACCTAGATTCACTACCAGGCACCATCGTTGTGTTCGTCATTTTCTTTCCATTATCTGCTTCTGTACTTCTGTCGTCCTTTTGTCGTTGAACCACGTCCGTCGTGCCTCCGTTCACTAGTCAATTGCCTTATTTTCAAACGGGGTTCTCCGTCACTCACTCCGCCTACGATCACACCTGATTGATTGGCAGCACTGGCCCGTGCAGGGTCGAACAACGCCGACGAGGGCAAATGTGCACAGAAGGGGCACACGGAAACCGGCACAAATACAGGATTAAAATCCGACCGGTCCAGCCATATCTCGGTTACAAGCTACTTGCGGTGCACCTCGATGCAAACAGCTGCTCAGTCTGCGCGTTTTTTTTTTACGTGGTTTGCGCCGATGGGAGGGTTGAAACAACCAAATAAAGGAACAAGTTCGCCGTAAGGCTGTTGCAAAGCGAGATAATTATCTTGGCATCTGGGAACATCGCCAATAAATACGTTGTACATCGGCCCTTTGAGTTTCGAGGGCCAAGAAATGACCTCCAGCTGTCATTATCAATCTGCCCGAGGTCACATCGTCATCTCCCGTCACCATCGTATCACTGTTTCCTTTTTACTCCGTACGTTCTATATTCTCGCATCGTCCCCTGTCTCATTCCCCATTTCTGCACCCTCGCATTGCTTGTTCTGGCTTCCCATGCCACCCTATTGGCCTTTCGCGGCCTTGGCAAGTAGCCCGTTTGATGTCCGTCTCACCCCCTTTCCTTCCATCTTTTGTTCTAGATTCTGTGCGCTTCGCTGAATTCAATCAAGTCTCGTCTTGTCTCCCAGCAGAGACAGCAACTTCTGGAGCTTGCACCACTCGTTCAATTGCCTCACTGCAGACACTTGATCAAGCTTTCTGCCCTTTCAACCAATTTTTTAGATTATTTTCCCTCTCCCGCTTTGCTTCCCGTCTGTCTAAGCTGGGTTGGCCATCCTTGGCACAGTTTGGGAGTTGGAGAAACTAGTTCTGACAGCTTGGCGGCGTTCGCAAAGTCTGTAAGTGCAAGGCATTTGTGTTTGTTTATTGTTTGCGGCAGCTGTTTCCACTGTCATCGTTTCCTATCACTTAATCGCTTGTTGCCAAAACCCTTCGTAACGTATGCGAACCCCCCGCCCACACACCAAAGAAAACCGATAATTGATACCAAAAAACGCCAAGATGCTGCCATGCTTCCTTTTGTAGACTGCGCCCATGAAAAGGAAAAAGAAAAACACACAGAGAGAGTAAAAAGTAGAATGAAAATGCTTGCCAAATACAAAAATTCAGTCGAGCGCCTCGCCGCTGAGAATACTCTGCAAAATATCGGCGCCGGCTCCATCCAGCGCTTGCCGCAGCTCCTTTTCGCCAACACAGCTGGCAACGCGCTTCTCATCACCAGCCACACCAGTAATACCCGAACTGCCTCCGCCCATCATGCTGTTGCTGACAGCGCCACCGGGCCGCCGACCTCGCCGGCCACTCCCACTGCCGGGCACCGACTGAAGCACCGCAAAGGATCCGTTGCGGCCGTCGACGGCAGTCACCAGCGACAGGGTCTCTAAGCTGCCGACAACCTCACGGAATTCGGAGCTTGAGAGCGGGTGCAGGACAGCGTCACGCTTGCACATGAGGTTGTATGTCGCATACAGCTTCTTGATGGTCGGTGCTGCCGTACCTGCCGCACCACCGCCCGGCACCTGGAGCCGGCTGGGTGTGGGCGCCTTGACGAGCTTCTTGACGCCGTTGGACGGCTGCAGCGACGTGTTCGTCTGTGCAGCGGCTTGTGCAGCTGCGTATGCCTCGCGGGTCCACTTTTCAAATGCCATCAGGGCACACAGTGCCGCCTTTTGTTGCAGGTTGAGGCCCTTAAGCCGCTGCTGGGCGCCGTTGCCAAAGGCGGATGCGGTGACCTTGTTGAGGTGGCCAATGGACACGCGGGGCGCGTTTTCAATGGTCAGGTTCTGGGCGGCCCACGACGCCCAGGACGACCGCTTTGGAACTGTGCGAGATGACGCTGCCGAGGCAGGAGGTGACGAGGCCAAGTTCATGTTCTCGGCCAGGGGCTGCTTCTTCGTAGGTGTCGTAAGCACGTTCGATGTGGTTGCGTTGCAAGCATCACGCGCGTCGTTGAGGTACTTCTCGCGGGCTTCGGACTCGACTAGGTCCAGTGCTCGACGCAAGATCTCAAAGGCCTTGCGTAGGTCACCGGTTTGGCTGGCCACCTTGCGTGAGCAGAGCTCGATGGCGGCAGGGTGAAAAAAGGGAAGGAAGTTGGTAGGAGCAGGGGCGGAAGTAGACGCTTCTGGCACAGAAGGAAGAGTCGTCTGGAGGACACTTTTAAGTCGGGCCGTGATAATGTTCTTGATTTGTGGTGCGGTATAGGGCAAAAACGGAAGCAGCTCGGGCTGTAGGTTGCGCGACTTGAGACGGGGGAGAAAGCGGTCTGTCAAATCGAGGGCATTGGCAATGCCAACTAGCACCAGGCGCGATGTCTTGAGCATGGACCACTCCATTACCCGGTACAAGCTCTCGAGGTCGAGGGTCAGGATGTGATCGATCTCGTCAAGAACAACTAGGTAGGTGCAAGGGGTTCCGGCCGCCTTGGCGAAAGCAGCCTTTTTGCTCGCCTTGGGCAGAAACATAGCCTGAAGCGCATTCACGGCATTCGTTTCTGTCAAGTCCACGCCCATAGCTTCAGCAGCCTGCTCGTCGCTATTATTTCCGTCACCCTCGCTGCCGGTACCCAGCACTAGTAACCGAAGAAGTGTGCTGTAAAGGTCGTTGGACGATCGAATGCTCATGCAGTTGATGTAAGCCTTGCGTACAAAGCCAGACTGTTCGGTGCAGACCTGCTCCGTCATCTCGTTTACCATGGCACTCTTGCCAGTACCAGGCGGTCCGCTGACGTACAGGCACCCACAGTCACTCTTGGATGTCGCGGCGTCGCTTCCACAGTTGGCACTCAGGAACGTCCGCAACCGCGCGCGCTCATCGTCGCGGCCAACCAGAGAACCTGCCGCCATGCCCGAGCTTCGCGCAAAAAGCTGCCGCGCTACGTGGTAGACTGTCTGAACGCTCCCAGACGGTGTCCGTGGTGTTGTGGGTGTCGTATCACCACCGACACCTTCACTTGGTTTTGAAAAGAGGCCGTGCGGTGTGGTACGCCGAGAGAGTCTGCCTGCGGACATAACACGGTGGCGCGGTGTGCTAGGCGTGACAGGTGTGGCAGGTGTCGTCGCTGTTGTGGAGCGGCTGGCACTGATGGTGCCGAGGCCATCCCGATAACGAGGTGTAGATGGGGTAAGTGGAACACCAGCGACGGACACGGCACGTTTTGTGGGTGAAGTCTTAGTCGGCGAGACGAGTGTACTGTTGGTCGAGATAGCCCGTCGTACCTTTGGGGTGGCATCGGCATCTGCGGCGAGAGCATCCTCGAATGTGACTGCGTTGGGATCCTGGTTTTCATCGTTGACCACGAAGCTGCGGGTACTGCGTCTCACGCGCTTCAGAGAAAGACTGGCGTCTGCGTCTGTAGTGTGAGTAGAGGGACAAAAGACTTGAAAGAAGCTATGGTTTTGCGATGTTCATACCTTCCACGTCCGAAGCTCTGATCCGCTTTCCGAGCGAGGAAGCAACCATGTTTGTAGTGTGTGGTGAGGAAAGAGCAAAGGAGGAAGGGTTTAAAGAAAGGGGTAAAGCAATGGCAAGAACAGCGACGTAGATGCATACAACGGAAAGAACGATGGATAGATGCGTAGATGCTCGCAAAGAAAGAATAGACAGTCGCAAGAATGGACAAAATGGAAGTAACAGGGAATGAAGTCAAACGTGGAAAGCACGAAGGAAAGTTCAAGATGGTGGCCAAGGGAGGTACAAGATTTAATGAGGAAGCGCGCGCCAAATAGAGGAACCACTTTACGCGAAGAAAGCGCGACTGACTTACCCCTGCCATTGCTGGACGCGTTGGCGGTTTTACGCGTACGTGGGAGGATTGACCCCAGACCCGCCCAGCTGCCGTGGCGCGTGCTTGCACACTAGCCACAGATACACTGTGCGGTCGTCTACAGTATTGCGCTATTCGTACAGTGGGCTTTAAATGGCGGACGACATAGTTCAGCTCGCCCGACTAGTTTGGTGGACTTCGCCCAACTCCGGGGCCTTTTACACCACCTGGAGACTCATTTAGCGCTAAATTGGCCGTTACCCTTCGCATTCCCCGCCCTATTCGACCAACATAATGTAGTCCGTTCTGGTCCTCCCGTATCAGCTGCCAATGATTATGGACGACAAAGATGTACTGGCCGGCGAGAGGCGAAAGAGGAGGCAAAACCATAACTCTTTCCCTCCCCGTAATGCGACGGAATCAGGCGGTCTGGGGAAGAACGGGCTTTTCTGTGATCTGGGAAGGAGGTCACTTGCACGACGATAAAGGGCCCCGATAAAGCAGCTTTCTCTCTCTTCGTTCTTGATCTTTCGTTCTTTGAACCACCGCGGTTTTTCATTCATCATTCTGTGTCTGTCTCATACCTCCGCCGTACTGATAGGCGTTCATAAGCCCTTCTCGTTCTGGGACACGGCCATCCCCAAAACAGAAAACTATCCGGTTTGCACATATCATCGGATTGCGATGGCGGCCAAGCGTGCAACGTACAACAGCTCTGTTGAGGCGTTCCGCGAGCATGAATTTCCAATGCTCAAAGGTGAGTGTGTTTGCTATCGTGTTTATCTTTCGGCCGACTCCTAACTCTGCCAGACAGCATCTATCTGGACCATGCCGGCACTACGCTCTACAGCCGCTCGTTGGTTGATCGGTTCGCTGCCGATATGATGGCCAACTTATTAGGCAATCCGCACGCAGCCTCGGCGTCCTCCCAAGCTGCCGGACACATGATTGAGGACATCCGAATAAGGACACTACAGTTCTTTGGCGCCGACCCGGCCGAGTTTGATCTCATTTTCGTAGCCAACGCAACGGCCGGCGCCAAGCTAGTTGCAGAAGCCTTTCGCGCTCTTCCGGGCGGTTTTTCGTATGCGTACCACCAGGCGTGCCACACGAGCCTGGTTGGTGTGCGTGAAGAGGCCGGGAAAGCTGTCTGTCTGCCGTCGGGCGAGGTGGAAGCATGGGCAGCCGGTGAGACCCACGACATCGCCATGAACGGCAATAACACTCTCTTTGCCTACCCAGCACAGTCCAACATGGATGGACGCCGCTTTCCGTTATCGTGGTCACATCGTCTACGAAATCAGAATCAGACACTTGATCCTGACGACATAGAGCGGGACGAAGGAAAAAACAACGTCTGGACACTACTCGATGCAGCCGCCTATGCTGCAACCTCACCTCTCGACCTGAGTGACGTGCACACATCACCCGACTTTACTATCATCAGCTTCTACAAGATCTTTGGCTTCCCAGACTTGGGAGGACTTATTGTACGCCGACCCGCCGACCATCTTTTCGATTCTCGGCGCTATTTTGGTGGCGGTACCGTCGACATGGTCGTCTGCTCGTCAAAGGAACAGTGGCATGCCACAAAGGGCAGTGTGGGTCAGGGTGGCAGCAGAGGCTATGCTTTACACGACCGACTCGAAGATGGGACGCTGCCAGTACACAGTATCTTCGCTTTGGCTGCCGCGCTGGAGACACACGCGACGCTCTTTGGGTCGATGGCCCAAGTAGCATCACATACCCGTTACCTTGCCGACCGACTCTACACAGGGTTAGCCGCCATGCGCCACGGAAATGGGATGCCCTTGTGCCACATATATTCTCCGGAAAAAGAAGAGGCTGGTGCCGTGGTGGCATTCAACCTGCAAAACGCGCTAGGTGCATGGGTCAGCCTCGGCGAGTTCGATAAGTTGGTGTCACTGAAAAAGATCCATCTCCGCACGGGCAGCGTCTGCAACCCGGGTGGCGTCGCAGCAGCCTTGGGCCTGGAGCCCTGGGAGATGCGGCGCAACTTTTCGCGCGGAATGCGGTGCGGTTCCGACGAAGGTGGCGACGATATTGTGTCGGGCAAGCCAACTGGGATCATCCGAGTGAGCTTGGGGGCCATGAGTACAGCTGGGGATGTAGACGGATTTCTGGCATTTCTCGACGAATTTTACAGAGACAACACAATGGGGGTGGAACAAACCACACCACCCAATGCAGCCGCAAACACAACCCCAAGCCTAAGCAGTCTCTTCGTCGCCAAAATCAGTGTATACCCGATTAAAAGCTGTGGCGCGTTCGACGTTCCGCAGGGTACGCGTTGGGCGGTGCGGCCTGAAGGGCTTGCGTGGGACCGGGAGTGGTGCCTTGTTCACCGAGGCACGCGGCGGGCACTGAGCCAGAAGCAGCACCCGAAGATGGCGCTCCTGCGACCAGTCGTGGATTTTGACCGGGGTGTGCTCCGGGTATCGTTTGCTGGGAAAGACGAGGAATGGCGCCATTCGGAGGTGTCCGTGCCGCTCTCCAACAATCCGGCCATGTTTGCGCCAACAGTGACAACGGAAACATCGACTCGATCACGGTCGTCGCGTGTCTGTGGGGAGGAGATCGCCGCACAAGTATACACGTCGGAGAAAGTGAGCAGCTTCTTCTCTCGGGCTCTAGGTGTCCCATGTTTACTGGCGCGTTTCCCTCCTGGCGGCCAGGGGACGAGTATGCGACACTCCAAAGCGCACCTGCAAAAACACCAGCACCAGGGACTAGGAGATCTACCATCTCCCCCAGACTCGGATTCTGAGAGGGACGGCCTTCGCAGCCGCGGAGGATCTAGTACAACAAGTCGAATCGGCGATAGAAGCGAAGATGACACCAGCAGAAACTCGCTGGCCGGCCGCCAGCAGCAACGCATTCTCTTGTCCAACGAGAGTCCTATCCTTGCTATACATATGGCCAGCCTGCGCGAGCTAAACGCAGCCGTTCGGCTGTACAGCAAAGACGGCAACAATGCTCCAAGCGTGCCCGCCTCCGTCTTCCGCGCCAACATTGTTCTCGACAGCCGCCCGGGAGAAGAGCAGACACCGTATGCCGAAGACGGCTGGTCACGGCTACAGATCGGCCAGCAGTCCTTCAAGATGTTGGGCTCCTGCCGCCGCTGCCACATGGTTTGCATCAACCAGGAGACGGGCGCCAAGAACGAGGAGCCGTTTGTGACTCTCACCAAGACACGGCGGTTCGACGGTAAAGTGTTTTTCGGTACACACATGGGCCACGACCCAGATAGAGCGGCGACCTGCAATGAGGGTGGGGAGAACAGGTTGGTTACGTCGAAAACTCCTGAAATACAGCACCCGACTATCATGGTAGGCGACTGTGTTAGTGTCGAGTGAGAAAAGGATGTGGGTATCACAAGGTTACGTCGTAGATGATATAGTTGGATGTTTCTAAGATATTTTCAATACGAAAACAAATCACTAAAGTAAATAAATAACAGTGCTTGATTATTTCATTGTTGTTAATATTAATATTATTGTGTTCCTCCCAGAAAACAACAATAACCGCCGCCCCACAGCCAGTATCGACGCCGCTTTTCACGGTTACCTCCGGGTGATTATCGGGGCCTACCGTACTACACCCATCCACCTCCTACACTCTGAGGCCGGTATACCGCCGTTGGATCTTTACCTTCAATACAGACGAGCCGTCTTCTTATCCCGGCCAACCTACCAAACGATGGCGCGGGCTATTCAGTACGCCGTCCTCCCCCCCACGTACCACGCTTCTTACCGCCCCCCCGCTTTACCACCTCCCCCGGCCCCGGAGGAGGCAGACTGGGCCACCGTACTTCACCGATGGAAGGCCCGGTGGCAACTGGCCGCCAACACAGGCCACGATCACGCACCCACCGCTAACCAAACGCCATGTTGGAACGCTTCGGCCGTCCGACGCCGCCACCACCATTTAACCAAGGCCGAAAGCAGCCTCCTTACGCAAATACGCACCGGCCATATAGGCCTCCGGGCTTATCTCTTCCGAAGGCAGGCGGTAGATTCACCGGAATGCCAATGCGGCGCAGATGAAGAGACCGCAGCCCACGTCCTTCTAAACTGTACAAACGTACCGCCCCGGCCCCCGGACTGGCCCTGCACCACCGATGAATTACACCGCCGGCTGCGCTCCGGCCTCACAGCAAGGCCACTCCTCCGATGGCTTATCCGGAGCGAGAGGCTGCCGGAGTATAGCCTTGCCCGGGCGCTTGAACATACACCAGCCTAACGCTACTACCTTCCTTTATTCTTACTTCCTTCCTGTTGTCTCCTTGTTTTACCTTCTTTCTTTTCTTTTCCTTATTACCACTTGATAGGCCCTATTAGAGGGCTACTGCACACCCCCGGCACCTAGAAAGTGCTCACGCATAGATCTGTGGTAGTTTTTTCCCCATGAGGGTTCTGCCTAGCTAGACGCCAATAGCCAGGACTGGCTGAGAAAGGCGGATAATAATAATAATAATATTATTATCATTTGGTCTCTTCGAAAAATTTCACCATCACGGTCAATTGTAAAAAAAAAAAAACCTTCGTCTTTTATATAAAAAAAGCAAGATTTTGCAAGTCATACTCGGCTTCTGGATGATCCTTTTAATTTGGCAATGTTACACCTCGCTTCGCTCTTCGTGTCATTTCGCCTTGTGATTCCAAGTTGTCGCCCCAATTCCTACATTGATCTTTAATTCCGCGACGGCTGCCCCGTGAACTGCCCTTTCTTCCCTGTCGACCCAGTCGCGCCTTCCCCACGCTCCGTATAAGCTCGCATTGGGCCAATAGGAAGGAGCTACCCACCCTTACTTTCCAAGATGATTAGCCTCACATAGACGAAGCATGCTTTCCCCCTTTCTCCTTTTCCGTAGTTTTGTTTTCGGTGTTGATGTCTGTATTTTTCTTCGTTTTCGCCTGCACCCTCCCGAGCTAACTCAATCGCCCGCCATGGACGCCGTCACGCTGGCGGATTACCAGCGCGGCGTGCTGCGCAACGCGTTCCGCTCGGCTATGGCCCGTGGCGAGGCGCGGCCTCTTATGTTGGTGGCTTGTGCCGTGCCCGCTATCATTGTGCCAGCCACGTTCCTGGCGGTGGCAGGTCGACACCGGGCGCTCCGACCTCTTCGGTATGCGGTAGCCGTTGCCCTGCTTGCCTACAATGCTCACCAACTTTCACCGCTCTGGAACGGTCCCAGTTGGGCCCGCACATCGAGCTTAAACTTTGCGTCTGCTTATGGCGCCGGGTTGGTTTTCGGATGGGGCACACTGTGGGCATTGGTGGTGCTTGTTTGGACCAGTCCATGGGACGGCGAGCGGGTGGCTAGGCGGCGGAAGATACTGCCGGCCGGAACAAAGGAAAGAGAGGCAGACGTTGTCAATACTGACACATTGAACATCCAAAATGCCGACAACGCACCGGACGAGGACATTGCTCGCAGTCTACGCCTGGGCCACGAATACTACTGGCAGTCATTCCCAGTCCACGCCTCCTTTTTTGCTCGCTTTGACTGGGCTATTGACCTGTGTCTGGCTTGGAGGGGTATTGGTGGGTTAAACATCAGCAGGTTTCAGCTCTTTCTTGTGATTTGGTATTTCTCATGCTAACGTCTCTGCTGCACAGGATGGAGCTGGGGCAAGACAGTTGTACCGAATTTTGCACCACCCATGCGGCCACACACAAATGAGCTGGTCCGCTTATCGTCCTTGCTAGAGGGGACCAAACATGGCTACCGCCGTCAGCGAACACGGGCCGGTTTCTACCGGACCCGGATAACCACTATTTTGAGCAGCTATCTGGTGCTCGACGTCTGCGCTGTGCTCATGATGCATGACCCGTACTTTGTTGTTGGTCCACCGCCCTCACGCAACACACCGTGGTCGCAGCAGGTTGACCAGTTCCCGACTCCGGTCATGGGCGCGGTTTGGACACCACCGCCTTCGCCTGCTCTTCTGGCCATGCCTGCCTACCTCGAGTTCCTCTATCGCCACCCTCACCTGCTCGCACTGCACAGAAACCTGCTGGGGTTGGCCGGTATGGTGGCTGCTCTGCAATTTGTCCTGAGCCTTGATCAATTTGTACGAATATCGCTAGGTACTCTCATCTCAGGCAAGAACTCAATCGCTACGGTGTCAACGGCAGCTCAGCTCTGGAACTACCCGTCCATATTCGGAAGCGTGTCCCAAGTGCTGGACCACGGTCTCGCTGGATTCTGGGGTAGCACATGGCACCAGACATTCCGATGGGCCTTTATGGCGCCGACTCTATGGCTCGTCAACCGGGGAATCTTGCCGAAGGGTAAGGCAGTGTGCGGCAAGACCGCGGAGACCAAGAACATGGCAAACGGCACCAACGGCACTACCAAGGCAAATGGTGCCAACGGCCACATCTCCAAGAGAAGCATGCCCCAAGAGAAGGTACACCTGCCCGCCATCACCCGTCTCACCGGCCTCGTCATTGCATTCGGTCAGTCGGCTATCTTGCATGCCGCCGCGAGTACAACTACACTTCCCACGCACACCCTCTGGTGGGGGCCCGCACTGTTTTTTGTCCTGTCAGGAGTTGGTGTCGTTGTGCAGGGCATCGTCCTCCCGTCTGCTGTCATGAAGCGACTTCCACGCCGCGCCCGCCAGGTTGCCAACTTGCTCTTCACTCTCGGGTGGCTTCACGCTACAGTATGGCTGTTCCTTGATGACACATCACGTTGTGGTCTGTGGTTGTTTGAGCCAGTACCATTCTCGCCTACTCGTTACCTGATATCTCTTGTGCAAGGAGCCGAACCGCCCTCAATCGTCAGCCTTGCAGGCAACAATCAGGCAGGCTTGTCTGCCTGGCGCTGGTACAGCGACGACCTCGCGTACTGGCACACGGGCAAGCGTTGGTGGGAGACCGGGCTGGCCATTTGACCTGTCATTCTTGTTGCATTATGGTCACCGGAATTGTTCTTCATGTGGAGGTTGGACCTATTTTGTCTTCTTGCTCTTTCTTTGTGCTCTGGATACCACAGGTGGTTTTAGTACGACACATGTCGCATTTGCCACTTTCAAGGTATAGATGAGGCCTCTCCCAATAACTAAGATCCTAAAATAGAATTAGATAGATGGCGCATTGCAGGTGGAAATTTTATGAAAATCAAAAGATATCATTATTCGTCAACTCGTCGTCCATCATTTTGCTATGTTTGGCACTCTGAACTCCTTTGGCAGAGGTGCCCGTCCATTTTCCTGCAGCTGCTGCATGGCGTTGCGTATATACGCGAGTACGTCTTTGTATCCTGTCTGCTTCTTCCCGAGAACGACCATAAAAGCATGTAGCAGCAAGCTGAAAAAGTTAGTCATAAATTAGACCACATATCCTTGTTTCCGCTTCCTGTTTCTTCTTAAAACGTACTATCGTAGGTGTGGCTTGGACACGTCAAACTTGTACTCGGGCCACTGCTGTGCACGCGTCTTGCTGTTGAGGAGGCCAAAGGCCATTTGGCCGATTTCCTCCATGGTGCGGATGGTCAGCTGCGTGCTGGGTCGCTTGGTCTTGGGCATGCGTCGCGCATACGCCCACATCTTTCCGGCCGTCTCGGCGAAGGCGCTGTGGAGGTTGCGTAGCGTCGTCCGCCGCGAGTTGTACGACGTATCGAAAAACATATGGTGAGATTGGATTTGGAAGCAGTCTAGGACGCTGGTGTTAGTATGGAAAGAGCATAGAAGAAGGAAGAGAGTCACAAACGGAGCATGGACACACGACATACTGAGAATTCTGCGCTGGAACTGGTAGCCTTGGGATCGCGTGTGCTCGATGGTGATCGAGTTGAAGAGGTCTGGGCTTGTTAGCATGTGTTTATTCACCTCACACCAGGCACCTCGCATTTTGTGCCCTCTAGCCAAGGCATGCCTCATACCCTGTGGCTTCGACTTGCGGTCTTTGGCTAGATCGAGTGTCGAGCAGTGGATGGTTGTGCCGCAGTACGGGAACGGCAGCCCCGGAGGAAGCCGTGGCACGGGCTTGCCACCGATCTCTAGACGGAAATTGACCAGGATTTTGCTCGGGTTGACCGTAACACCGTACTTGGGGTGGCCGCGCTGCATCACTTCGATGAACCGTGCTGCTTTGGACCGGTCGACGGTGATTAGGAGAAAATCATCAATCAGCCGGAGCAGGAGACAGTCCTCGTTGCTACTGTCAGCCGGCCCCAAGAACCCCAGCTCCTTCTCCTCCAGATCGGCATAGAAATAGCTGCATAGAGCCGCTGATAAGACGGATCCCTGCGGGATGCCTTCTTTCTGCCGATAGAACTTCTTGCCGATTTTGACAATGTTCTGGTGAATGTGTGTGACCGCCAGCCTGGCCAACGACTCGGCATCGCGTGTCTTGCGGAAAGCGCTGTCCACAAACACGGTATTGCACTTGTTCTGTGCAATCGAGCCCTGCACGGCGTCATGGAAGCCAGACAGGTCGTCGCTTGGCCGGGCTGTCGTTTTCCAAGTCGTGCGAGGGCCCACGGTCTTTCTCGAAGCGGCAGGGGCGCTCAAGACATCATTGTATTCTGTCGCCGAGATCTCAACATGCTTCTCCATGTGGTATGCTGCGTGTTCCGGAACAGACAAGAGCAATTTTATCATGGCCTCCTGTGGAATGGTGTCAAAAGCTGACTGGACGTCAACCTTGGCAAAATAAAAGATCGTTTTGTCTTTGGCGTGCATGCGCTGCTTAAAGTCTTTTAGTCGCGAGTACATCCCCCTTGTCGACAGCATGCCTGATCGGAGACGCTCGGGGTGTTCCTTCATTTCGAGCTTGAGCATGGCCGCCACTGGCCGCAGGACTGCATTGATGCTGGCCGCTGGGCCCGAGCCTCCTTTCTTCGGGGCACAATGACTCAGATTGGTAATGGCGCGAACAGTCATGTTCTTGGGCACGAGCCGCAACTTGCCGAAACCAAGATCACGGGCACTGGCCATATGCGCCGTATTTTTTGCGTGGACTCTTTCAAGGCGGCCGGCCTTGATCGCTGCCATGGCCGGCAGCGATATGCGTCGCCAGACATCGTGGCGAAAGTAGAAGAGCTGGTTTCGGTGCACGTTGGACTCGGTCACGTAAAAGTTGGTCGCGAGGAGGGGGATGAGCAGGAGCTCGAAGAGAAAGTAGAGGAACTCGGAGAAGATCTCCTGTCGTTTATCTAGATCGGTCTTGCTTAGCTTGCAGTACTTGAGTTTCGGTGGTGCCAGCCACGGAAGCTCTGCAATCTAAAAAGAAAGTTTCTGTTAGAAGCCGGGAAGAAGAAACGTGAAGCGCGAGATATACTGTCACCGTACCTTGAATCCTTGCAGCAGGGAATGGAAATTGAGCTTTTCATAGCGCTGCAGTCGCACGAACATGTCGATTTTCTTTAAAAATATAGCTTTATTGTGAACTTGGACCTCCCCTAAACCCCAGAAGTCATCTGGGACAATCTTTAGAAAAACTGCGTGGCAAAAAGCAGAGACCTGCCGCACCGGCGTAGCCAACTGCACCAGCGGAACCGGGCTGAGGGGTTTGGATGCTTTCGTCCCGGGTCTGTCGTCTTCGCCCGTCTGTTGTGGATATGGTTCCTTTTTGTCTGCAAGCTTCTCCGACGATTCGGTGCTGCCTGAAGGGGCAGTGACTGGAATGTCTCCTGCCGGAATTGAGCCTTGGCTTCGGTCCGGACAATAATACTGGAGCAGCGCGGCATAGGAACATTTTCGATGAAGCGTTTGCATCTTCTCCACGAGACCCAAAAGCGTTCCACGCAACCGCTTAGGAGTCGGCACCTGGAAATTATATTCCTGAAGTTTTTCTTCTCCGAATTTGGCCACGATCTCTTCTTCCCGTGCAAAAACGTGGTGCAGTGACCGTGGCAATTTCCCGCCATCGGTAGCTGATGTGAAGATATTTTGAAGTCCAAATTGTTTTGGGAATATATGCATCACCGTGCGTATCGTTCTCGCCTTGTTGACAGAGGCAAGAAAATGACCACGGGGAGATTCTTCAGGGAGTTTGGAAAGTTTTGGGAACTGGTCAAGGATATCTTTGTTTCGTGAGCTGTGGAAAAAACACAAAAAAAGGTACAGAGGGAGAGCAACGTACGTCTATTTTGTAGTCCGAAACGGACCTTACCTGCCTTCGAAAGACCGGGCGTGGTATACAGCATGCGGGTTCTCGAGAGCGTGATGTCAGAAGGCTGCTTGGTTTTGGTTGCAGTTGTATTCGTCGGTGGACACGCACCGGCCGTCTTCGTACTGAAGATGGTCTCCATCAGCGGCTTGCCGGTAAGCTGGACATAGTTTCCGTCGCCGGCTTCCACCGGTAGGAAAACCGAGCAATCCAAAAGAAGATCCGTCATGATCTTCTCGGCCGACGCGCCCAGAATGGCAAGCAGCTGTGGCCACGGCGCCTCCTTCAGTGTCTGCGCGTTCTGGGGATTCCTAGCGGCGTAGACACCTGGGATGGTATACGTTGGCAGGGACTTCGCGTTGGCATCGGCAATCTGCTGATGCAGGTCCCAAACGGGCGGCCGCTGGCCTCGCTGAAAGCCATGACAGATGACGTTGTCCGGGAAGCTACTGTAGCCCTTGGATCCGCCGGTTTTCCTGCTGCGTTCGAAGAGAAGCCAAACAACAAAGTCGACAATCTGCCAGATTAGAGATTCGCTCTGAAACAAGCAGAGCAATAGACTGGCAGGGACACGCACCTCGGACTGGGGAGCGAAAGCACCCTCGGCAGCGTTCGAGACCGTCACATACGACTCGTCGGCGCCCTTGGTTTGGGAAAACGTCATGCGTAGTCTCGCCCGCTCGCCGTCATCAAGGACTGGTCCGCTGCTGAAGCCATCAGCATTGGTGCCACTGGCGCAGGCCACGAGCGTCGAGTCGAGTACATGGCTTAGAAGTTTCTCAACTTCGGTGGCATTTTCCTGCTTGCCAACTGCGGACAACTTTTTGCGGCGGAGTCGCGATGTCGCAGGCAGCCGTGTCAAGAGATATGCCCGAAGCGTGTCGACTCGCGCAAAGTACCGGGCCAGGAGAGCTTTCTTGACGGATCGATCTCGGCCAGGAGCGTGGGCCACTGCTTCTTCTCGCGGTTTTCGTTGCGGCTCTGCGGAGTCTCCTTGCACCTTTGCATTCGGCTTTGTTTCCCCCTTCGTCTTTGCTCGCTTCGGCGAGCGGCCATCCGACGTATTATTGGTCTTTGGCCTCTTTCTTTTGGTGGCCATGACACGATGGCGGCCCTGCCAAAGCGGTGACCTGTGTCTCGTCCGGGTCTGATATGTCAATGCGGGCCAGTATCAACGTCCCGTCTTCTATGCTTCTGCCCTCTCCTATTTCCAACTGACTTTGGGCATAGACGTCCGCGACAGCTCCATGGCCTATGTAACTCGAGATCCGGCACGCTGAGGGGAAAGGCAGAGAAGATTGCGATGGCAAGGAGATGAAATTGCAAGAGAACACAGAAGCATTCCTGGCAAATCAAGGCGGTGGTTGCACAAAGGCGGTCAAATTGCGCGTTTGGAAATTGGTGTTGAGCTATGTCGTACTTTCGCAGTGTGTTCAGGCAAGATCGAATGCAATATTCTGTTGACACTACTGGTCCCGTGATTTGCATCCGTCGATTGTTGTTGACCTTGTACAGAGAAGGTATTGTTTATTGGCCAGGGCCATTTGGTCTAATTTACACCTGTTCCAGTTCCTCCTCGGAGCATTCTTTTCTCCCCTGTCTGTTTTCGGGTCCTGTCTGCTTCTTCTCTTGTGACATTTGTGCTCGCTGCGCCTGCTTTGATGCAGAATGCCAGGACGACAGACATCGTACGACGTAATGGCACAGCGTTCACGAAACAGTGTTTTAGTGTTTGTCAAAACCTTTTCTTTGATATGCGCGTCCAGGCGCGTCAGTGGGATTTGGTGGAGAACGTCGCGTTCCTTCTTTTCTGGGTTGGTGAGCCGCCAAGGTTGACGACGGTGGTTCGTGGTCAGACAAAAAGCGGCAGGAGCGATAGTGCTACCGTAGCGCTACAGGAAAGAACAGTTGAGAAAATTGGGAAGATCCACATGTCTCTTTTTGAGCAAGACATAACAGACACAGAAGGCACGTTGAACACACGACGTAAGCACACGAGATAAGGAGGGGGGCACCACGGTGGAATACTTTGCGGAAGACGGCAGTGCGTTCCGGGGGATAGGTCTTGGAATGACGATGGTGAACGGGCCTACTTTGTTTTCTCTCCGTCGATGTGTTCAGAGGCTGCAAACCGCAAAATCGGCCAACAGCGGGTGGTGAAACGCCTGCGGCAAGGCTACGTCGACAATTTACTAGGTGAATCTGACTTTGGAGCCGATCCCATATGAAAATACGATATCGGACAGGCACCAAAAGAAATACACAACAAAGAGACGCACTTGGGGTTGGCCTGACTGAGCAACACACCAACGGCAGCCGTTCCAGGGGGGCCGCACGCCAGGGACGCAAGGGACGAATGGCCTAAGAGATAACAAGACAATGCCCCTGGATTGCGCTGATCCTGTGGCTGCAAGCTCGGACTGAGGTGGTAGGGTGGCCTGCGTTGGTCGCTGCACTGCGAATGTGTAGCGCTTTCTTCCCGTTGGTGGATGCACAATCTGCGAATGGCGAGTGTGTGAGTGCTTCGATTGCGTGTGAGTGGGTGGGTCGCTCTACCCAGGACTGAGTTGCAGATGTGACAAGGATTGGGTTTAGGGTCAGTGTGCCGAGGACGTTTCTTGTTCCGGTCCCAAAGGAAGACATAATTGGGACAGAATGACGGGGGCCCTGAGAATACGGGAAAGCACCATGAATTACGAGGAGAAGCTAGGTCTTCAAGCGAAATACTCTGCATAGATACGAACCTACAGAATGGATAAAAAGGAAGCGAGCAGCTCTTGGAGTGGATAAATGCCTGTACGACTGTGCCAGCGACGACAGGTCGGTGGGCGGATGGACGTGCCAACAAACCACCAGGATGCATCTCCAACGACAACGTAACGCAGTGCAATTGGCGAGGGGGTGTGGGGTGGATGGCCAAGTCGCAGCGTTGGGCAGGCGCGACGGGTCAGATTGTGTTGTCGGTGCGCAGTAGTGCCAGTCGGCAGCGGCCGTTGAATAAAAGGAAAGTGCGACCGGTGTGTGGGAGAGCTATGTACGGTGACAAGAAGGGATCGAGAAATTCGAGGGAGAGAGTGTGTTATCCTGGTCACAGTACGGAGGACGGAGTACGGAATACACACTTTCGTTGTGATGAATGTGGCACAAAATGCGACTTTTTGTGACCAACCGGATGCTCTACTGATCGTCGGCAAGGCTCAACATGAGAAAGATGGAAAGTAACCGCCTCCATACAGCCACGTTCGACTTGGGCAGGGAAAGGGCAGGGGCCACCGCATGCGTGTGGTGCCTTCCCTGGCTGGGACAAGGAAGAAGTGAGAACAGCAAAGAAAAGATGGAGCACCCAGTCGGACATAGAGTGCGTTTTGGATGCAGGGAGCCGTGGGGGGGAAATGCACAGGCGAGTGGCTCAGAAGCAGCACTCCGCAGACCGATATCTTACGACAGCCACGAATAAAGCATGCAGGACGGGGTGTCTAGGGCAGCTGTAGCACCAGTATTGGACGTGTGGACAAGCGGCCGACACGGATTAGCCGCATGCAGCGGATGTGTCGATCAATGCTGGCCAGTCGATTCATCCAGAACCGTGATCGACGGGGCACAAGAGGACGAGAAGGCTTTCAGGCTTGTAGGCTTGTCAGCTTGCTGGCTTGCAGGCTTGGTGGTGAAGATTGAAGGGCTGTGAGAGTAAGACGGAGTGACTGGCGGGGGACGACAGGATGAAATGGGGAATGTGAAGCGAGGAAGTAGACGAGATTGGAGGGAGAATAGGATAGACGAAGGTGCGACTCCAACGACTGTGTGGGCTGTTATCAAAAATGAAAGATCCGACGGCATCACAGCGACGCTCGTATGACCAAAACACAGCGCCGGCAGCACGTCGTATGCCGTATTGCTTGCTATCCAAGGTCGCGCACTCCAATCTGGCAATCAACGAGGAGCCGATACGAAAACGCCCAGATGCGATACGACTGAAAGTACCAGCCGTGGAAGGCGTTTGCCGTTCAAGCCTCACGAGCGTGCAGGTGAATAGAGGAGCCGCCACAGCGAGGGACGAAACGCAGGGTACTGCGGGCCAAGGAGAAGGACAGCGCCCTGCATGTTACGATACAGCCAGTAAAGGTACGCCAGGTTGGCCAGCGAGCTTTGGGAAACGGAGCACAACGGCCACCATCGCAGGCCAACATCTTCCCAACCAGGGAAAACACTCTTCTAGTCATTCTCCCTCTGGAAAGGTAACCTTGGGTCCGTCGTACACTGGACTGGTCGCTCGTTCGTTCCTCCGCCGTTCCTCCACTCCTTCAACCGCACCACCCCGGCCGCTCTCAGACAAACACCCCAGCCATTTAGGCCATCCAGCCCGAACCCTCTTTGACACGCCTCGACCGGGGTCTGTTGGACTAGCGTCGAAAGGATTTGCTGGACTGATGCAGTTGCTGGATACATTGGAATGCCTGTGTGAGCATGTGGCATTTTTGCTTTTGCATTTCCTCTCGAATATTTTGGTTTAATGACGCTGATGTTGCGACGGACTCGCACTTTTGCACTCTACCTCTGAAATACGAAGAAGCACTGAGCCGCCATCTGCCTTCCAGAGATTCCGCGTCACAAATCCGTGGGTATCATCCATACGCACGAGGCCCTGTGTTAGCGTGCTTTTTCTATGTTGTTTTGGCTGCAAACTCCGTCCCCCATAGGCGCCAGCCTGTACCTATCCCGCGAACGATCGCCCCTTCCCCAAATCGCTGGTTGTCGCTGCACAGCGCCTGCCTTTTCCCCCGAGAGAGACACGCGCTTTTGCATAAGCCAGGCTAACCCACCCGTTCTGACTGCATCCTGCACCCGCCATTCCAAGACAGAGCATCCCGTCGCCTCCTGTTTCTCTGTCTCCCCCTTCTCGTGCCCTCGCGTTTCTCCTCGTCCACCCCCTTCCCCCCCAATCGCTCGCCGAGCAGGCATAGCCAACCAAGACCGTTTGCCCCAACCGGCCGCGAAAGCCTAAATGTCCAGCCTGTCATGGACGGCGGCCACCGAGACGAGGACGATCCCCTCGATCCTCCCAACCGCCTCGACCGCCTCGACTTGTTCGACCGACTGGACCAGCTGGACCGCATGAACAACGCAGCCCGTCCCAGCAACACCCACCTCGACAGCCACAGCCTTCTGCCACAGCCTCCGTCTGACCGCCTCGACGCGAACCTCAGCAAGCAAACACTGGCCTCACCCTCCCCGCGTGATCATCACCACATCCAGCAACAGCATCTCCATCACAACCGCCACGCGCACGCCCTCCAGCCGTCGCTGCTGCCGTCCTTCGATGTCCCGCCTCCACCAGCACCGCCACCGCCGCCCCTGTCGTCGTCATCGTCCCGTCCGTTTGTCGCGTCCAATGCCGGCGTAGACACCGCGCAATATTCGGCCAAACCATCTTCTCAGCCCTTTCCCCCATTTCCCGCCCACCACGACGCCCACAGCGACTTGCTCGACGACCCTGGCGACTTTTATCGCTCTTACACCGACAACAGCCTTCGGGGACACCAGCAAGACGGCCAGGACACGGCCGTGGCGTTCACGGCCGCTGACCTCATGGCACCAGAGACACCTGTCTCTCAACCAGCACCGCTCGCACCGTCCCACAACACCTCTCCCAATGGCGTAACCATCAAGCAGATGCACGAGTCACAGCAGACACAGCAATTACCGCAGCGGTCCCGGCCAACAGCGTCGCTCGCCAGCCGCACAAATGCAATTCGGTCTGGTCGTTCCGTCTCGACTCCTGTCGGCAGCAACGGCGCCAACCCGACCACCAACCGGTCGGGCTATGGACCGTCCGCCTCGTCGTCCACCAGCGTCAAGGACTTGAAGAAGCGCTTCGACCAGATCAACACCGGCCCGTCAGCCTCCGCCACAGCCGCATCATCGTCTGCATCGTCTTCGACGCGGTTAAAACCGACGACACGGACCGGCCTCGCTCCACCCTCAACAGCGTCTCGATCTCGGGCGACTACAGCCGGCAGCAACCTGGGTCCGTCACCGACCGCCACGACGCGAGCCAAGACGCCGACGAACCGCACCCACGCCCCGCCGCCAGTGAGCAGTCCGAACTCTTTTGCCAGCCGCATCGCCAAGCCGCGAGCCGGTGCGCCGGGAACGCTTCCCACCTCCGTCAACGAACAAGCGTCCAAGTCCACGCCTCATCTCACGTCGCCCCTCGCATCACCGCGGGCAAACCGGACGGCACCGCCACCGGCCCCGCCGCCTGTGTCACGAGCGAATGGCCTATTGTTTGGAGAGATCCTGCCCGAATACAATAATTCGTTAACCACTGGATACGGCATCGACGCAGCAGTCCGACCACGGCGAACGTCCGAGTCCGTCCTGCACGACCCCCCGCGGATCTTCACGCGCTCACGGTCTGAGATGGACCAGAATGCCGAGGCCGTGTCACCCACAGATTGGTATCGTAGCGCAACCTCGCCACGATCTCTGGCCGACCAAGGTCCAGGCACCCAAGGAGATGCCTCGTTCCAAAACCAAGCTCCACCGGAGCGCACGGCAGCACCATCGCGCAGTCCGACAGGACACATTCGGGCGCACAGCGATCTCGCCGGGGCAAAACCGACGTATCACCACCACCACCATAAAAATCAACAAAGCGGACAGAACAACGCTCTAGCTGTTCTGCCGCCTCCGCCTCCGTCCTCTAACCCTCCGCCTTCGCGCCTCGCCACACAGAACAAGAACCCTACTACCACCCGTCCGCCTACCTCCATGTCCGACGTGCCGCAGTCGCCAACATCCCCCACCTCGCGCCTTCCCATCTCCGTCAGAAAACTGTCTGAAGCTTCCAACCGCTCCAGTCCATCGTCGACACGCTCCAACTCCCCCGCATCTGCAGCTGGACGCCGCTCTGCCGCGGCCAGCAGAGTCCCACGTCAGCAGCACCCGCAGCACCAGCATGGCCCCCCACCATCCACAGCGAATGCGAAGACACCAGCAAAACGTGCAGCAACCCCAACATCGACAGCCGCCTCGCGGGCCAAGGCCGCAACAACGCCCACCTCGACCTCGTCGCGCAGACCCCCACCGTCCCAAATTGCGACCTCTGGCAATGGCCGTCTCAGTGCCTATATTGCGGCGCCGCCACCAAAGCTTTCTCCACCCCTCCGCAGCTCACGACCAAGGCAACCTGTCTCATCCGCAAACGCTCCAGCCTCTGCGTCACGCCTGGGCCGGACGTCTGCAGCATCCTCGTCGTCGTCCACCACCGCCGAACGAAGTCGGATGCCGTACGCTGGCAGCACCCGCTCGTCGGCCGCAAAACAAGATGAAAGTCGAACTGCCAATCGCCGAAAGATTGACGTCGGTCCTATCGACTTCGCCCAGCGCCGCGAGACGATCCGTCTCAAATATAGCAAGTCCATCCGAGAAACGGAGGCCTCGGCGGCGCGACAGGCTGCGGCAGACAGACGGAAAAAGGAGCTCGAGGCTGCTGCCAAAGCCAAGGCACTGGCCGAAGCTGCTGTACGCGCGCAGTCCGAGGTCAGCAGGCGCGCCATGGCTGCCTCAGCGGCCACATTGTCCTCCAAGTCGTCAGCATCATCCCTGTCGGCCTCGTCCAATGCGGCCGCTAGCACCACGACCCCGTCGGCGGCTGCCGCTGCCGCTGTCGCACGGTCTCATAGCGTCCGGTCGTCAACCGCCTCCGTTGCTGCCAATGCGGCGGTATTGGCAGCGGCGTCGTCATCGTCCCCAACGGCCTCCAGATTCCCGGGCACGTCAACGCCACCCCCTTCATCACCCACTGCTGCCACTGCTGCCAGTGCAGCAGCAGCAGCTTCGGCAGCAGTCTCTACACCGCCCCGCAACAGTCCCCGCCAAAGCCCACTAAATAGTCCGGGCGTGCGACGCACTGTCAGCGTGCGGAACAGCGCCGTCGAGCTACCGCCTCTGGCCATCTCGACCTCCATCCCGGAATTGCGGCCGGCCCCAAGTCGCCGGGTTCCCAGAGAGAATGACTCACCGACACTGGGCATTCCAGGGACATTTCCCGGTGGCGTGTATTCACCGCCCCGAAAGGATGCCCGAGACGAACCGCCGCCATCGGCGATTTCTGTCAACTCCGCCATCACCGAGTTCGACAATGAGCCGCAAACAGATCCTCCGCGGCAAGACACTGCTAGCGGCCTGCAACATGCTGGAACTGAACTGCAGCCGCAACCCGGTTACCTTAGTTATGGCAACGCAAAAGTTGAGTATCGCTCGCCTTTTGACTTGCCTACACCAGACGATCAGACTGCCCACACATCTCATCATTCAACCCCTCAGAAACTGCACACACAAGGGGACGACACGTACAGGTCCCCAAAGTCCTCGTACATGTATCCCTTTGAAGATGAGGGGACTGATGATGTAACACCTATGGCAAACAACGTCTCAACCGAACTACCAAAAGATGCCAATATGTCGCCTTTTGATCGTTTCATTCCTGGCTCATTCCGCCAGGACAGCTACGAAAGCAGGCCTTATACGCCTCCTCAAGATCGCGATGCTTCGCAGGAAGCTACCCAGCTGGCCACATCGTTGCACCAAAGCCCCGTGCGAGTACAAGAGCTTCGCCGAAGCGACTCTGGCTACCACATGGCGGAACCGACAAGCGAACGCGATGTACCCATCCAAATCGGAACCGCCGTCACTGAGACACCGGACGAGACAGCACGGGAAGACATTGCCATCGGCTTTGCGCTCACATCGTCAGTGCCTACAGCAAACGTGGAAGAAGATTCTGAGCCGACAATGCCGAGTCGGAACATCGAGCCAGAGTATGAGGTGCAGCCTTACCAGCCAGATAAGGTGCAGACAACGACAACTGTCACCATACTTGGTCGCGAGACCGACATTCCCAGCCGGCGCCCGCCCTTGTCACGGCTCAATAGTTCATCTAGCCGCCTGGATCTGCCGAATGACTCTGACTATGGAAACCCCGAGGGCTTCTACGCCGTGCCGACCTTGAAAGACAACATCGCGGCGTTGCGTGGATCCGCATTTGCTTCATCTGATATTTCAGACGAACCCCAGCGGTCAGCCAGCGAGCCACAGCGCACACCGGATACGTCCAATAGTCTCAACTTGCCTTCGCTCATGTCCCCTGCAAACCGGTCCAGCCAACAATCTGGCTGGACAGATTTCTCGATTGAAAGCGAGGATGCCCGCGCGTTCCTTGCCGCCCGGGACTCGGCGGCTTTATCGAACAGTACGGAGGTGATCAACAGTAGCCACGATATCGATGGCGGCCCTACCATTCGTACCCGTGCAGTGCCGCCTTCGGTATTGCAAAACCAGCAGAGCCAGCAAAACCAGCAAAGCGAGCAAAACCAGCAGCGTCTGCGACCGCGCCACCGTCGGAATCCGTACGAGTTTGATTCCAGGCCCGCTTCGGTTCTCGAAGGCGAGCAGGAGCAAAATGAACGGGATGAGAATGTCGACCCATACGACGAGGAATCGCCTGATGGCCCGGGAACTTCGCCAGCCGACGAGCCTACGTCGACCATGCTCCCGGAGCTGGATACGGGGACCAACTTTTTCGTCCCTTATTTGTCGGATGACAAGGTTGCGCACCAACATATTCCCGTGCTTCCCGACCACGACCCGCCGCCAATTCCTGTGTCCGTCGATGGGCGAGAATCCTTCACCGAAAACAGTGTTCGCCCGAGCTCGTCCAGTGCGTACTATGATTCCTCGCGCCCAAACAGCTTTGCTCTTGGTATGCGCGACGACCATGACGGCCAAGATTCGTTCACGTTTGGTGGGAATGGCAGTGCGGACGACTCCATGTATACGTCGCCCCCACCAACCATGACAATGCAGTCGTCTGCCCAAGCATCCCTTGATCTCCCACGGCAGTCGATTAGCGGCGCGACACTTATTGACAGCGAGCGGCCTAGTGGGCTTGACGGTACTGGTGATGCCTACGAAGGCGATGCTCCTTTCAAACGTACAGGCGGCAGCCCCAAGAAGACCGCACCCAGCAAAGAACAGTCGCGTCTTGTCCAGCGCCAAATGGTCATTCGTGAGCTGATTGATACCGAGGCCGTTTTCGTGCGCGACATGAACATTGTCGAGGAGATTTACAAGGGCACGGCCGAAGCATGCCCGCAGCTCGATGCCAAGACGGTCAAGCTCATTTTCCGCAATACGGACGAGATTATTGCTTTCCACACAGCGTTTCTGGTCCAGCTGAAAGACGCCGTGTCCACGGTGTATGCTCCAAAGGGTGGCCGGCGCACTTCCCCCCCACCTCGAGAAGACTCCATTTTGTCCGAATCGGACACCCTGAACTCAACGTCGGCAACCTCCGCGGCCGAGACGACCGGCTCGGCCTCGACCACAGCAGCTGCCTCGTCGGCAACGACTGGGACAGTTGCTGAAGACGCCCGGGATCGCCAGACGTCTCTCGGACCTGTTTTCCGCAAGAACATTGACCAAATGCGTGTCACCCACGAAGCCTTCTTGCGAAGCAGCGACAACGCGGCGAAACGCCTCATCCAGATCCAAGAAGACCCGACTGTCAAGCTTTGGCTCACGGAGTGTAATGAGGTGGCACAGGATCTGACCGCCGCCTGGAACCTCGACTCGCTGCTGATCAAGCCCATGCAACGCATCACCAAGTATCCGAACCTGATCAGCCAGCTGCTCCAGTACACGCCCGAAGATCACCCCGACCGTGGCCCGCTCATCTCCGCGCGCACCGTTCTTGAGAACTCGATCCTCGAAATTAACAAAACCAAGAAGAACTTTGAGCTGGTTGGCCAGATTGTCGGCCGCAAACGCAAGGACTCGGACGTGCGTGCTGGTTTTGCCCGGGCGTTTGGCAAGCGCGTTGACAAGCTGCAAGTGTCCAGCAACCGGCCGCCTGAGGACCAAGTGTATACCAAGCTCAACGAGAAGTTTGGCGACGACTACCTTCGTCTGCAGGTAGTCCTTCGCGACGTGGAGTTCTACACCCGCCAGGTCTCGGCATACGTGCACGAATTCTTGCAGCTTTTATCGGCCATGGAACTGGTTATGCGCCTGCAGCCGTCGCCGTACCCAGAGCTGGAGAGCAAGTGGGCCCGCTTCAATGTGTCTATGCGCGACATGGAAAAGGTGGCCCTGGATCAGCATCTGGCACAGGTCCGAAAGCACGTCATTGAGCCGTTTGAGCTGGTCATCAAGTGCTACGGCAATCCGAGTCTCGCAATGAAGAAACGTGCAAAGCGGCGACTCGACTACGAACGGGCCGCACAGCTCAAGAAAAGCGGGAAAAAGGTCGACAAGCAACTCGCCGAGCTCGTGGAGCAGTATGAGGCCCTCAACGAGGCGCTCAAGAAGGAGCTGCCCATGCTGTCTGCCAACACAGAAAAGATTGGCAACATCTGCCTGGGCAACTTTGTCAACATCCAGGTCCGGTGGTTTGCCATCTGGAAAGAAAAGGTCAAGGTTGTGCTGGAAGACCAGCAGAACGTGCCGGAGGTGGTTGACATTATGAGCTCGTTTGCGCGCGACTTCCACGACATGGAAGACCACGTCAAGCAAAGCTTGACAATCCTGACCAAGGGCGCGGGCGGCAGCAGCAGCGGTAGCGCTGGCCGTGCTGATGACAGCCAAAGCAGCCCCACTCCTGGTGGCACGAGCATGCTTCGGACGCGCTCTGGCCGACCGATGGATCTGTCTCCCCGCGGTCGCGGCGAGTCTGTGAACAGCGACAGCGCACCGACGCTTCCAGCCCCCGACTTTGGCGGACGTGCCAGCGGCCCCTTTGCGTTCTCGCCCACGACGACGTCTGCGCCGAACCTGGCCGGACACGCGGCATCCACATCGATAGCAACGGCTGCAGGACTACCAAGTCCACACCAGTACTACTACCGCGGCGACTACTACAGCGGCCTCAACCTGAATGACAACCATGCTCGCAGCGGTGGCTCTGGCTCGCCTGGTATGCCGGCCGAGTCATCGTCGTCGACACGGTCGCTTGGTGGCTATGCTGGCGGTAGCAGCGTTTCGGTATCGGGGTCTGGACGGCCCAGCACTGGTCGCAGCTATGACTCGTCCGGCAACACCGCGCCGCGCCCGAGCGTCGACTCGCTCAACAACAACCATGGCCTGCCGACCGCTGGCCAATCGAGCATGGCAGCGGCCCTTCAGGCTAGCAAGCGCGACTCGGGATCCACGTACAACTCCAGTAACCAGTACCCGCCGGGCAGTACGGTTGGTGGCGACAGCAGCAGTATGACGGGCAGCGGTGACCGCCGCTTCTCGGGCCTATTCCACTCGGCGATGCCCATGGATGACATTCCGGCACCGACCGCGACCTCTGTGCCAGGCGGCGGCAGCCACCACCACCACCACCACCATCACCACCACCAGCGCAACCACCACCATGGTGGCGCCGGTGGCCACCTGATGGCAGATGATGCCAGCCGACTGTCGTCACGCGCACCTTCGCGGGAACGGGCCGGGACGACGTCCTCGAACGCCTCGTCGTCGACAACGGGCGCCGGCCACAGCAGCGGATACAATGTGCTCTGGCTCGCGGCGTCTCTGTTCGAGTTCAATATTGAGACAAAGCACGAAGCAGGGTACCCGTACCTGACGTACCAGGCAGGCGAGGTAATTGAGACCCCCCCCAATGAACCCGCAACCCATTCCAGTGCGATACGTGACTCCCAACATACTGACAACGCGTTAAGATCTTTGATGTTATTGCCGAAAAGGGCGAGCTGTGGCTGGCCAAGAATCAGGACGACCCGTCCGAGCTTGTGGGCTGGATCTGGTCGAAGCACTTTGCCAAGCTGGCCGACTCGTAGAGCGAGCATGCGTCAGCAGGTGTACAATGATGGTGAAACCATTGTGTCGACTCTGTACTGTATGATATTCTTTTTGTTTTGGACTGCCGGTTTCCGTTTTTGAGAACACATAGCCACATCTCTGTTTGGAATCTCAGCGTTTTTTTCTGGATTCTCTCTTTCATACTTTTTTTTTACAATGACAGACGAAAGGATGAACAGGGGACTGTTCGCATCAGATAAGACGGACAACGGCGAACCAGGATGGAATGGAGGGGAAAAAAAGCAAGGGTCAGGGTAATAAAAGAACAGGAGTTTTCTTTGTTTATTTCTATTTTGTTTTGACTACCTTTTCTCTCCTTCATCTGCTCCAATCTTGACCTGTTGACTTGGACAGTGCCTTCTTGTTTTTCGGAACCAGCGGGCGTTGGCTGCCTCCTATTTTTATATTTTGCATTTCCTATTTCCCATTTTTCGCTTTTCGGTTTAGCCTTTTCGTCTACCCTTTCATTGTATGGCATCATTAGAATTCACATCCTGACTGTCACCGGTTCGCAGTACCTCTGTTTTCTCGAAGCCGCTTGACGATGTTCTGTACTGGCTTGCACAATGTCTTCTGTATAACCTTTGCCCCCTATTTTTAAGTTTGCCTTTCTCCAGCGTTGATACTGTTTCATTCCTCAGCACACAACTTAATTGCACGTTGTATAATTTTTGCACACTCGTGTCTTTCCAGCTTTTTTGTTTTCTGCACTGATTTAGCCTCGTGCCGTCCCTCTGCAGAGACTGTACACAAACATGCCGCATCCCAGTGACCCGGAAGCCATATTATTATTGAGCAGACATGGGAGGACTGGCAATATTTTATTCGCCTGAAGCAATCATATATAATATACTGGCGACATGTGGAGCGACGCCCGTAGACCCAGGCCCGGCCGCGACATCTCAAAAGCGCCCGAAACCCGGATCGCTGCATGTTTCGCGACACGAAAAGTTATGGTGTACAACATTTATGGAGCGGCATCCCATCCATCTCTTTTGTGTCTCTCTTGACTTGGTCATGTCGTGTCCTGTACGACTTGATTATGCATGCCAGCTGTCACCTCTTAGTGTTGCCTCAGAGCAAAAGATAAAAACGGTGTGTGGCTGTTTTCTTGCATGTCTGATGTAACAAGCCACCCGCCATCCTTTGTTTTTTTTGGCCTTGTCATGTTTTAACTGCCCCCTTACACGGTGGTACTACGGCATGAGCCACAACGAGATTAGCAAGGAGAGGAGCCGAGTGACTGGGGGTTGGATAATACAAATAAACAATGTGAGTGTGACATTGCCAGAGACGGCAAGACGTCGTATTTTATTTATTTTTATTTTATTCCTTTCCGCGCGGAGGAAGCAAAATAGTACAACTTACGGCGTATGTACACACTTGTGCTGCTTGAAAACATCTCCCACCTCCCTTCGAAAGCGATGACAGGGGGAGGGACTGGGAGGTTTTGTAGCACCCGCCCCAGGAAAGAGATTACAGTGATGTTCCCTCCCCGCCCACATTTTCTGTCATTAAAGGTTTCCATTCCTTGCTCAGCGGCTCGATTCTGCGGAGGCATAAAATATGCTCCCAATAATTAGGCTCGGCATTTGACCCTGTGACAGACCCCCTTGGTCATTTAAACTTCTTTCTGTAAATGCACCGTAATGGCTGCGCAAAGAGACACTACCGTCTTCTAGTGCATCCTCTCCTTGCAGCTTTTTGTGATATGAGAGTCAGCGGCGGCGCAACGAAGACAAGACAAAGCTGAGGCTGTAGAAAAACTAGCTGTAAGTGTGAGGAATTGCGTACGTATGGCAAAGGGAGTAATACGACGCCGGGGACTGATACAACGAACATCAAGATTGCCATGTTGACAGTGGTTCTGGGTCGTCTGGAGACGCAAGAGATGAACTCCGAACTCTCTATTACAACGGGTTTTTGGTTTCCCTGGAACTGGGAGTCAATAAAACCCTGGAAGATACCACCGTCGGCCTGCACCGGTGTGCTTTGACGGTGAATCCCGCTTAGATATTGTTCCTCCGTTTCTACAGTCCTCCATCGTGCCACGGTCGTTTACTTTGCGGCTCTAGATCGACACACGCTAGACGCATGAGGGAAGCGTACGAGAGGTGAACATGAACGAAGAAGAGACAAATAAGGGAAAGAAAGGAAAAGTAGAGGTGTGCATCTGATGCAGGATGATTGACGACAATGCAGTCGCCATACTGACACCGCACCGACACTCCCTGTCAGCCTGCAGGCCGGAAAGAATCGAGGAGAGAAAGAAGTCTTCTGGAACGTGACGCTCAGACTCGGCGAATGCGGATGTGCATAACGATGTGCACTGGGATGGTGTCTGGCGAGGAAACCGCCTGTGGGTTCAACGGGAGAAGGAAGTAAAACATACACAGTAGAAGAAAAAAAAAAGAAAGAAAGAAAGAAGAAGGGGAAGAGGACAGGAAAAGAGGGGCTGGCGGATATGCAAGAGAAGACGAGAGAAGACTTTCCTCTCGTCCCGATTTGGACGCATCGAAAGATACATTGTCCGCGAAGCACGTCGCACGCACAGCATGCACAGACGGAACCCCTTGAAACCATGAGCTCGCCAACCTGGGTCCGGGTAGATCGGCAGTCGCAGGTAGCCCACCAGCGGTGTCATTTGTCAACGTCCTTGTCGTCGTCTGTTGTTTTCTTCGTCTCGTTGGCTTGTCACATCCATCGTCTTTTTCTTTCCATTTTCTTTCTTGTCTCACTCTGGCGCATCTCCTGATCAACCATCCACCAAGGCGTTCCCACAGCTCCCACAGCTGGGAAGGTTGTGCAACTCTGGCGAAGAAAAATGGTGGGAAAAGAAGGCAATGCCGTGAAGTCTGGTCGAAAATAGCACAAAAACTGCAAATTAATCAATCTCGTTTCCGTTCAGCCAATGGCACATCGAGGCCCATCCGGTTCACATTTCCTTTTCCATGGCACCTGGGCCGTCCCAAAGCCAGGTCTGTGGCGTGTGTGTCTGTGTGTCTGGATGCCGCATGACCAAGCTCCAGTTACGATGCAAATATTGTTCGTGGGGTTCTTTCTCGTTCTTTCTCCTCGAAATCTTCATTTCGAGCTCTGCGCCTGCTCGTATTCTCCATATCGACCATGTGCTCATCCCAATAATACTCGACAACCTCTGTCGATATTTGACCCAACAATGAAAAAGAAAAGGACCTTGCCGGTGCACCTTTTCTTGTAGTCTTGGAGTCTCGTCAATGCATATTGAGGACGACGTACGTTCCACGCCAAGCCGCGATTAAATCGTTTCAACGCGATGGACAATGTTTGGTGGTCTGTCGTTTTTCATCTCATCCCATACTCGTCTGCTTTCTGGATGTCAGGCTGCCCTTTTCTCGAGACTCATCTGGAGTTCGCTTGCCTGAGATTTGGAATCTCTCTCTGTCCCTCTTTCCTGGAAGCTCCTGGATCGACACCGATGTCTGGTCTCATCTGTTATCTGCCGCCGCCAATTGCGTTGGTGTCTGTCCCAGGTTTTCCAAGGATCTCCAGGCCTCCCGCTTTGGTCTCTTCCGTTCTCCTTCGGTTGTTGCCAGTGCCCCCTGTCATGCCTTCGATCGGCCTCGACAGCTGCTGTGCCGCGACGGTGGTGTTGCCTGATCTCCCTATGCTATTGTGTTGTACGCCTGTTAAGACATCGGTGGCGATGACGAGTGCAATGCGTAGCTTGGAAGCACTCCGTACCGAGCATGAAGCCACGGAGTGCGGAGTATATTCCGTTTAAAGACATCGAGAACGCGCCGCGTAGAATACATAGTTGATGTCAGCCGCCAATTTATGGCTGACCATGGCTGCCCTTTTAGGCAGTCCATTGCCGTACCATCCTTTTGCTTGTTTTCACTTTGCTTTTTTTTTTCCTTTTCCTTGTTTCGTTCGCACTTGCCTGCGGAGCAATCGTTGAACCGAGCAAAAGGCAATTGAATTTGGCAGCGGCACATTGACCGGAAAGAACTACTGGTCGCTGTCATTTGGTGTATTTTAACTTGACATGCAGTAGGATGTAACCCGCGCTATTTCTGGCACTCATCCCTTCCCAATCCAGCAGCTTGGGAAGGGATAGATGCCGTCTGTGGCACAGCACATGTATCTTACAGCGCACGCCACACTCGCAGCACAGGCACACGGAAGGAACGAGGGGCCAGAACAAAGACACGGCAGTCACACCTTCTGGGAAACTTGCGAGTAGACCCCTCCAACCTCGCTAAAAAAAAAAAGGCCCCAATGCCTAAACGCCTACATGCTTTCACGTCCTAACACTCCAACGCCGTCGTTAACCCGTATCCCTTGCGTCAGGGTGGGCGGAGGGTTTCCACGCCCCTATGGTATGGCACCTTCTTTGCCCTGCCTCCAAAACCCTTCAGCATCTAGCGCTTGCCGTATTGGGCTAAACGCTAGATGACTAGCTGAGCCCGCCTATTGGTTTCCCACCGCACCGGAGCCAACAGGCACAGGGACAGAAGGGGCGCCGGGCAGGCAGGAGCCAAGGCCTATTGGCGCTTTTGCTGACAGCATTTCCCCAATTCCGTCTCAATGCTCCTGGCTCCTTCTTGCTTTGAACAGTAGCCAGTATGCAGGGAGAGACGTTTGCGTTTCATTGTTTATTCTGTGTTAAAATTCTTCAACGAAGATGCTGGGCAAATCTTGGCTCTCAACGTTACTGCTTGACATCGAGGTCTGCCTCTGTCTCACATCCTCTTTTCCTAAAAAAGCATCCGCCCGTGCACTCTCGCTACGGAGCAGGCGCTTTCGCCCAGGAGCCACTGTGGAGAGCAATCCTCGCGCAAGGTAGCAACTTAATCCTCTTTCGGGCGGGTTCTTGCAGTGCATTAATACTAGCACGGCGCATTCTCTTTCCCGTTTTGAATTGACACAGACAGACGGGACCACAGAAGCCCACCACTGCCGATGACCTACCTCCATACACTGAGCTTATGACACCCGGTCAGTGCTGCATAGCATACTTCGTAGCCGCAGCTTCCTAATTCGTGCAGGTGCCCTGTCTCTCGATATCTGATTTCTACTCTACTTCGTAATACTTCGTATGTTAATATTGCTGGCTAGGCCGCACATGCTGTGCCCCTTCTTGGGTCCTTCTAGTTCTGGACATACTTTATCCTGCTCCGACTTCTCCAACACTCGTTCCCTTTGGAATAAGCACGCGTCGCAGCTTGTTTCTCCGCTACTTCCCAATTTCTGGGTCTTCAGACTGTTTGCTAGCGAGCTGATGTCCTTCTCCTCCCAAGCCGTCGCCCCCCCTGACACTTGTTCCGTTTGTAGTCCCACCTCTATCCGTCCTCTGTAACCCACACCTTACATGGTCTCCTCGCAGCGCCTCCCAATTCATCCAGCCGCTACTCTCAACACTAAAACACCATAAACACCTAACTGGCGGGCGATACGACATGTCCAAGGCACTTTGAGACACAGTGACCTCATGGTCCCTAAGTAATTGCTCCGTACGGCGGTCCGCGCGACTTGATATGTCAAATGCAGTTCAGCTTCCCACGCCACAGCACACACAGACATACTGCCAACCGTCCCCTACTATCCCAGAAAATAAATACAAGAGACAGGAAGCTTCCGCGTGCCGTGACGAGTGCGAGTTCCCAGAGAGCAAGTGCTGGCCAGCCCCGTAGCCAAGGCATTTCGCAACAGCCACTTGACACAATACAAATGCCCTCGTAGTCGAACATAATATGTCGTAATGGGTAAGTTGCCAACACCCACGCGTAAATTTATACGGGAGACCCGACTCCATTGTCCATTGACTTGCCACCTGCTACCCTGCTAACTGCACACCTCAAGGGAAAGCGGCTGGGATGCACCTTCTTTCTTCTTGCCTGAGTCCTTTAGGTTTCGACTATCTATGCTCAGGGCCTTTTAGCTCTCGTTCGTTTTTTAGTGTGTTTATCAACGCCGTTCTCCGTCCTCCAAGAACCGCTAGCGCATCTCCTTGCTCGTTCCAGGCTCTGGCTTTTTTCCTTTGCTCGTATGTGGCCGTCGTATTTCTACTATTTTGTCTGGCAGCTCCTCCCCACATGCGGATTGCTTCCCCCCCAAAGCAAAGAAACAAGCCTCTTTTCTCAACTGTCAAACTTACCTTTCCATCCCATCTCCCTGTTTCGCCTCCTCGCTCCTTCCTCGCTCCCATCCACAGTCTTGTTCTTAACGGGGAGCCTTCCGTCTCGACTCCCACATGACCTGCACCACCTTCTCCCACCTTCAACACCTTTTTCATCCGCATCGACGACTGCTCTCCTCGTCGTATTATCAGCTCCACGACCGCCGACTAGTCCCTCTTCTCCATTCGTCCCTCGCGCCTGTTTGAGAACTGCGGCCCAGTCTGCAAAGGTGTGCCCCTGTCCCCTGCAACCGGCCCCCTTCCTCTCTGCACCCCTGCTCTTCCTCCAACTTCTGAATTTGGCTCCTCGTCTCTCGTCTCTCGTCTCTCGTCTGACCGCATGCTTGCGACTTTGCTCTCCGTCGCATTTACGACATACCCTTGCAGATCAGACCAAGCACTCATAAATAAAGCCTGAACTTGTACCTCGCCTTACTTTCAGGACTTTTTTTTTTCACATTTATTATTATTATTTTTTTACTTTCTCGCTTTGCTGTCACGCTTTCTTTGCTCTCAGTCAAATGTGCTCTGCTTGTGGATAGGCATTGCTTAATTTAGAAGACAAAAACAGACACACTCGGCTGTCGCGTTGCTGCTCCAGCTCCCGACGTAATTACGTCTCGACAACTTCAGCTCGACAGGCACGACATCCGACCAAGCCTACAAAATTCCACGGCTTACGACGTTCAAGGCGCGCATCGACCAGCTCCTTGTCCCTGGTTTTGCTGTCTCGCACTGTTCTTATTTCTCCTTCTCTTTTTCGGCTGGTGGGTCTACCTAGCCCCCTGGCTGGCTGCCGTGATCTTCTTCTGTCAACCGTCTGCTCCGCTCTTTTGGCTCTCCCACCGCCAGCCTTTTGGGTCCTGCTCTTCTCTTCCGCACGGCTCCACGCAACGCAACACACAGACACATCCCACACCTCCTTTGCGCGGCGAGCCAGACACGCCCCCTCCACCCCCTCCTCTCTGCAACCCGCCGTTCAATATCCGTCATCCGCGCGACCAACCACGCAAGACACATGCCTGCACTCACACGCAAACACAAACGGCTGACAAAAGAGCAACAATAACGCCGCTCTTGTTACTGCAGAGTGAGCTCGAGAAGACTAGCAAAGCGGCCAAGCTATTGTAAACAAAAGGCTCTGGTGTGCCCGCCTCTCTGGACCTGGATCGTCTCTCGAACTCACTTATTACGCCTTTCTTCTCCCTGTCCTTGTTATTCTACGGCCTCGAGCACAAGCATCTTCCCACAATTACTCTGACAAACGGTACGCAAGGATATATACATATATATACACGGCCTGCCTCTATCTTTTCGGTACGTGCTTTTCTCTCTCCCGTCCCACCTCTGCCTTCTTTTGCTTCTGGTTTTGTCCCCTCTTACTCTCTCTTCCTCATTTAAACAATTCCACACGCGACACAAGGACAGTTGAGACAACTGAGCTGACGCCACGTGAAGGTCATTTCGGCCCTCGCAACCGCCTCCCACCGTCTTGTCCAGCATCATCTCATTACTGTACTCTTAAGCTAGCCTACACCTCCGCAATTGGCAGAAGCTTGCTGACCTTGGCCTGTCAAACGCACTGGATTCAGTAAAGTCACTTTACTCGATACCACCGACACATCGCACGCAAACGAACACTCGTGTTTCTTCCGTCCTCCGTTTGACGTGTTTGAGGCCGCCGTCAAGCTATTTTGACTCCACGAACAACAAACACTGGCACTTTGTGAAAGTCAACAGTTTTACTCTACCTGCTTCCGAATAGAAAAAAGCACGGGCGTCGGGAACATCGTGCGAAGTCGGCCCCTCACTTTTCGCTGTTAAGACCTCCTTTTTCTTCAGTATCGCCTTCGCCCACTATCGTGGCCTGCTGTCGCCAACGCTGCCGCCTCTTTTGTGACACCAGCGCGGGTAGAACAAATCCACACATTTGATTTAACATTATCTTTTGGAGTGGGCAGTATGAACACACATATATACTCGCAGCAATCCCAACAACCGTCAGCCATGCAGCAGGACATGCACAACCAACTGCCTGCCCTCGGCCATCAGAGTTATCAACAGTCGCACCAGTCGACACACCTGCCCACCATGAGTCTCCCTCCGCCGCACGGTTACGCGGACCAGTACCAACACCCGTCGCACGCGCAACATCCCCAGCATCCCCAGCACTCTCAGCACCCGTCGCATACTCAGCATCCGTCGCATTTGCAGCATCCTCAGCATGCCTCGCAACACTCGCAGCACTCTCAACATGGCCAACATTCGCAGCATGCCCCACTACCAACGTCGCTCCCTCCTGTTGACCCTGGCCGTTCGTCGCCCACACCCGCCTTGGAACCACCAAAGCCCACGCCAGAACAGGAGGCGGCCACGCGGAAAGCTCTTGAGCCCACTGTTGGCAGCGAGGGAACCCGGTCCTACAGGTGCTAATCACCCTCCCCCTTCCTTCATGCTCCCGCTCCCGCGTTCCTTGCGAGGAATGAGACAAACCGAGCTCAGCGTTTTGTATTTTGTTTTTGTGGCTCCATGATACTAACGCCGAGATGCACTGGTAGACTCGATGTTGTGCAACAACCGAAACGTGCCCGAATGTGTGGTTTCGGCGACAAGGTACGACCAGGCAAACCCAACCCAGCGTTCCCTTGCCTCTAGCTGCCGCAAATCTGTGTCTCTTTTGACGGCGTCTTACTGCATTTCCTTGTTTGCAAGATGTGTCCGTCGAGGTTTTGGAATGCGTGTTGCCATTTTCTGCTTCCTCAGTTTACTAACCCCTCTTACTTGCTTTGTAGGACCGACGGCCCATTACCCCTCCGCCTTGCGTGCGTATCGTTGTCACAGACCTGGCGACCGGCAAGGAGGTGGATTGCAAGTACGTGGCAGAAATTTGTCCCACGTCTCACAGACGGAAGGGTACCCAAAGTCCTGCGCAGAAATGTATTGCTAATCGGTAACCCGTCACAGTGAAATCGAGCACACAATGTTTGTGTTGAACGTCGATTTGTGGTCAGAAGATGCACTCAAGGAGGTCAACCTGGTGCGGCACACGACCACCACGCCTTCCATTTCATCTACGACCCCTGCCTCGTACGAGCAGGTGGAGAACACCCCAACCTACTCGCCATTAATACAGTCCGACTCGCGTGGACCAGGCTATGGATCGAGCATGTATGGCCAGTCGAGCGCGAATCCGTACGGTCAGCAGTTGGCGTACTCTCAAGTCGCTCCTCCGTACATGCAGCAGTCCAACGGCTACGGCCAGTCGGCCCAATACGGCGGCTATCACGGAGGCGATTATGGCATGCAGCTCTCTTCGCAGGCTCCGGGTTACGGCCCTCCGCGAGTCTTCGGTGGACCCGGTGACATGATGACGCAGCGCCTGATCCAGGGAAACCAGCCCCAGGGCATGTTCACCCGGAATTTAATCGGCAGCTTGGCCGCTAGTGCGTTCCGGCTCCAGGACCCTGCCGACAAGATTGGCATCTGGTTTGTCCTCCAGGATCTTAGTGTTCGTACTGAGGGCAACTTCCGGTAAGCACACTCTCGCTCACTGCAATGATCCAAACCCATACGATTATTCTGCATACTAACATTGACAGCCTGCGCTTTTCGTTTGTTAACGTCGGACCACTGGGCGGATCTCCCACTGGAACACCTGGTGGTCAACATGTCAACACCGGCAAGGCGCCTGTCCTGGCATCTTGCTTCAGTGACGTATTCACGGTCTACTCCGCCAAGAAGTTCCCGGGCGTGTGCGAGAGCACGGTGCTGAGCAAGACGTTTGCGACACAAGGAATCAAGATCCCCATCCGGAAAGAAGGCATCGGCAAGAACGGCCGCGGCGATGACGACGACGACTACGAGTGAAGATGCCAAACTACAACGAGGACGCCGTCTGTCGATCTCACCAAACTGTGACTTGGGTGGTGTCGTTAGCCGCTTTTTTGTCTCTATCCATTTTCACATTCTTTTGGCCCACAACTGCATCACTATACCTTGGTACCGTTTCCATTGACGGCATCACCGATTAGCGACAAAATCGTACCGACAACGTCTCCCATATCAACAATCATGTATTCCAGCGTTTTCCGGTTGTGCGTCATACTGTCTCTAACACGCCAGGGATGACAGCAAGCCCAGCCCCTCTGGCACGGTCGCCGAACACGAAAACGGGCGCGAACACCTAGGCAACTTTTGCGAACCAGCTTTTGGTAGAGTAAACATAAGAGAAACTTGAGGATGACGGAGCGAATTCCGCAGCCAATACGAACCAACAGAACACACTAAGACGACATCTCGGACAGGCCCCTTATTTGGTACTAGCGAAGGGACGACCAACATTCTGGAGGCGAACTTTATTCAACGCACCTTTTTCTTTCATTTCCTTTGGTCTGGTGTCTTCTGGCCAAATTATCCCTTGGTTCCGACCATCTGGTTTGTCCCTCTAGATGCTGCCTATATTTTTGCCTGCCCACCAACAGCAGCAATGGTCTTGGTCGCGGCAATACGGTGTATCCAATTTTGTCTGCAATCCCTGAGGGAAGCCAGGTTCTGTTGAACAGGTGCGCCTGGGTTATTTCATTTCGTTGCGTTTTTGTGATATCTTTTTGATTTTTTTTTTTTTGTTTTTTTTTTTTTTTTTTTGGGTTATTGGCTTGTCTATGCGGTTGGGTGTCTATCTTGCTTAAGTGAATGTTTTGGTATACCATGTCTACAGGTTGTATTACATTGTTTAGACTGGCGGCGTGGACTTCTTCGGCGGCTGTTTCATTAGCTTCTCCATATATACAGTGCAGAGGTTTCACAATACATTTCGCGATACTTTTATGAATTGAACAGCGCTTTTTATACTACTTTGCTCTGCGCGCGGCCTTAACCGAAACACCGGCGGTCGTGTGACGCAAAAGTTATGACCCCGTGGATTGGGAACTAACAGGTTCTGCGTTTGCCTGCCGCTGGCCAATGTTCTTTCTTTCGTCTCCCTCGTTCATCCATTGTCCGGGAGCAAGGGACATATGCTGTCTCGATTGAACCAATGGAGATTCCGTACATCGTACAAAGGATCCGAGATCAAAGAATCAGGATGCAAGTAAAAACGTGGTGTCTCAGTCTTTGACGTACCCAAAACGGGCTTTCCGGTACAGAAAGTGTCTTCCTTTCATTCGCTGTCTCTCCCTGCCTCGAGGACCCGGGGCTTTGGTTCTTGGTAACAGGCTGCTGATTGAGATACTCTCTCCCTCGAAACGAGAAAACAAGTGCCGCCAAATACTAACATCATGTACCAAGGCCACCGACGTGGGAAGCATATCCCTCACTTCTGCTTGCCTCGTTGAAATGCCAGTTGCTTTGTATTATAACGTATATTTGACAGCGGTTACATCATCAGCAGAGCTACAAGCTCGTATTTCCCAATCCGGATAGGTCGACTGCATGACCCAACAGCTCGCCAGCAGAGCTTTACCGACAACTTTTGCGTATTCCACAAGACGAGCACCACACTAATTCTCAAGCAAAAACTCGGCAAATAAAGAGGAGAGCTGTGAGGAAGACAGCAAGATCCTACCAGTACGTTTAGCTCGATTTGACAAGCCCTCAGCCGCATCAACCTTTCCATTCTGCGTGTTTGGCCTTACGAGAGGTACCTGGGTGCCTCCCCTTCTCTTGGCCCTGGAAAAGCTACGGTAACCTGGATTTTCTTATCCGAGTTTAAGAAAGCTCTCCTTTGCCCGACAAACAAGTACCATCACCGCATTTGTAAACATCTCGACATCGAATGGTGTGCACAGTCCTGTAGCAAGTGACGACACCCTTTCCTCCTCTGCAGGCCGCACTTAAAAAACTATGATGCAGCTGATCCTGGGGAAGCTTTCTTGCTTAAGAAGGCAGCAGACAAATGGCAAGCCTCTTAAGAGCTTTCTTGCATTAATTGGGCTTGGAAGTCCAAGGCGCTGGTTCGGGCCACAACGTTGGCGTCAAACTACCCCAGATGGCCTGCTTCAAATTTCTGCTGTCGTGATTGAGGTCGCCTGATTTTGGACCCCGGCTTGTTCTCCATCGACCTTCATTTTGCCTTTATGTTCTCGAGGGTGGGAGGTGTGAGACTTCGTCCTCTTGTCTTTCCTGCAACTTTGCTTAGTAAAATATTTTATTTATATATTTTCTTTTTATATATTTATATTCCCCTTGCGTTGGGCTGCACATAAGGCAATCGGGAAGAGGCAACGGGCACCCGACCCACGAGCCAAGCTTACACGTTCGCAATCAGAGTGACGCTCGTAGGGCGAAGAGGCGGAAAATAGAGAGGCTATTTAAGTCGTGGGGGATCCATTGGGTGTGCTTGGCCCTGGTACTTTGAACTTGAGCAAGATGCAGTTTGCGTAGCCCCGAAGTCTGAGGAAAACAAAACTACGGCACCTTTTCTAAATAGTTGCATGAATTGTATACGATAAGTTGCCACACCGAGGCATCGTCACATTGTTTTCATGTCTTGTATGAAAATATACGGTCAAACGACACCCATTGGGAGGCGTCTGTCTCTCGTCACCGCATGTTTACAATGCAAGGGCGTAATCCGCAGTTGTAAAGCACATATAAACTCTGGAATAATTTACAATGACATGCAAAGAATCGTGGCTGGTCGGAGCTTCCGTAGAAGCAAAAGTCGTACAAGCGCATCTCATATGGATTCCAATTTTCTTGAATGTGAATCTTACAGATGTTCCTTTTATTCCCATTTCAGTATTTCAGTCCCGTGGACTTGGGCCCAAAGCCGGACATGTCTTCACAACTAACCTACCTGCCTGCGTCCTACATGTGAAAGTTGCGCAAGCTCTCGTGGCCATGATGTGGAATTAAGTTCCGTGATGTTCTTCCAGTCGCGGCGAAAGGCGCCATCAGCCGCGCAAATGAGGTGAAGGAGTGGCTAACGCAAGGCCGGTAGGGAGGACGGCATCGCATGGCGACGACGATATGCCCAGTGGCCAGAAACACGCTCTGCTCGCTCTTCTCCCTGCGACACACAACAGAAAGCCCAGGCATGCCGAGCACGTCCAGCTCGCGTAGCTCTGGTGACATCCAAAAGTGTAGGCGTGACCGGTTCTGGGAGCACGCACTAAGGTGCTAGCCCAGGTCTTGTCTTTAGCCATTTGATCTTGTGCCTTTTTGCAACTTTCATTTTGGGTGTAAGTGCGGATGGCAACAGAATTGCGCATTTCTTCGCCCATGGACCAACGGACCAATTGTGCACTAAAAACCGACGTCGTGCAAAATGGTACCAAAAGTTCCCCCTAAAACGGATTTTCATTACGTTTTGATTTACCAATTCCCGTTTGTCCAGCTTTAAGGTTTGTAAGGGAAGTCCAGTCTTGGGTTCAAGGAGCGCACCGCGCCAGACGAGGACAAGGCGAAAAACTTTTCAGACCATCTGCCACCTTTCTACTCAAAGAGCAGTGCCGCTGGGCAAATGTGACGATCAGGATCAAAAATGGGTGAACAGTGAACACCGTAAACCAATGCCTCAGAATGCCTCAGCCATTTTTTCAGCTCTCAGTAGGCCTGCCATTCTCGTCTTTTTGGGTAGGACATTGCCACCATGTTTCAGCAGGTGCGCCCAGCAATAAGATCTTACCTTTCGGTCCCTTTTCGCTATGAGAGTGTCGCAAACATCGCAATGGCTGAGAACGATCTGGCGTGCGCACAGCAGAGACTGTTGACAGCTTGCCGTCTCAAACGCACCCTGTGGAGTCGATCGAATGGCCTAGGACAGAAAAAAAAACTTTTTTTTTTTGCCTTCCGTGTGATCAATTCTGCCCAAGAGCTGGTGTGTGAGTAGTGGTTTTTTCCCATACCTTACCAGGGCCCATTTTCCTCCAGCACTCCATCCCCTGGAACGATCATTTTTCCCTGGAGCGCAGGTGACGTGACGTCCCACAAGGCCTAGGCCAAGGCCACGTTCCCCTCACTCTCCCCTGTCCAGTCTTGTTAGACGCTCCTAGTTACCCTTCTCGGGGCAACGCATTGCGCAGCCTCGTTTCTTTTTGCCTTTGTACCGTCGTTCCCCTCCTTTGGAAGTTTTTCTTTTCCTCCATCGTGACCAAAGCAAAACAGCAAAGCGCACTGTCCACCTCCTGCTCAGCATAAAGAGCTGACTGTCCGGTCCCCTTTGCTGCGAATCGACACTCGTCCCTTCACTTCATCCAACTCAACAAAGCCATAACAGCCCACTCGGGTTCAGCTCACATTCTCCCACACTCACTCCCACTCACTCCCGTACTTACCTCCTCTTCCACTACCGCCACAACCGCCACCACAGCCAAACGACGTCAACATGACGGGCCATCTTGCTTCGTATGGCCGCGGCGGCGCCGGCAACATGGCCGACAGCACCAAGTCCCCCAAGCTGCAGCCCAAGGACCTCGAGACCCCCGTTTTGCGGACGTCCGTCGTGACCACCGGTCGTGGCGGAACCGGCAACATGGCCAAGAACACCGACCCGAAGGAGACGCGCGCCCGTCAGGACGTGGAACCGTACGTGCATCCCCCCCATCCGTCTTTGCGTCTCAAGGCAACATCACGCGTGTCCACTAACCTCTCCTAGTGTCGTTCGTCGTCACAGCAATGGCGCAACCCACGCTGGCCGTGGCGGTGCCGGCAACGTCTTCAAGGCCGGCTCGGCGGACGCAGAGGCAGCTGCCGGGGCCTCCGCTGGCTCGGCCGTCCTCGACGATGCCCACCCGGCCTCGTCTGCCTCGTCTGCCACCTTGCGCAGCAGCAACGACACCAACGGCAAGAAGCCCCGGTCACCCACCCAGCGGCCCGAGCAACCCGAGAAGAGCCTGGCCACCAAGGGCAAGGAGTGGCTGCTGGGCAAGAAGTAGACGGTGTCCGCTGTCTCTTTTTCTTGCATTCTCGTCTTGTTTTTCGGCGCGCGTATGCGCACGTACATATGCTCAAAAAAGGAGGTCGATCATCGGGCTGTTGGGATTTGGTCGCTGCGTAGCATCATCATGGCCTGGCGTTTTCGTTTTCTTTCTTTTCTGTCTTTGTTTCTGGCCGTTTTCGTACACGCTCAGCGAAGCACGTTTTCGCCTTTTTGTTTTGTCTTGTCTTCATTGTTTTGGCGCATTCCGCGTAAATGGTTGGCGCCTTCTCTTGTATGGCTTTTTCTTGTATGGTGTTTTGTCGATTTTTCATGTCATATATTATTACCCCATGCAAACATGATGTATTTCTAGATTTTGAATAACGATTTGTCAGATATCGCCCGTCTTCTTTTTGAAAGTCACTGACCGTATCGCACACCTACCTATATTTGTCAACCAGTCAGTTTATGGCACATTTCTCTCACGTCTGCTTTTCTTGTGTCTCTTACAACGTATCGTTTTCTGTCGTTTGTCCTGTTTCGCTCGATTTTCCAGCTGCACACTGGGATGTTGTTCGAAGTAAGTTTCACGGTGGGACAGAATGAGGGGCGAAAGATATAGATTAGAAGAGCAGATGTCACACTGGAGCCTGAGAGATAACAGATCACAACGAAACGCTCCGTCCTGCATGCATATCTGCATCTTGCATTGCCATCTCTGATAACGAAAGATAGAGAGGACGGACAGCACCAGATACATGCGACCATCAGTGTGGGGAGTTTTGAAGGGGACAACACACATTGGGGAAAACGACTAGGACAACGGCAACCTGCTTCCTGTCTTGTCCAAAGGCGCAAAACAACAAAGGACAAGCTTTGCTTCTGTCTTGCCTGCTGTTTTACCACAAAAGCGTATCGGTTGTCCTCCTTCGGCTGATCTTCCGGGCGGCCGTGCAGACGGCGTTAATAGTTACACTTGCACTGTCACTGTGAGGCCTGGCATACAATGTGACTCACAGCTAGAGCCATCGTAAATCGGCTCTGGCTCCGAAAACACTATTACTGCTGCACTGAAGTGAGCACAATTTCGCAATCCCCACGTCAAATTTCGGGCGCAAAGATTGATTTACAAAAATCCCCCTTCAGGTAATCAGGTACCGGCCGTGTTATTTTCAGGAAGAGACCAAAGAAGGCCTATTAACACGGACCCCAACAGTCGTGCCTTGGCTTGACTCTGACACAACGGTCACCATACGGGATATTATGGTTCGACGAGCTGGTCCAGCATACATGGATTGAGTGGCTACCAAGTACAGTCAGTCCTTCTGCCCACCGCAGATATGGTTATCGAAGAGATCCCTGTGAAGCCAACGCAGGCGCAGTTGCGTCTTCTTCGCGCCCACCTGCCCTACTCGCTGACGGTCCTCCGTCGCCTGCAGGTTGCCGCCGGCGCCTTTGACGGCATCAATTCGGGTGGTTTAACGGGCAGTGGCACCTCCGAGTATGCCCGCGTCCTGTTTGCCTACGACGGGGCCCAGGTGCCGTCGAAGGTCGAAGACGACGCCGTCCACACGCCCTTTGCGGCTGCCTTTGTGGACCTCTCCAAGGCCCGGGAGACGGCTACCTGGATCTATGCGTCCGACCAAGACCAGTCGCTTCCCCCTGGCGCGGACCTGTATGCCGCCGACAACGACCAGCCCGCGTCCTGGGTCGTCGACCGCGGTGCCGAGCTTGTGTCCTCGTGGTCGCCCGCCCGCCGTGCCCGCAGCCGCCGTCTCGTGCTGGCCCTACTTCGTCGCATCCGCGCCATTGCCCAAGACGTTGCACCCGCTCTGGCGGTCCCTTTTCCTGATCGCTTTGGTATGGATGGCGCCGCCGCGGACGTTGTCAAGAGCGTCAAAGCCAACGTCCATGATGGCATCCGCTACCTGTTGCAGAACCCGGACGACGCGGCTGATGATCCCGACCGCACTGCCGTCGTCTTGACGTATTTTGACGCATACGACAAGTGGCTCTTCCGCTTCGAGGACGTGCCGGTGTTGTCGCAACCGGAGGACACGGAGCTTGCGACGGGTATCCGTGAGGACGTGGCGGACGGCGGCCCGGACGGCGCCCGCGCTTCCTTGTCCTGGGATAGGGTGCGATCCCAAGATGATGCTTCCCTTGTCATCAGCCGCACGTCCATTCCACGTACCGTCCATACACTGCTAGGCATACCCAGTGTCGCACTGCGAGAAAAGGCTGCGACCAAAGGACAGGACGGCACCCTCCAAGCCTGGGCGTTTGTGGGCGTGGACGGCTCGCTGTGGACATTGCACACGGAACCCAAGTACCGGGGCCACGGCCTGGCCAAGACCCTAGCGGCACGGTTGTTGCGGCAGTACTGCGGCGCGTTTAATGCCACAATCGACGGACAAACAGGAAATGGCACCGCTGACGACGCAAAGGGTGACGGCTGGTGTGCCGCCGATGTCAGTGCCAAGAACCGGCAGAGCCAGGCAGTGTGTCGGCGGCTCGGAGGAAAGCGGACCTGGGCGACGTCCTGGATCGTAGTCAGTTATGATAGCTTGGGAGACGACGGATGAATGACGTGCCGATATGACTAGACTAGACACAGAATAATACACTTTGTTCTTTTTTCCTAGAGTCGAGATACCCACCATTTTGTAGAAACACATAAGCCGTAACCCATATACTTATTGCACTTTTTTTTGCCTTTACTCCTTTCCTTTTGATTTACGGCCAACTGCCTTACAGCTTCGTCTGCCGGTGGATCTCCTCCAGGAAGAACTTGAGCGTGTCTGGCTTGACAAACGGCGTGATGCCGTGGCCCAGGTTCACAATCCACCCAGACTGCCGCTGCTTCCACTCAAAGCCCTCCACCATCAGCTTCACAGTCTGCGTGATCCCCTCCTCCGTACCGTACAGTATGCCAGGGTCTGCGTTGCCCTGCAGCACCACCTTGCGGGCGCCACGCGTGGCCACCGCCGCCGCCGGGTCCTGCTGCCAGTCCAGACCGACCACGTCGTAGCCCAGCGTCTCCTTGCTGCAGCACGCGTCCAGCGCGTACCACGCGCCCTTGGGGAACAGGATCATCGGTACGCGCTCCAGTCCCAGCGCGGCAAGCCGCTTCGGCAGCTGCTCCGCAATGTACGCCAGGCTCGGCTGCGTGAACTCGCGAAACGCCGCCGGCGACAGCTCGCCCGCCCACGAGTCAAACACCTGCACCAGCTGCGCGCCCGCCTGCACCTGCCGCGCCAGGTACTCCACGCACACCTCGGCGATCTTGTGCAGCAGCGCCTTGGTCTCCTTGGGGTAACGGTACAGCCACGTCTTGCTCTGTACAAACAGCTTCGTGCCGCCGCCCTCGACCATGTAGCACAGCAGCGTCCACGGTGCGCCGCAGAAGCCGATCAGCGGCACGCGGCCCTGCAGCTTCGTGCGCGTCAATGTGATTGCCTTGTACACGTAGTCCAGCTCCTCGACCGCCGCCAGCGTGTCCTTGGCCATGACCGTCTCGTACTGCCCGTCGTCGGGCGCCACCAGCGGCTGCGGGAAGTGCGGGCCCTTCTTGTCGACCATCTCGACGACCATGCCCAGCGCCTGCGGAATGACCAGAATGTCCGAAAAGATAATGGCCGCATCCAGGAGCCCGGCGAACCGTTCCACCGGCTGCAGCGTGATGGTCGATGCCACTTCGGGGTTGCGGCAGCACTCGAAGAAGTCGCGGTCGCCCTTGGCCTCGTGGTACTCGGGCAGGTAGCGGCCGGCCTGGCGCATGATCCAGATCGGGGGCCGCTCGACCTTTTCGCCTACAGTTTGCAACGCATCGTTAGCCCGTGGTCCGTGTTCAACTGGGCGTTCAATTCTGCCCATATGGTTGCCATCCCCTTCCAATGCCTACCCTTGGCGGCCCGGATGATCAGGTCGTTCTTCATCGGCGCGAAATCGTGACCCATAGTTGCAGTGATATGTAGAGAGATGGCCAGCCGTGCGTTGCTGGGAATGGAGGTGTGATTGTTGGCGAGATGATTATGCACAGCGTTGATGTGGCCCTGTCGATTATTGTCTGTCGTTTTTCCGTCCGCGGCAGCCGAGTTTTGCATCTGGTCTTATTCTCTGTCTGGAGCCACAGTTCAAGTCCCGCGTCTCGGCCGTGCCTTCCTCTGATTAAGACACGAGAAAAGCTTCTGAAAAGCTCCTGCCCCACCAGCTCGGCTCGCCGAGAATCGTATTTTACAGTGGTCGACGGGCCTGGGTCGGCCTTTCCCCAGGACGGGTAAAAGCGCGATAAGGTAGAGCGACATGGTGGCTGCAGATCGGTAACAGTACAGTATGAATTGGCTCCTCACGCACGGGTTATGCACACTGTACACTGTAAAGGGAAAGTGGCAGTGGTATTCAATCCTCGGTTTCTGGTTGGACAGACATGCTGAAGAGGCCCCACCCCAACTGCCCGCAAAAAAAGAGCACACAATATCCACACCAAATCGAAGCTCACGAACAGCATTCAACATCGACGACCGGCACACGACGAAAGGTTCTCCGCCGCCACCAATTGACCGGCGGGATTAGGAACTCGGGTTCTAGCAAATCTTGGCCTCGGTGGTGCGAATACCGACCCCGACCTTGTATCCTTCGCCCTACGTTACCATGCGACGATATTGAGGCCCGAATTCTGGAAACAAACTAAACCGCGACCTTCGGCCACGTCTTCTTACGGCCTTCCCTTCCCAGGTCTCGGGAAGGCCGTCACTCTCGTCCTCTTTGCCTCCGATGGCTCCGCAGCCAGCGTCGAGGTGCTGCCGCGCTGTCCGTAGCCACCTCACAAGCTCTCCCGGCGCATCCACTTCTGCCACCGCCCTCGACGGCATCTGGATCACCGACTTGGTTCTGGCCCGCGCATTTTCCCACTACTGCCGCATCGCCGCACCGCCTGCCTCTACGACGACCACTCGACGCTTTGCTAGCAATGTCCCGGGACCACTCGAAAGCCGCCGCCGCCTTGGGAAGCGCCAGATGACCGACCAGCTCAGCTCGCAGCTGTCCCTTGGCCCCGGTGGACCTCTTCTGCCGGCATGGGGACTGCCGAATGCGCCAGATTTGCGGGAGTGGACATGGTCACCACCACGGAGGGCACAGGAGCTGTCAGAACAAAACGTGGTGTCGTCACGGCAAGTCCAAGACAACAGCAGCCGCGGACGCCTTCGGGAAAGCAGCACGTCAGTCTTTCCTGCATGGCTTGCAGGCTTCGGCGGTGAGCAGCCCGTGCCTGAAGCAGCATCACCGGCAGAGTCAATCGAGCCAATGCAACGGAGCATGGCCGCCCAGCTCATGTTCACAAAAGTGCAGACCTGGCGCGAGTCCATCTCCACTCTATCGGAAAAGGACTTTAGTCGCCGGTTAGACGATATATGCAGGGATCTCCAGTCGCACCTGGCCCTTGCCGCTATGACCGTCGACGAGTCTCGTGAAGCAGTTGGTCTCATTTGGAAGGGACTGAGCGATAAGGAAGGAGAGCATGCGCTTCAGACAAATGCGTCAAAGCTGTATTCTGCCGTGCTGGAGGGCATTCGTGCATGTCGTCTTCTCAATGCGAGCGACTATGGTGTTACCTTCTGGCGCGACCTTTATGTCTACGTCTCACAGCTGTTGCCCAACAGCAGCAGCAGAAACAACCGTAGGAGCAGAAGTCCATGGGTGATGACAATGGCACTCGAGACGCTGTTGGCCACACCATCTCAGTTCCTCACGAGCGTGGCGGATCTTCTCCCGCCGCATCTGTGCGCCGTCTTTGTCAACCAGAATCTGGCCACAAGTACGCTCACAGAAACAAGGAACGCGGCAGCAGAATCGTCCCATACCCTCACGCGAGCCAAGGCGCAAGAGATTGCCGACGCCCTTGAGCACATTGACCTTGTTCAGCACGACAAGCTCATCGATGCGACCACCAATCTACTGGTCGCGGCCTCTTTGCCTTCCAGCAACAGCGGCCGGCCCGACCCCAAGATCTCCGCGACGAATCACACCATTACGACCCCTTCCTCCACCATTCCGGGTTGGCTACTCACCCTGGCACACATGCCCAGTGTGCGGCAAGATTGCCTCTTCAAGACCATGTCGCAGCTGCAGTCGTCGGCGTCACAGGCTCAAGTTGAGACAACACAGGTGGCCACGACAGCACAGACGACACAAACCACACAGGACGCACAAGAAGAACCAAGGAAATTAGTACTCGCGGCCACAGAAACCGAAACAGAGACAGCAACTGCTGCCAGCAACAACGCGTGGCACATGCGCAGCGCACACCTCGGCCATGTCGACCTGTGTGAGCTTTTGCTCGCCCAGTGGATCAGCCGAGGCTACGTCACGCAGCAGGTGCGGCGCTCGTTTGAGCAGACCATGGCGGCGCTGGCTTCGCAGGACGTGACCGCAGCGTACGACCACCCCTGTGCGCTGGCGGCGCTCGCGCTGGCCGTGTTCTGGCCCAAGCACAGCCGCGGCCAGTGCGTGGCCCTGTACGTGAGCCTCTTGCGGGGCCTGCGCGAGAAGCTGGGCCGTGAGGCACCGGACGTGCTCGTCGAGTCGTTGAACGCGCTGCTGGCGCACATGCAGTCGGCCCAGTCCTCAGAATCCTCACAATCCTCGGAACGCTCAGAATCTGTGCAAGCTGGGCTCCCCTCGTTCCCACCGAACACGTTTTACGAGTCACTGGCTTGGGCTATTGGTGACCTCGAGACGGCGATACAACTGCACGAGATGTATACGAGCACCATCCCCCTGCAAACGCCCCCGCCAGCCCAACCCTATTGGAACATTGGTTTTTGGGACAAGTTTGCCAATGATCTGGGCACGGCTCTCGATGCTGGCAAACTGTCGCCGGGCCAGGTATCCCACGCGCTCGACCTACTGCCCCGCAGCAAAGGCACACCCGTCTCCCATGCGATGAACGCAAGCCAAGACCCCGCGAAATTATCAAAGTCGAAGTCGAAACCGAAATCGAAATCGAAATCGAATGGGACGTACAAGCCTGCCAAGGAGCTGGGAGCGGCTACAGTCGGCCTCATCGAAAAGCTTGCTATGCATTTTGCTCTAGCGCCGAACCTGGTACCCCGGCGCGCGCTCCGTGGCGTCGAGCTGTGCTGGGCAATTCTTGCCTCGAACACAAGCAAGGCGGAGAAGGCAAGGCTGCAGGGCATGAAACATTCTCTACCACTCCCCGTCTCCATGCCGGCCCCGTCTCTGCCCCTGGCCTCGCCTACTGTTCTCCGCGCTCTTTTCCACCTGATCACGCGCGACCTCGACGATGCCTTGCCTGGCCGGACAAGCCGTCTGCGGTGGTTCCTTGCCATTGTTACGCGAGAGCGCGGTATGAAGGCAGCGGCGGAGTGCGAGCGGGCTCTAGTCCGCTGGCGTGGTGCCGTCAAGGAGCATCATAAACAGGAAGCCATGCGGATTCGCCGTGGAAACTGACATGAGAGTGGAGATATAAGCTCGGCGTGTCGTGGAGACAAAATCATATCTCCATTAAAATAATCAAAAATCCAACGGAGCTACACAATAAAGATACACATATCCACATTCAAACGACAAAAGCATGCACTTGACGTAACAACCCACGCCTTCTAATTTTATTGTTTTGCACTGGCAATGACACGCAAAAGTCATCCCTACATAAGAACAAGTCTATTTTACTGACAATCGTCCACACTGTAAGCACGGGTGAAGAGCACGACAAAGTGTATAGTTGCAGGTCGTGTCGCTTATTTTGCTCGGTTCTCCTTCTATGTCTGTCACACAGCATTTGTCTGACCGTATGACTGGATGTGTCCTAGCTTTCCTCTTCATTTTCTCCTGCTCTCAAGGGTAATGCAACGTGGTGTGAATTAGGCGTTGTACAAAACTTAAACTGGCCCCTTTTGTCTCTTTCCCCTCCGCGATCGAGTCACGAATATCTCTTCATAACCCTGTCCTCATTGCCTGGAGTCTGATGAACTTTTGCAGCAATGATGTCGCCTCAGAACAATCGCTCTCGATACCATGGCCAGATCTCATGTCCTTGCCATCTCGTCAGTACAACGAGTAGTATATTTTGACAGCCGTCCTACAACTATCCTCACCTCCAGCCGGCGCTGACGTGCATCACGTCCTGCAGCCAACCGCCGTCTCGTCTTTCTATCTCTCCGTATTCCCTGATCCCGTTCCCGTCTCTCCCGTATCTTGATCGCATCTAACGATGCACAGAGTGCGTTTTTTGCCCTCTGTCCACCGATATACTTCGCTAGTGATTGGTCCACCTGTGATTTTTTTTTCTGGATTTCTCTGTTACGTCTCTTTTAAACGTCAATGATATCTCTAGACGAATCTGCAATGCATTGCAATGTTATAGCATAATTCGTATTGAATTCGACAACTTTGTGAAGATGAATCAAAACCATAATTATATACAAGCGTTCAGGGATGTTCCTGGTTATTTTGTTATATCTTTTCTCTATTAGCGAGACGCAACCGTCCTCCACAGTGAAGCCCCCCACAGGTAAAAAAGCCATGCGGTCGCCTCTCGGGAACTTACTTTCGGCGGTCTCGAGAAGCGAGCGGGCGAGACGTCTGGCAAGGTGGCCAAAAAAGGCTAAGCAAACAGAGAAGACACTGTAAAGAAATTGTGTTGCCGAACAAAGACTCTCATAGTGTGCTACGTTCTTGGCCGTTATTTCTCCTCCCACGTCTTCATGTTTGTCGGTGTGCTTTCCATTTCTAATTCATCTTCGAACAAGGTAACTTTCCTCTTCCTCAGTACGTATTTCTCTCGCTCCATGTGGCCAACCTTGTGTCGGTTACCCGATAACAGAAGCGATAAGCACCTTTCACTTTCAGCTGGCCGCATTCTCCGAGGCCTTTGTTCATCGAACCTCTGGTACCCTCTCGGTCCATCGTGTCTTTGCCTTTCGGGGGCAGGACTCATCCTTCCCCGGAACCTCCGTCGTGTCTTTTCAGACTGGCTTTGGTGGTACGTATCTGGCTATTTCTTGTGTTTTGTCTGTGATTCTCTCTCTTCATTCCTTCCTTCTGGGTTTCTGCATTTTACTTCCCTTTTCGTCCCATCACAGCGACGCACAAGCCGTCACACCCGCTCGCCACAAAAGTCTCGCTGTTGGGAACCTCAAGAGTGGATGGGGAGACGGATAGTTGTGGCTCCGTTCTCTGATGGATAACGTATCTTTCTCATATTTGGGTTAAGCGTTTTGTACCGCGTATGTGTCTCCTTTTCCCTTTCGTTGCATTTTTTTTTCTTCGATTCGAAGCCAAATCCACTCGGTTTGTTGACCTGGGTGGCGCGGGACTTTGACGGGTGTACGACATACGAAACCAGTGAACAGGCGGACGGCAGAAGGAGTGACGGAAGAACGAAACTCTTGCACAAGAAACTTTGTGTTCTGCCCCCCACCATATACTTGATTTTGTGTTTTTGATCAGCTGTTCCTGCTCTGGTATACTTCGATCTTCCTCACATCGCTCCGATAGACATTGTCTGCTGCTCCTCGGAACTCTTCTTTCCGTCTCTGCCCTCCTCTTTCGATCATTTTTTTCACATTCCCAGTATCGGTGGGTCGTGTGTGAGACATGAGCACGAATGATGCGCATATTTTGTGCTCCGATTTCTTTTCTGCCTTTCTGTCTTCTGATTTTGTGTGAACGTACACCTGTATGTACCGCGCGGCTCCACGACCTGTACACTACATGCCATATGCCGCAGCAGGGCGAACGTTTCCTGCTCATATGTGCGATCGGCTCCGCGTGCAGGTTGTCGAGACCTTGGTGCGCCAATGGGGTGGTTGGGGACGACAAGGGGCAGTGCTGATTGTGTTCGTTTCCCCCCTTGTATCTCTCTTGGATGTGTACTGGAGCTTTGTTGCAACTTCTGCAAGATGTACGTCGTACACAGGTTGTACAGGGTATGCACTGTATATGTATGAGAGCCTAGGAGGTGAAATGTCCTTGTAACCAACAGTAAAAGTGCTAGTGGACTGTTTGGAAGGTGTAATCCGAATTAGGAAAGCAAGAAAGTAAAAAAGGAAAGAGGGAGAGACATAACGGCCAACCGAAAAAGGGAAAGGAAAGCGCGCATACAACTTCGGCTTCGGCTTAACCGCCTCCCCTATTTGTCGGATACGCCTTTTCTTTTTCTCGCTACGGAGTTCCCATGGTTACACACACCACGTCCTTGTTGAGGCCCCGAGGAAAGAGGGGGTGAGAACGTGAGTTATGAATGGTGGAAGGAGCGAGGGAGGGAAGGACCAACGTGCAAAAGAAGGTCAAAATGCCCGGATAGGTAGGTGTTGAAAGAAGTGAAAGGGCAAGAGGCAATAAAATTTGCTTCCTAAAGGAAGCAAGAGCGAAGGACCCAGAAGCTGTCCAGGGAAAGAGCAAGACACAAAACAGAACAGAAAACAAACAAAAGCCACAGGCTGGCTCGGTCCTTCCTTCTCATGCATTTATTATTTTGTCTCAACTACCACGTTTCTTTCCAGCCTGGCCTGCGTAGGCTTTGCTACCCCCGTCTTTCCCCGTGGCACCTTCCCCTTGCCTTTTTATGTCGACAGTCAGATTTCGTATTGCACAACTTTTCTTTCTCTCCCTATCCCTGCATCTTATTTTTTTCGAGTATCCCAAAGGCATCGCGATACACACTCGTTTACTGGAAACGCTGTTTTTACTGCCCTATTACGGCAAGATTGTCTCGAACAAGATTCTTTTTCTGCAACCAACCTCCCGTTGTCCGTCGACGGAGCCTTGAAGCCTCGGTTGACGCTGCGTGGTGATTTGTACAAACAGGTCAATCCTTGGATCGCGAGACTACAAAGAATCCAAAAGAGCAAAACACGCACTGAGGACGTGATTAGGTCGTTGGTCTTGTACTTCTGACTTGCAATTTGGCTTTCTCGGCTCCTCTTGATCAGTGCAGGGGTGAAAGAATCGAGATAAAGCTCGCAGTTCAATTCCTTACAACAACGACGACAACAACAACGACAACAACAACAACAACGACACCCAGCCTCGTCACCCAGGACCCCGGTTACAAGATGGAATCACATCGAACTTACTCGGCAATAAGGCCACCTTCGGAGCAAATGAGTTTGCCAGACAGCTCACCGTTTCCACCTCCAGCAACCAAGATCCCAGAACGACACCGCCCTCCACCACTGCAGCAGGTGCCGCAGCAGCCTCTTCCTGGCTTCAAGGTCCACCATGCCGATAGCCCGCAGGAGGTGTCAATAGCATGCGAGAAAATGTTTGACGAGAAGCCGCTTGTTTCTAGCGGACGGGAGTTTTTGACCGGCGGCGGCGACGTCAAACCGCACGATGACAAGCCCGTCAAGCGTAGGATGCGCGGTATTACATCGTGCCTCGAGTGCCGGCGTCGAAAGATGAAGTGCGGTCGAACCCAGCCTTGCGACCACTGCCGCAAGTCCGGCCGCGTCTGCATCTATCTTGGCGACCGCCTGGATCCCGACAGCCAGGGAAAGATTACTGAGATCAAGGAAAAAGTCAGCTCACTTGAACTTCAGTTGCAAAAATCAGTGGTCCACCAGCGCATCGGCGGTGGCCTTTTAGGATCCGACGTGCCGGCGTATTCATTGGACCCAGCCGAAACTGGGCTTGAGATCAGCCACATGGTCACCTCGGACTTGATCTATGACCACGCCGACGAAAACAGCATGGACGAAGACGAAGAAGACGAGGCAACCAACGACATGATCGACCTCGGGTTCAAGGTCGGTCGCATGCGCATGACCGAGCGCATTGGTGGTCTGAATCGCCCACGCCTAGCTGAAGAGGTAAGAGTGACCAAGTCAGGAAGGATTCATAGACTGGACGCATTCTAAATCCTGTAGATCAACGTGGCTCTTGCGAGCAAACCAGGGACTTTTGGCTTCAACCTCAACCGGGTCGGCTCTCAGAGGCATACGTCAAGTGTGTCGCAGCCAAAAGCATCCACACGAGACGGCTTCAATGGCGACTATGGAGACGAGGGCAACAACATGAGCGATGCACCGCCAATTCCAGACTTCTTACGGCCTTCGAACGATTACATCCCGCCATCTAGCGGTGCTCTCTTTGGCCATCTCACAGCCGTACCCGCGGTGCAGAACCTGCTGCCGTCGTCATGGATCTGTGACTTCTTGAAGAACACATATTTTACGAATGTGCATCCCATTGCATCGTGCCTGCATCAGCCCACTTTCGAGCAGCAATTTAGCGAATTTCTGGTACTTGTGGGCCGCGGAAGCCAGCCTCGCCGACCACGTCAGGCTCTGGTCCTCGCCGTACTCTTCTCCGGTGTGGTTGCCGCTGATGAACAGGCAATCGCCGTCCAGTTCAACGTCAGAAAAATAGATCTAGTCGGGATCGTCAAGTATGGCGTCGAAGCCTCGCTGGGCATGGCCAACCTCCTCCGCACCACCAGTGTCGAGGCGATGCAAGCCTTTGTTATTTACCTTGTACGTGCTGCATTATACACATTATGCTAGCTACCATTTTTTGTGCTTCCCGTTGTCTGACATTGGATCTTAGGTTGCACTTTGCCGCGACGAGGTCTCGCGGTCGCACTCGATCATGGTTGGAGCCGCCATTCGAATGGCTGAGTGTATGGCCCTACACCGTGACGGCAGCGCTTTTGGCCTGACGCCCCTGGAAACGCATGTTCGCCGTCTGATTTGGCACCAGCTTTGCTTTTTGGATATTCGCACGTGCGAGGCTCAGGGTCCACGTCCGACAATCCATCGCGAGGATTACGACACATTCTTGCCGTACAATTGCGATGACGACGACTTGACTCTCGAAGCAGACATGGTGCCGTTCACTTCAAAGCAGAGCTGGGCATCGTCGTTCCTTGCTGTGTTGCGGTTTGAGGTCAACGAGATGATGCGCATCATTTGGATCGATCGTTTTAAGCTCGAGCGGCGCAAATCAAATCTCACGATCGTGATGGCCAAAATTGACAAATTCTGCCACCGTCTCAACCAAAAGTACGAAGGTTACCTCGACGACACCACCCCTATTAAGCGCTACACAAAGCTGGTCAAAGAGCTCTTCATTTGTCGCATGCATGTCATGGTCCTCCACCCATACCACTCCAATACAAGCAACCCCCTCTCCGAGCGCCTTCACTCGTCTCTGATTCAGAGCGGTATTCGTATCATCGAAATTGGTATTGAGCTGGAAACAAATCCGGAGTACGCCCAGTGGCGCTGGTATCTTGGTGCCTTTATGCAGTACCAGATTGCCCTGCTACTCACCACCGAAGCATTCCATGGCCAGTCGGTCAGCGAATCCGACCGCACTAGCAGATGTCTTGACTATGTCTTTGACACGGATCCCTCACAGGGGCTCCATGAAAAGGCACAGGGCATTCTTTATGAAGTCATGCAAAAGAGTGCTACCTACTGCGAGTTTCGCAAATTACGTGCGCCGACATCTACAAAGCAAGCAGTTCCGCAGGCTCAGCTGGCTCAGCAGACCACCAAAGCGGCGAATGGAGGGATGTCGATGCCAGGTATGCCACCACACCGTATGGCTACGGAGCCGAATCGGAATATGCCAGATATTGGGATGGTCAAAAATGAGATCTTCTCGCCTGGTATTACCAATCTGTTGCAGTTCTCTACGAGTGGAACGTCCAGCATGGTTACGGGAACAATACCTTCAATGTCATTCCAACTACCCACACATCCGTACCAATCACTGGGTAATGGTAATCCGTACCATCAGCACAATAACCACCACAACCAGCTGCAACAACAACCACAACAACGGCCGCAGTCGCAGCTGCAGTTGCAGCATAAACAACACCAAAAGCAGCAGCAAAGGTACCAGACAGCTACAAATGACCAGGAGTCCATTCCGCGGACACTGGCACCGCCGGGCACTGTGGGCCGTACTGCCACCGAGCAGACATCCGAGTTCAACCTACCGGGGCAACCTATGGCACCAACTGCCCCATATGCTCCAAGCAGCAGCAACATGGTCTTTTCCGGTGTAGCCAACGGTGAGGCGCTGTGGGGTCACCCACAAGTGATCAATGCCGACAGCCCCGAGGCTTTTGGCGGCGACTGGTCCGCAACAAATGCAATGCAACAACAGCCGCAACAGACAAAGCCTCTTCAGCAGCAGCCGTCATCTTCTCAACAACAGCAGCCGCAGCACGTAAATCTGGGACGACACCAGTATTCCTACACGACGACTACTGGCCTTGGCCGGTTCCACGAGCAGGAGGGAAATTTGCTGGATAGCATCAGCTGGGTAAGTATTTCTGCCAAGACAGCTTCTTTGAAGCTATGAATGCTAACAATCCACTAGGACGATCTCAATTCGATGCTTCCTAAAAAATGATAGACTATCTAGGTAGGCCTAAAGGAAACAATATGTGTGTCATTTGTTCAGAGTATTCATATTGCTGATATTAGGTGGCAACGATGATCGGCAACCTACTTAAAGGTCATACTGTTAGTAAAATCCAAAACGATGAGTTGGCTGTTTAGTTTTCAAAGCACGAGGTGGGCAAGATATAGAATACCGTAGAGCACTTGGACAATCAGTTAAGAGTTACGTTAGAACTCGATTTTGGAAACATCTCAATGTTATAAAATCTTTGTTGTTGTCCAGAGACCCGACACCACATGGTCAAACGAGCAAAATTGCAAGGCAATAAGTCTACGCAATGAATTATCACGAGATAAGAAAGGAGCACATTCAGGTGAGAAAAATATGGTCGTATAAATTATACACTGAAAAATGGTTGACAAAAAGAAAAGGTCATCGTCATCAGAGGTCATAAAGAAGACCGAAGAAAGAAAATAGAAAAGCAGAGTGAGATGTAGTTTGAAACCAGATTGCAAATGCGAAAGGCAGATCAAAAAGAAATAAATGACGCAGAGACAGAAAACAGAGAACAGAAACTAGAAAGCTGAAACAATGCAAAGCTGAAAACAAAGTAAGACCAGAAGCAAAAGCCAGAACGAAAAAACAAACAGACGAAACCAGATGAAAAATGAAAACCGAAACCCGTGTCCTGTTATATGATGGTAGTTCGCAAACATCCCATGTCCATTTCGTTTTTAGTCCCCCCTCCATCATTTTTATTTCCCCTAAATCCCACCCTCAATGTACTGGGCCTCGGCAATCGAGCCCGCATCCGTCATGCTGATCGTGCTCCGGTTGTCCGGGCGGCCTCCCTGGTGGGGTTGCGATGGCTGGTGGGCAGCGGACAGCAGGCTGACGCCGCCGGCGTCCGAGCTTGGCGTCATCATGCGCCGCTTGCTGGGCGGCTGGTCAACGATGCTCGGGGCCGTGCCGGCCCGGGATGCCGAGCGCCGCGGAAGAGGCGCGGCGACCAGCACCTGGGCCGGACAGACGACGATCTCGTCGTCGCCCTGGCCCGCGTCGTCGCCCTTTTTGACGACGAGCGGGAACAGGACAATGCGCACGGGCGTACCGGCCGTTTCGTCGCCCCCCTCTCCTCCTCCTCCTCCTCCTCGCCCGTCGCGTTCCGTCATCAACTCCGGGTTAAAGGCGACGGTCTCGACCAGCTCGCCGTTGCCGTCGTACTCGGGCTGCAGAGGCGGCAGCATCATGTACTCGGCGCGCTGGCAGCGCATTTCAATGGAGAGATCCACAGCTTCGCGGATGACGCGGCGGAGCTGGGTTTCGATCTGTTCCTCCTTGTTGGTGGGCGGGGGCAGGATCGCGCTCAAGGTCTGCAGGATGGCCTGGACGACGGCCTCGGTGTCCTGGTCGCGCTGCTCGCGGAACGACGGCTGGCGCATCAGAAGCGTCAGGGTGACGGCACGCCACTGGCGGACGGCGGAAATGGGACCGACGTCGAGCAGGGTCTTCTCGAGCGACTTGATCTTTTGGCGCTGCTCGCGGTCCATGCCAAACAGGTAGCGCGTAAAGACAAACTCCCACACCATGTACATGGTCATGGCCATGAAGACGTCCCGGCGGTGGACGCGGTCGCGGAGGTAGTCGTCGACGTCCGAGCCGTCGAGCACGGCATTGTCAAGACGGTCCACCGTCTTTTCGTCGTTGATTTCGGCCGTCAGTCGGCAGGCGCGCAAATCGGAAAACTTGCTGAAGCGCAAGACCCACTGCTGGACGTGGGTGCACAGCTGCTGGCAGCGGCGGTCAAAGTAGTCGACGTCTTGAATGCGCAGCAGGTCGGCGCCGTCGGCAGGCATGGACGCCAGAATCTTGGCCTGCATGGCACGGATCTCGTCTTGGGCCGCCTGAAGCTGGGCTTTGAGTGCCGCGATTTCGGCATCCTTGTCATCGAGCTGCTTCTTGGTGGTCTCGAGGTGTTCGTTGCGTTCGCTGGCAGCGCTGGCGAGATCGCGTGTCGCTTGTGCGTGGTCGGTCTCGAGCTGCCGGAAGCGTTCGCTGTGCTGCATGGCCGACGAGTTGATGGCCGAATTGAGGCCCTCGTTGACCTCGGTGAGGCGCTTGACTTCCTTTTGGAAGAAATCGAGCGACCGTTTGAGGGCATCGATTTGGCTGTCGCGCTCGGCGAGCGAGCTGGCCGCTTTGCTGGAGGACGATTGCTCGGCTTGTGATCGTGCTTCGGCGAGCATTCGGTTCTCGGCCATCAACTGCTCGACACGATTCTCCAGCTCCATCACCTGCATGCTCTGTCGGCGGCGCATGCTGTGTGGCCGGGTCGGCGACCGCGGCGAGCCGATGCGGCCCTCGCCATAGCCATCCTGAAGGCGTTAGTTGGATGCGACATGGGGAAAGCGGTGGGAATTGATGAGATGCGAAAGTAAACACGGAAACAAGGCGGTGAGGGTGCGCCCAAAGGGGAAGGAGGGAGGGAGACGAAAGAGTGAACTCACATATACGTCGGTCATACCGCCCTTGTCGCGTACACGGCCTTCATTGGCAACTGGAATGCTTGCAGTCGTGCCAGAAAGGTCTTTGCTGGAGGAGCCTTCGTCGCGTGTCGACGTGGAAGTGGTGGCGTGTTGCTTGTTGGTGTTGTTGTCGGGCGGGAACGGCCCCAGCGCGCTAGCGCCCGCAGCTGCGCCGGCGAGGGCAGCGGGCGAGGCAAGGTCAGTCTGGCTTCGGTTGCTGAGCGACCTAAGATCGCCGCTCATTCGTCGGTCAATGCGCCTCAAGGGTGGGGTTGATGAGTAAGCATCGCGATTGATGCCTGGGCTCTCAGGCCGCCGCAAATTGAGTGGGTCCGGCGTCCTGCGCCGCACTAGACTCGTATTGGACGCGGAACGGCGCGGCGCCTGTTGCGGCAGCATGGCGCCCGACACAGAGCCCGCGTCGGATGGCATGGGCGACGACATGAGGCGCCGTTCACGGTCACGGCTCGCAGCGTGGGTGTTGTCGGAGACGCTGCGCATGCCGGGCAGGCCAGGCTCGGCCGATCCTGGTCGGGAACGAACCGCCGGCAGAATGCCTGCGGCCAGTCCGGCGTCCTTGTAGCTCGTGGATCGCTTGTCGTCGCTGCTGTGTCGCACCGATGGCAGCGACTCGGGGCTTCTCTGTAGGTCGGCAGCGGTGTTGCTGCTGGTGCTCCCGCCGTGATGACCCGACCAGTCGCGGAGGTGGACACCACTGTCACGCAGCTGGGTGTCGTCGTTGGGGCCACTCTTGGGTGCAGCTGGCGCGGTGGGTAGGGCGTGGGCGTTGTCCTCAGCAAAGCCGCTGTCACGGTTGGCGTCGGGCGTGGCAACCCTGTGCTGGTGCTCTGTCGGGCGACGTGGCTGGCTGCGCGAGGGCGTCGTATCGAGATCGCGACCATGGTAGTGTCGCTCATGATCCCTGCCGTCCTCGTCTTCGTAGGTCTCTTCGAGAACAGGCGCGAGAATGCACGAAGCGGACCGTCTCAGATCACCACCGCTGCCATGGCGTACCACGTGCGGAACCGACTTGCCGGCCATGCTTCCCATGCTTCCGAGGAGGGCGGCGCCGGCGATACCTGCCGCGCTGGGTGTGTTGTAGTCGTAATCGTGGTGGCCGCCCTTGTCCGTAGAAACCCTCTTTTCCGGCTCGGGTGTCCATTCGCGCGAGGCGCGAGGCGACTCGAGAACAGGCCGCCGCAACAGATCCTCCTGGCGGGGCGTTGGCTCGCGGGAATCGTCGAGCAATGCGTCGGGAATGTTGATGCCACGGCTCGTGTCAGTTCCGGCAGCAGCAGCGGCAGCAGCGGCAGCAGCATTGGTGGCGGCCACCATGGGCAGCGGGTTGGTCTTGAGCTTGTCCGAGTCGCGACGGCCGAGAACCGGGCTCTCGAGGTCGTCGTTTTTGTCGCTGCTGATGCCCCGTGCAGATTGGAGCTCGGTGCCACCTTGGCTGCCATTCTCGTCAAAGGAGGTGTCCGTCAATTTGCTCAAAATGGCGTCCGGAACAATCTGCTCCTCGTTCCTCGCCTCCCCTTTTGTCTCCTCCTCCTCTTCTGGGTACATGTCGTCCATCGTCTCATCATCACGGCCCACCCGCTCTTGTCCAAAGAAGCCGGGCATCTCATCCCCGTCGGCCGCCACCTCTCGTGGACTGTCGCCCATGACCTCTTCGTGCACCTTGGGGTCCTTGCTCTCCCATAGGGCGGCATCGTCGAAAATGTCATCCCCGTCGGACCGCCTGTCCACAATCTTCTTCTTTCCCCCTTTCTTCTTCTTGCTTGCCTTCTCAGGCTTGGGTGAAACGACTGTTAGCTCTTTCACCTTGTCTGGCTTCACCTCCGTCACCTCGCTCTTCACTTCCGCCTCCTTGTCCTTCCCCTTACCCTTGCTCTTTTTCTTTGGCGATTTAAGTTTCATTGACACGTCTCCTCCGCGACCACGCTCATCGCGCTCATCGCGCTCCTCTCTGTCGTCTCCGTCGTCGTACATGATGTCATTGTCGCTCAACACGGCGTCTTCTGCAAAGTGGCCGGGGCCATTGTCAGCGGCCAGCGGCGTAGGGACCGCTTGCACCTTGGTCTTCTTCTTGTCGGGTTGGGCATCGTCGCTCGACTCCTTCTCAAAAGGCGGGTCGTGCGGCAGTGACACCTTGCGATCGCGCTCTTGGGCCAGGGCGAGCTCGGCAAAGGACGGCCCAGCACTGCCCGACGGCGGCGAGGGCAACGTGGCGGTCGGGCTGAAACTCTGCATCGGGAGCAGCTTCGGGACATGGCCGTCCCGCCCAAAGACGTCCGAGTCGGCGCGTGTCATCAGGCCCCAGACAGGCGCTGTGGGCGACGACGGCGACGACAGACGGTCGGCCTTGTCGAACATGCCGGTCAGAGCAGGGTTGATGGAGAACCTGTCCAGGACTGGCTCGTCGAGGGCCGCTTTGTCATTGTCCAACTGCACATCCTTTGTATTTGCGGCTGGTTCCCTGTCGGGCGTCTCGGGGCGTTTCCGGGACCGCGGCGATACGGACGGTGACGGCGTCCGTCGCCGCGGCAGCTCATACTCCTTGGCAGGGAGAAGGTCTGTGTCTTCGCTGCCTCTGTGCAGATGCTCCGCTGCGAAACCAACGGCGGCAATGCCAGCAGCGGCAGTGGCTGCTGTGGCGAGAGAGCTGTCCTTGGTAGGCTCACTACTGGCGGACTCGGAGTGCTGTTCAGGCAGAAGCGACCGGGCGCCTTCTGTCAAGTCCATGTACGATTGGAGCGTGCCGCGCTGCTTCTTGCCCTTCTTGCCCTTTTTTGTCGCAGGCGCGTCGTCTTTGGCAGCGGCCTCAGCGATAGGTTCTATGACAGCCGGCTCCAAATTCATCGGCTCGGCAGCCTCGAAGGTGTCGGGTGTGTCAACGGAAGAAGGTTCCGGGGCTGGAACAGGACTCTCGTCAAGCTGGCTGACGTCCACAACCTGCTTCCCCTTCTTCCCCTTCTTGCCCTTGACAGGAGCCGGAACAGACCAATCCTCCTCAGGGACAGCTTCGGGGACGACGGTTGGGCCAGTCTCACGGGCAGTCTCGGGGAGATCCACAGGCTCCTCCACGATGGTGTCGAGGCCCTCGGGCTCCTCGAAGCCGTGGGCATCATCAACGACTTCCTCCGCTATGGCATCGTCGGCAAATGTGGCCGGTTCAACAAGAGGCTCAGAAACGACGGGCTGCTCCGGCTCGTCGTCCCAGGTTTGAAGCGACTTCTTCTTTTTCTTGTCTTTCTTTTCTTTCTTGGACTTGCGCGCGACTGGAGCAAAGCTGTCGTCTTCTTCGGCGACTGGAGGAGGAGTATCGGTCGTGGGCTCCTCACTGACAACCTCAGCCTCGCGTGTCGTTTCGGCTGTGGGCTCGACAGTGTCCTCGACAATGGGACCGACTGGTTCAACAATCGGCTCGCTCACCGGCTCAACGACCTCGGCAGACTCGGCCCCTTCCTGGGGCTCGTCCTCGAAAGCAGCCCAGGTCTGTGCCTTCTTCTTAGACTTGTTGTCCTTCTTCTCCTTTTTTTCCTTCTTCTCCTTCTTGGACTTGCGCGAAACAGGGGCAAAGGCATCGTCTTCCTGTGCTGGCTCAACCGCTGGCTCGGGAGCTGGGAAGGAAGACTCGGTGGCCCCGTCGTGAGGCAGGGAGCTGTGGAGTTCGTCTTCAACCCGCTCGACCTCTCTCGTTTGGTCTTGCTCGGCACTTGGAACAACCTCGGAGGGCACAATCTCTTCGCCAGGGGTGTCGACCTTGGCAGCTTCCTCCTCGACCTCGTCAGCCCAGGAGGCGGACTGCGCCGTCCTCTTGGCTGCTTTCTTTTCCTTTTTGGAGAGCTTACGCGACACAGGGGCAAAGTCAAGGGCATCGTCAACAGGGGGCTCGGCGATGTCTTGTGACGCCGCCTGCGCATCATCATATGCCATCGCCGTCGCGGCGTCCCGAGCCACCTCTCGTTCTTGGGCAGACTCGGTGACCTCTTGGAGAGACTCGGGAACAGCGTCCACGGCAGCCAGTGCTTCTGCTGTCGGCGTTGTTTCAGCAGCCGCTTCAGATGGAACGTCTTCATCCCATGCAGAAAGCTGAGCCTTCTTCTTATTCTTATCTTTCTTCGATATTTTGCCCGAAGAGACAGGCGCAATGTCGTCCTCGGCAGGCTCCGTCGTCTCTGTGGTGGCGGCCATACCTGCGGCGGCAAGGCCTGCAGCAACAATGGCAGCGGCTGCAGTGCTCGACTCGACCTCAGTTTCAGGCTCACCTTCCTTGGGCGTTTCCGTGACGGACTCGGCAACCTTCTCTTCCCAGTCGTCTTCCCAGGCCTGCTTCGCCTTTTTCTTGGAAGACTTCTTGTCCTTCTTGTCTTTTTTGTCTTTCTTGGACTTTTTGGTCACCTGCGCAAAGTCGTCCTCGGCGGGCGCAGCAGTGGGGTCAGCAGCTGGTTCGGCGACAGGTTCGGAAGCAGGCTCCACAGCGGTCTCGATGTCAGGTGCTGACGGCGAATCAACCTCAGCAGCTCTCTTGCTTAGCTGAAGTGGCTCATCGGCGACAGGAAGGTCGTCGACTGGGGCGGACTCAGGAGCACCTTCTGCCTCGATTTGGCGATCAGCAGCCACCTCTTCGACGACATCGTCGGTCTTGACAGGTTCTTCAAAATCAGCCCACGATTGTTGCTGTGCCTTCTTCTTGGACCGCTTCTCCTTCTTGGAAGATTTCTTGACAGGAGAAAAGTCGTCCACCGGCTCCTCCTCAGCCTGGGTCACGGGCTCGTCGACAATGTCAGCGGCGTCAAGAGATGTAGCCTCGGGCTGATCGGCTGCCTCAGATACGGCCTCGAATGTCGGCTCTGGGATGGCGTCAATGGCGGGCTCAACTGGAGGCTCGACAACCGGCTCAGACACAGACGCCGGAGCAGCCTCGGCTGGAACATCGTCATCCCACGAAGCGAGCAGGGCCTTCTTCTTTTTGCCCTTCTTCGACTGCTTGCGAGAGACGGGAGCGAAATCGAGAGGCTGTTCCAGCTTTTCTTGAGCAGACGTCTCGAGAGAGGTCTCAAGAGACATCTCGTCGGCTGCTGCGGGCACAAACTCGTCAAGTTCGCGACGCTGCTCATGTTCTTGATCGGCAGCAGCCGTAACAGCGAGCTCAGAGGGCTCAACGGGCTCAACGGGCTCAGCCGGCTCGACATCTTCGGCAGGCTCCACCAATTTGTCAGCCTCTTCGACTACCTCCGTGACCGACTCGGCAGCCGACGGTTCAGGAGTACGTTCAATGTCGGTCCAGGCCTGGGCCTTCTTCTTGCCCTTCTTGTCATTCTTTGACTTGCGGGATACAGGAGCAAAGTCAAGATACTCCTCGGCAGATTCTTTGGCCGGTTCGCTCTCATTTTCAGCAATATCTGCTGAGGGCTCAGAGATAGCCTTGTCCGTGAGTTGCGAGATTTCACGGTCGGCAGAAACCTCCGGCTCTTGCTCTTGGGGAGCTTCTGCAGCTGGCTCTGTCACAGACTCAATGACCGGCTCCGGCGGCGTAGCAGTGGCCGACTCCGGTGTCTCCTCAGCGTCTGTCCACGCCTGCGACCTTTTCTTTTTCTTGTCCTTCTTTGACTTCTTGCCTGAGACCGGGGCAACATCAAGAGGCTCGTCGTCGGCCTTGGCGGCGGGGATCGCAGCGTGCACGTCAGTGTCTTCGATCACCTCGCGGTCCGGAGAAGCCTCAGCCTCGGGCGGAGCCTCTGCGGAAACGTCTGTGACCGGATCGGTCGGCTCAGCTGGCTCAGGGACATTGTCGGGAGCGGATTGAGCTTCTCTTGTCTCTGCAAGTGGCTCCGGTGCCTCTTCAAAGTCAGCCCACGCTTGTGCCTTCTTCTTCTTTTTGTCCTTCTTTGACTTTTTGCTAGAGACGGGGGCGAAGTCAAGCGGTTCGGCGGCAGGCTCCTTAGCAGGCTCTGCAGGTGTGGCGTCCTCGGTGGCAGGCGGAACAGTAGACGCTTCAGGTGCCTCGATGACTTCGCGGCCAATAGAGACCCCTGGAACTGCTTCGGGAACAAGGTCCCCAGAAACGGGCTCTTCTGGGACATTTACAGCAGGGTCTACAGGCTCAACGGGCTCGACGGGCTCGACGGGCTCGATCGGCTCAGAAACGGCTTCAGCGGCGGGTTCAACCGCAGGTTCAGCTGCTGGGCCAGATGTCTCAACGGTCAGATCCGGAGTCTCCTCAAAGTCAGTCCAAGCCTGCGCCTTCTTCTTCGACTTCTTGTCTTTCTTGGCTTTCTTGCCGGAGACAGGGGCAACGTCAAGAGAGTCATCAGCAACCTCCTTGACGGGCTGGGGCGCAGGCTCTGCGATGGTTTCGGCAATCTCACGTTCGGCAGATGGTTCGAGCTCGGCCGCTCCGATCTCGAGATCTGCGGTCTCTGTAGGTTCAGGAACAGGTTCCTCGACAGGCTCTCGGATATGCTCTTGGATAGGCTCAGTCGAAGACTCGACGGACTCAACAGGGGCATCGGCTGGAGACTGGGGTGTATCGTCAAAGTCAGGCCACGTCGACGACTTCTTCGTTTTCTTCTTGTCCTTTTTCTCCTTCTTGGATTCCTCGCGAGAGATGGGCGCGACGTCGTCGATGGAGTCAGCAGCAGCGGGCTCAGTCTGCTCGGGCTGCTCAGACGAGGGCTCTGTTGCGGTCTCGACGGCAGCGACTTCAAGCGGCTCGACGTCGGCAGCTGTCGTGGTGGTTGGCTGGACACTGTCGACAGTGTCAACAGCGTCAACTGTATCAACAGTGGGCTCTGCCTCCGCAAGCGGCTCGCTGACAGTGTCAGGCTCAAGTGCAAGCTCGGCTGTTTGCTCAGGCTCTGGAGTAGGCGTCTCCTCAGCATCTGTCCAAGCCTGGGCAGCTTTCTTCTTTTTGTCCTTCTTCTTTTCCTTCTTTGACCTGTTCGAAACAGGGGAAAAATCAAGCGGCGCGCCAACAGGCTCAACGGGTTGTTGTGAAGGTGTCTCGTCTGCTGCAGCCACGGATTCAGCAACAGGCTCAACAGGTTCGACAGGTTCGACAGACTCGGCAGAGTCGACAGGAGCAGACTCAGTGGAGTCCACAGGAGTGGTGGCCTCTGTCTCGGTGGGCTGGACGCCTACAGGTTCGATGGCGGCTGGCTCAGCGGCTTCAGTCTCGGCAGGTGTGGCCGTCCCAGTTGCAGGTTCGGATGCTGGTGATGCGGACTCCTCGACATCAGCCCAAGCCTGGACCTTCTTCTTTTTCTTGTCCTTTTTTGCCTTCTTCGTGACAGGAGCAAAATCAAAAGACTCGACAGGGTCGCTCACTAGCTGAGGCGCGGAATCTTCTGTCGGCTCTGCTACATCTCGGCCGGCAATGATCTCCGGGACTGTGTCAACAGGCTCAGTTGGTTCGACAGGAACAGCAGCTTCAGAAGCCTCCGTAGTCTCGGCAGGCTCAAGAGGGATGACACCCTCGACAGGAGCGGCAGAGTCAGCCGCCGGTTCAAGCATCTCGGCAGGCTCAGGAGGCGTGGGCGTCTCCTCAAAGTCGGCCCAAGCCTGTCCTTTCTTTTTCTTCTTGTTCTTGTCCTTCTTCGACTTTTTACCAGACACGGGCGCCAAGTCAACCGGCTCGTCAGCGAGAGGCTCGCCATGAGCATCGGCAGGCGTCTCAGCGATGGGCACAGGGGCGGCCTCGATGACAGGATCAGCAATCGGTTCGGTCGTAGGCTCAACGGTGCGCTCGGTAGAAGGATCGAGAGCGGCGGCAGAATCGTCGACGGGAGTCTCTATACTTGACGGTTCCTCAACAATCGACTTTTCGGCGACAGCTTCAGTAACAGCTTCAGTGACAGCTTCGGGTGTCGGCTTAGTCACTAGCTCAGTGTCCGGCTCAGTGTCGGGCTCGGCAACAGGCTCGCCCATAGACTCTGTCTCGGTACGAGCCTCGGGTTCCTCGAAAGAAGCATCAGAAGGCTCCGGCGGCACGTCTGTTGTCTCGGTTGCCTCATCCGCATCGCCCCAGGCCATCTGCTTCTTCTTCTTGGCTGCCTTCTTGTCTTTCTTGGACTGCTTGCGCGTGTGTGCGGGAGCAAAGACGTCTTCTTCGGGATTCTCCGCGTCTTGAGCTCCGGCGACCTCAGCAGGGAGCTCGTCTATGGGCAGGTCTCTGGGGGTGGACTCCGGCTCTGTGCTGGTGACAGTGTCGTCTGGTGTAGCCGGTACCGTTTCAGACAGTGGCTCCTCGATCTTGTCGGCAGAAACAACGTCTGCTGGTGTGTCCTCGGGCACCTCTTCTGGAGTCTGAGCCTCGGGAGCGTCCCAGTCGGACAGCACGGCCGAGCCTTTGCGGTTCTTCTTGCCCTTCTTAGCTTTCTTGAGAGACGGCGCCGACGGGGCCCAAACGTCGTCCTGCTCTGCGGCCTCGGGCGTGGCAGGAGACGTTGTCTCCGTTGGCACGTCTTCAGCGGCAGGAACCTCGGACTCAGGCTCGACCACAGCACGCGATGCCGATACAAGCCCCTCGTCGAGGTCGGGTTGAAACGAGACGGACTTGCGACCCTTCTTGCCCTTTGCCTTTTTGAGGCCGATGGGAGCGGCGACGGCGTTGTCAGCGTCGTCGGCAGTGGGAGGTGCTTCGACCACGGACGGCTCCTCCTCAACCACAGGCGCGGGAGAAGAAACAGGCTCCCCCTCGACAGGCAAAGTAGACTCCTCCTCGGCAGGCAGAGCAGAGTTCTCGACAGGTAGCGCCGCCGGCTCTTCAGGCGTGGGACCATCAACATCAAAGCCAGTGTCTTTCTTCCCCTTGCGCTTCTTGGACTTTTTGAGGCTGACAGAGTAGGGTTCACCAGCGTCGGTGGTAGAGAGAGCAGGTTCGGCGGGCGCCTCCTCACTGGCAGGAGCGTCCTCGACGACGGGTTCCACGGGAAGAATGTCGCGGCTCAGATCGTCTGGCTGCTCCCCAGTCGTTGTGGGAGCAGGCGTCTCTTCTGTTGCCACTTCAGCAGGTGTCTCAGCAGGCACCTCGACAGGAACCTCGACAGGTACCGCAACAGGAGTGTCCTCCTCTTCCTCGGGAGTGTCGTCTGTGCTGCCCCAGGAGAACCAAGACCTAGACTTCTTGACCTTCTTTGCCTTTTTGATCGTGGGAGCAGGTATCCGCTCCGGCTCGGAAGGTGTTGGGGCGGAAGCAAAGATATCCTCGGCAGCAATCTCTTTGGACGTCTCGGGCTGAGCTGGTGTCTCGACTGGAAGCGCTACCAGAGGCTCTTCAGTAGGCTCGACTGGCTCGACTGGCTCGACTGGCTCGACTGGCTCAACTGGCTCAACTGGCGCCTCTGCAGGCACCTCAGTCAGCTCAGTCAGCTCAGTCGCGGGCTCAACCTCCGGCTCGGTTGCTGGCTCGGTTGCCGCCTCTGCTGCCGGCTGCGTCGTTGGCTCGTCCAATGCAAAGGTCACGTGCGAGTCCTTGCGCTTCTTCTTCTTCTTCTTGTCCTTTGTCTTGAGTCCGCCGCCGGATGCGAGGTCGTCGGTGGTGAACTCTGTGGCAACGGGTGCGCCGGACAAAGGATCGGTAGGAGCAGACTCCGCCTCAGGCTCGACGGCACGGTCGGTCGCAAGAATGTCGGGTTGGCTGTCGACGACGGTCTCGTCTGTCTCTGCCACGACCGGGCCAGTCTCGGACGGAGCAACCTCTGGCTCAACAACCTCTGGCTCAACAACCTCAGCTGCCTTGCCCTTCTTTCCCTTTTTGCCCTTTTTGGACTTCTTGGCAGTCGTCGCTAACCACTCGTCGTTGTCGTCCACAGCCGTTGGCGTTGCATCCGATGTGGTCGTCGTGGTCAAGTCGGTGCGGCCGACGTCAAGGTCAGCTGCTGCAGGGCCGTCGCCAGTTTCTCGGACGTCTTGCGGTTGTTGGCGTTCTTCGACAGGTGCGTCGACGGGCGAGGCAGCTTGCGTGTCGTCGCGGTTCTTGTCCTCGCGTCGGTCGGCGTCCACGACGACGGCCTCTGTCTCTGTCGCAGGCTGGTCAATCGAGCGGACCGCCGCAGTGGTGCTGTTGTCGTCCGCTGCGGCCTCTTCTGTGCCGAGTGCACCGACTGTACCTGCACCGACTGCACCGACAGCAGCGGCAGCGAGAGCAGCGGCAACCACTTTGCGCTGCTGCTTCTTGGAGAGCTTCTTGGCCGGGCCCGTGCTTCGGCGGGTGCTTTCGTCGCCAAAGCCGGCATTGTCCATCGTGTCGGGCGTGGCGGCTGCTGTGTCCATGTCTTGTTGACGAGGTTGCTCTTCCAAGCTGCGGTCCGAAGCAGGCCCCGGGGTCGCTTCAGGAGCGGTCTCTTGGGAAAAGGTTGGAGAGTCTGAGCCATCTCTGCCTGCCTGGGCAGGCTCTCGCGTGAGAGCGGCGGTGTTGGCATCGCCAGAGCTTGCATGCAGGGTCGGTTCCACGTCGTGCTGGGTTTTGCTGTTGTTGCTGGTTTTACTGGTGTTGCTGTCGTCGTCTCCGCTACGAGCGTTTTCGGCCTTGCTCGTGTCGTCAGACAGCTCCTTGGAAGTGGCCTCGACCACCTCCTCAGTGGGCCGGCCCGCTGCGTCCTGATTGGACGGCCCGTCGAAAGAAGACCCCGCTGGATCCTGTTGGTGGTTGTCATTGGCCACAGCCGAGGCGAGGGGAGCCGTGTCGCTGTCGGGCAGCAAGGCCTTGTCGGCTACGACGTCGCCAGGGGTCGTTTCCGTGTTGTCAAGAGCGTCGTTGTTGTCGTTGTCGCTGTCGTCGAATGTCCGCTCACCGCCGCCAGTCAGGCTGGGCGCCTCCACTTGGTGTTGGTTGTTGCTGCTCGTGTGGGGCTCAGCGCGGATACTGCCATGCAACCAAGTGGGCTCTTTGGCGGAGTCGTCCAAGTCGCTTGTCTCCGGCTCGTGCGTCTTGTCCTCGCCCTTGTTCATCTTCAACAGCTCGGCCGCCGCTAGCACTGTTGTAGCTCCGGCGGTGGCAGCGACTGCCGCTGGGAGAATTGAAGATGAGCCTGAACCTGAACCAGAACCCGACAAGTCGCGGTCAGAATCCGCGGGCGAGTCGTCGACCGACTTGGCCTGGCCCTTGTTCTTCTTGTTGGCCTTTTTGGTCTTGGTCCAGGACGCCCAGGAGAAGTCGTCGTCGGGCACCGCAGCAGCCACTGTCTGCTCTTCATCCGCCGTTGGCGTGGGAGGCTGCTCAGCCTCCACTTGGGTGACGGCCATCTCGTCGGCTTCGGTAAAGTCAGCCGGCGTCGTGGTGGCTTGGCTCTGGCTCTGGCTCTGGGTCTTGCTCTTTTTGCCCTTCTTCTTGCGGTCCTTCTTTGAAACAGGCGCAAAGTCGTCGACGGCCTCCTCGGGAACGGCCTCTGGCTCTTCAACCAACGCCGTCTCCGTCTCCGTGGCCGTCGGCTGCGGGCTGGGATCGCGGGGCGAGACGTTTGCGCTGTCGTCCACGTTCAGGACGTCCGGTTCAGCCCGGCTGCCCTTCTTGTTCTTCTTGGACTTCTTCTGCTTCTTGGACGCGCTGGGGCTTGCCGTGTACGCTGGCTCTTCAAAGACGGGCTTGTCCTCTGCAGGCGTCTCCTCGAGAGCAGGCTCGACGCTGGGGAAAAGGATGTCACGGCGCGCGTCCTTGTCGACTCCGACAGCAGCAGCAGCAGCAGCAGCAGCAGCAGCAGCAGGTTCGTCGTAGACGACATCGTCAAAGAAGCGGTCGAGGTCAGTACCGCTGGTCACAGTGTCGGGGTGCGATGTGCTAGCCACCTCCTTGACAGGCCCGTCCGCCGGCTCAGGGACCGCCCCGGGCTTTTTGTCCTCGCTGAAGCCGCGACGGACAAACGACGAAAAGACGGAGCCGAGACGCGAGGCAAAGCCGCCCGTCAGCGTCGAGGCAGGTGTGGCAGGAGCAGAAACGGCCGTCTGGTCTGCCACTGCTTCTCTGGTCAAGTCCGCCTCATCCACCTCGACCTCCTTCGCCTTGCCCTTGTCCTTGTCCTTGTCCTCGTTTGTAGACGTAGAAGTGGACGCAGATGTAGACGTAGCATCCTCCACGGCGGCCAGGACGTCGCTGCGTAGAATATCCGTGGACGGACGGGTAGACTGCGATCTGGGTGGCGGCGTCGTCGAGACTGCCGGGATGTCTGCCATGGCATCCTCCTCGGTGCGTTCCTTGTCCGGGCTTGCGTTTGCCGACTTGGAACCCACGGTGGCCTGCGCTGCAGCTGCAGCAGCACCAGCCTGCGCGGCGGTGTACGCGTCCAGCTCCATAGCGAGTGCGTTGGGACTCGGCAGGCTTCGGCGGTTCTGCGCGTGCGCGTTCTTGTCATTGTTGGCCATGGAGGCACGCGCCAGCGCTTCACGCAGCGGGGATGCCTCGCCGCCGCCAACGCCCATGCCCATGCCCATACCCATACCCGTGCCGACACCAACACCGGCCAGACCACCCGTAACGAAGCCGCGGCGGATTGGCGTGGACAGGGCGCTGGGGTTGCTGCTGCTGCCTTGGCTTTGGTTTGTGGATGGCGCGCCAGCGGTATTGGCCTCTGCGTCCGACAACTGGCTGCTCGACCGGTGGTGCTGCTGCATCAACAGCTTGAGGGGCTTGAGATCGCGCGTGCTGTCCCACGACTGCGGTCGCGAGGCGCGCTTGGTCGGCGTGGAGAAAAAGTCCAGCACGGCCTGTGCCTCGCGGGCGCTGGGCGTGCCCGGTGCCACGGGCGAGCCAGAGGCCAAGGGAGAGCCGTCCGTCGTGTTGATGGGACCATAGGACGTCGAGGGGACAGTCGTCGAAACAGAATCTGTCGCGTCGCCGGCTGCAGTCGTAGGCGACGGCATGGCCGACTGGGACATGGCCGACGGCTGGGTTGGCTGCGCCGGCTGCGCCGGCTGCGACGCGCCAGACGGCAGCGGCTGCTTGTACATGCGAGGGCTGCCGGCAATCGCAGACGGCGAGCCCGAGCGCTGCATCAGCCATTGGATGGGCACGGCCGTCGGACTGGCCGTGGACGACTTGACCTTGATGGGTGTCTCGGAGCGCCGGCGCTGGGCGGCGGCCAGGGCCATCTGCTGCTCGCGGAGGTGGCTCTCGCGCTCCTGCTCCGGCGGCGTCTCGGGCCGGCTGTCGGGCAGGTCAGGGAACTCAAAGTCGGAGTCGAGTTCGGATATGATACTCTTGGGCGATCCCGGTTCGCTGGGCTGCGGCGGCAGGGGCAGCAGGTCACCGAAATGAGGGTCGATCGCCGGCCGGATCTGGCGCGCGACAATCTCCGGGTCGATGACAGGTTCCGAGTGCGCCGCCGAGGGGGCTGCCGATGCCGCGTTGGAGGGTGCACGCGAACGGTTGCCGGGCGTGGCAAGGCCGTCGAGGAGGTCTGTGTGCGGGGCCAACTGTTCTTGTTGGTTTTCTTGCTGCTGCGATTCGTGCTGTTTTGAATCGTCTTGTTGCAACTCGCGTTGCTGCTGTTCGTCCTGTGGCCGCTCCGCGACCACAGCATCGTCCTCCGTTTCCATCCCACGAGGGTGGTCGGCGGCAGGCTCCTTCTCGTCGGAAGAAGCGTCGGCGACTTTTGTGCGGGAAGGCCCGGCGGCGCTAGCAATGGCCGCCACGGCTGCTCCCGCAAGTCCGACACCCGCGCCAAGGGTGCCGGCATTAGCTAAAAAAGACTGCTTGTCGGTGTCCTGCGAGGACGTGGTCGTTGTAGCAGTTTTGCCCTTGCCGGCCTTGCCCTTTTTGCTCTTCTTGCCCTTTTTGCCAGTTTCCACCTCGCCCGTCTCGCCCGTCTCGCCCGTCTCAACCGTTCGCTCACGGTCTCGATCTCGATCTCGATCCGGCGGTGGACTGGGATCGTCTTCGTCCCAGACAGACTTGGCAGGGGCCGTGGAGACAGTATGCGTGTAGTTGTCGTTCGGGTCGGCGTCAGCATCGACGGCCGTCGTCTCGCTGGCTTCGGACCGCGACAGACTGCCCGACAGCGCGTCGTCGTCCTCGGCGGCCTTCTTTTGCTTGCGCTTGTCCTTTTTGGATTGTTTGCGGGACTTTGTGAATGTGGACGACCATTCGTCATTGTTGTCCCTTTGGGCGTCGACATCGGCGGCGTCCGCAGCGTCCGCAGCGTCTGCAGCGTTGGCATTGTCGGCAATGGTCGTGTCGGCGCGCTCGGCGGATTCAGAAACGACAGGTCCAAGAACAGGCTCAGGAACGACATCGGGCAACACGGATACGTCCCGGCCGCGGTCCTCTTCCTCGGCATAGGACGACGCCTTTTTGTTCTTCCTGTTCTTGCCCTGTTTCTTAGTCGGCGTATAGGCCGCCCAGTCGTCATCAGCCGGAGTGGGAGCAGACGCGGCACCGCGAGTCTCCTCTTCCATTCTCGTCTTCTCTTTCTCAAGCTCGAGCTCGCGTTGGCGCTCAAGCTCCCGCTCACGCTCTTCTGCCCGCTCTTCTGCTCGCTCTTCTTCACGCTCTTCTTCACGCTCTCGCTCCTGCTCCCGCTCTCGCTCCCGCTGCTTGGCCTTTTTGCTACGGTGGCCAGTGCGCACAGTCACGGGGGCCGCGTCGCCGAGCGCCGTCTCGGAGACGATTTCGCGCGACGACGACGAGCCGGCGCCCGAGTCGTCCGAGTCGTGGCCGTGTTCGCGACTCTGATGTGGTGGCGACGACCGCTGCCAGTAGCTTGGATCCTGGACGACAATGTTGTCGTCAAACCCGGACGCAGGCATGCCGGCAGACACGATGGCGGCGAACTCGAGGTCGTCGCCAAAGGCGCCCTGCGGCGTGGACTTGTTCTTGGCGCTGAAATAGTGGTCAGGGCTTCCGCTTTGATTTTCTCTGTGCCTTCTGCTTGGACGGTCGCGGGCGGCGGCGGAGCGATCGGAGACAGCCTGACGAGGACTCGGGGGCGGAGAGGCCGAGACCGGTTCTGCAGCAGTGACCTTGTCGTCGATGGGGATGCCACTGCCGTCACGACGCGGGCGCAGAGGGAGCTCCTCTTCAGCTACCTCTTTGCCCTGGCCGTTTTTTGACTGGTTGTCGCTGTTCTTGTTGTTCTCCTTGTCGTCGTCCTCGGGAAATTCACCGGCCATGTGTTCGACCGTCGTTTCGGGCTTGCTGTCCTCGGCATCGACGTCCTTCGCATGGACGTCCTTGTCCTTGGCGTTCTTGTCCTTCACAGGCTCCTCCTTGTCGGCATTCTTGGAGGACGTGTCAGACGTCACAGATCCGGCAGATGCAGCGGCAGCACCAGCTGCCGTGCCGGTCACAGCACCGATAATAGCGGCCCAGCCCGACTTGCGGAGGGGCGCCGTGCTGGTTCGCTTGGCGTTGGGGAAGCGAGACTGGGCGACCGGGACAGGCGATCCGTCCGACTTTTCTGTAGGCTTGGCCTCGCTCGCCTTGTCGACGGAGTCTGCCTTTGCCTCTCTGTCCTTGGGGCCTGCGTAGGTAGGCGGCGGCGGCGGCTTGGGCGGAGCAACGTCGTCGTCAAAGTCGTCGGGTGGGCCGACGGTGATAATTTCGGGCTCGACAGTGACAATGTTGGCGTCCATGTCGACAGGGTCAGTCGTTGGTCTCGCCCCGCCGGCCACACCGCGGCTGCGGTTCTTGCGCGCCTCCTCTTCTTCCACGTGCTCGGCGGCACGCTCGAGTTTCTGGACCTGCTTCTCGGGCGTCGGTGAGGGCACAGGGGTGGGCATGACGAGGTTGAGCAGCGGGCGTTCGCGCTCGCAGGACGGGTCGCGCGAGATAAAGACAGGCATGGTCATGGACCGACCGCGGCTGCGGCTGCGGCTGCGGTTGCGACCCTGTTCGTCACCCGCCTCGTACGAGCCATGCACGGCCTTGCGGCGGTCCTCGGCGCGCAAGAGGTACTTGTCGAGCTCGTTGGGGTAGATTTTGTTGTCGATGCGGACGTCGGCGTTGGGCTCGGCGTACTTGTTCTTCTCGTGGCGGCGCTCCATCTCGGGCGGCGTGACAATGCGGACGACGGGCGGCTCGTCGCTGTTGCTGCGGGACACGGTGCCGCGCGAGTCCTTGCCCGAGCCGCGGCTGCTCGAGCGGTCGTTGGCATCGCCACGCTTGTCGTTCTTGTCGTTCTTGTCGTGCTGGTCATGCTCGTCGTGCTCGTCACGCCGGTCGTGCTGGTCTTCGACGTTGTCTCGGCTGTAGCTGTTACTGCGGCTCACGTACTTTTCAACGACCGACTCCGACGGCGAGGCACTGCGCGAACGGATCTCGTCCTCGGCGATGCGGCGGGCGATGGCCGTCTTGCGGTAGTAGCGGTCGGCGTCGTCGCGGATGTCGCGGTCGGTGCGCCCTTGTTCGTCGCGCGGTTCGCGGCGGCCGGACGTGCGGCCGCGCGGCGGTTCGTTCCTGTACTGGCTCTCCTCGCGCATGATGACGGCCTCGGCGGCGGTCACGGCGGACTTGTCAATGGGCGCCGTGGAGTGGCTGGTGCGTTCCAGGATAGCCTCGGCCTCGTGCTGCTCGCGCTCGAGGCTGCCGCTGCGGCGCTGCTGCTCGCGGTCGCGCCGGGCGCGTTCGATGGCACGCTCGCTCTCGCGGCGCACAAGAGACTCGCGCTGGCGCTCAAGCTCGCGCTCGCGGTCCCGCTGCGCACCGGGCGATATCGCGGGCGTGGATGGGCCAGCCGCGGCCGACGAAGATGGCGGCGCCTTGACGGGCGTGGCTGGCGTGACCGGCTCATCCTCAGTGGCCCACGACGGGCCGTCGTCGACCGTGACTATGGCGGGCGTCAGGGGGCGCATGACGGGTGTGTTGCCGTACACCGGCGTGGGGAAGGCGTCCGTGGCCACCTGGTACTGGAACGGGTCGACGGCCGGCTTGTCGTCGGCCTTGGTTACCGCGCGCTCTCGCTCGTCGAGCTTGTGCTTCTCGGCAAGCAGGGCGTATGCGGCGGTGGACATGGACATGGCAGACGCGCCCGCAGCAGTCTTGTCATCGGATCGCGGCGCTGCGCCAGCCGCCTCCCGCTTCAGGCGCTCAGCCTCATCCTGGGCGCGGTAGTAGCGTTCGGCGCGGCGGAAGCGCTCGTCCAACGTTTCCTTGCGGCGTTCAGCACGGCGGTCGGAACGACGGGCGTCGTAGTCGTCGTTCTTGCGATCGCGGTCGCGGTCATCACGACGGTCATCACGACGGTCGTCACGACGGCCATCCGTGCGATCTTTGCGGTCATCCTTGCGGACAACATCGGCCAAGACGGCGCCGGCAACGCCGCCGACGGCCGCCGCCACCAGAGGCGAGGAAGTGCGCTCCTGCTTGCGCGCATTGTAACGAGAGTCGGTTGTGCTGGGCTCGTCTTGGCGACGGTCATAACGATCACGGCGGTCACGGTCACGGCGGTCCCCCGCACGTTCGCGTTCGCGTTCGCGCTCACGTTCATATTCCCGCTCCCGCTCCCGCTCCTTCTCCCGCTCCCGCTCCTTCTCCCGCTCCCGCTCCTTCTCCCGCTCCCGCTCCTTCTCCCGCTCCCGCTCCTTCTCCCGCTCCCGCTCCTTCTCCCGCTGGCGATTCCGGTCCTCCGACGCCATAATGACGTCGTCGTCAAACACGCGGCTGCTAACCGGGGTCACGGGTTTGGGCGTTTTGATTTCCACGGGGCCTTGGGGCTGCTGCTGACGACGGCGCGGCGTCGTGGGCGCTGCGTTGGCGGTGCGCGAGTCGGACTGGCTGGGCGGGCGGATGTCCGAGGCAATCACGCCTGCCGCGCCCGAAGGGACAGGACGCCCGTCAAACCCGCAGGGGCTGGTGACGTGACCGCGCAGCGAGTTTTGCGGGCCGAAGAGGGACGGGTCGACTATGGAGGACTGGCGACGGCCGGCGTGCGAAGGGTGAGCATTGTTGTAGCGGTTGTTGGCGGGCGACGAGTGCGCCGAGTCACGGCCGGCTCCATGACGGCCAGAAACAGCAGCACCGGCGAGAGTGGCACCAGCGGCCACGCCCAGAGCAGCAGCGCCCACACCCGCACCCGTGTGCGAGGCCGTATGCGACGCTGACGGGCGGGTCTGCTTTGGCGGCAGGTGGTGGCTCGAGCCATAGGCCAGGCCCGAGTCGCCGTCGCTGCTGCTCGCAAAGGAGTCGTCGTCCGAGTGGCCGTCTTCAGAGGCAGACTCCCACTCGGAGTCGTCGGGCGACGACGGGAGGTCATCATGACCGTGGTTGGGGCGCGAAAAGGCGGCGCCGCGCCCACCGCTAAAGTCGTCGCGGCTGCCAGCCTGGGAATGGCGCTGCTGGCGGAAGCGCTGCAGGGCGACCGAGGCGGCGGCCATCTGGGTGGGGGCGCGGCGGCCGACACGGGCCAGGTCGCGGCGGTTCTCGTCGTGGGCCAGCTGGGCAAGCTCGCGGCCGATGCGCAGAATCTCTTCGTCGTCGCCGGTACCGCGTTGCGGACGCGACGAAGACGAGTGGTCGCCGCCATAGGCGAGATGGTCTGTCACAGCCGCAACACCAGCAGCACCGGCAGCAGCAGCTGCTGCTGCAGCAGCCACGCCCGCTCCATGGCTGTGGCCATGGTTTTGGCTAGGCCACTGGTCGTAGCTTTGACTGTGGGTGGCGGTGGCGACCGTCTCGTCACGCGCCAGCTGCACGCGCGAGCGCGAAATGTAACCGCGGCCGTAAAAGAGCCCGTCGTCGACGGACGAGGAGCTGGAGTTGCTGAAACGCAAGAATCGCTTCTTCGTCTTGCGGTGGCCCGACGATGCTCGGTGCTGCTGGCGCGTCGGCGACCGTCCAGACGTGCTGCTGCGCCGCCGGAAAAAGGATATGATGCCGTTAACGTGCGACCGCGGCGCCGAGATGTTGAGCAGCGAGTCGGACGTCGACGACGTCGACGAGCCGCCCGACGATGCCGAACCTGCGCGGCGGTGGCGGCGCGGATCACGGTCGCGGACGTTGTGCGTGGGTGTGTACGGTTGCTGTTGTTGACTGTGTTGATTGTTTTGTTGATACAGATGGGACGCGGCCGCAATGCCCGTGGCCGCGGCGGCGCCCAGACCTACACCGGGTGCTGCACTCGAAATAGGTCCTGTCGGACGGAACGCCGCCGGATCGACAAAAGTGTTGCTCGTGTCGTAGTAGCTGGCGGCCTCGCCTCGCGAACGTGAAGGAGTCGCGACACGTGGGATGGTTGTGGCGGGTGCCGTTCCGGATGCTGCCGTCGCAGCCGCGGTCGCCGCGTGGTGTGAGGAGCGAGACGAGCGGTGACGGCCGCCCGACCGGGTCGACTCGCCGGCGCGTGAGTACGTATCTCCGCCGTCCGACGCGCCGTCCGCAGACAAAGACCGGGACCGGCGCCGTTCCTTGCGACGTCGCCGCGCGCTCTCCGGGCTGCGGCGACGGCCTTCGAGCGGCATGGCGGTGGCTGTCTTGAAACTAAATTCCAGTTCGGGGTCAGGGTGCACCGTTTGCACCGTTTAGCTAGCGCGGACAGCGGCTGCTGCCGTCGAGCGACTGGAATGCAAAACGGGAAGGGAGATTCGGGATGAGGGGGCTAGTCGATCAGTTGGGTACTCTTTCGGGTGGTGAGGAATGGAGAGTTAAAGTGTGTGATATCGACGACGTCGAAACCCGAAGCTCGGTATTCGATAGTCGATGCTCGATGCTCGATACTCGATACTTGATACTCGAGTGCAATCGCAACAAATCGAGTCAGCCTTAACAAAGGTCTGTTATCGTGTGGTTGTATTGGGGGGTCGACGTGGCGGTGGTGGAAAAGAAGCAAATTCGGGATGAAAATAATACACCAAACACTACTAGCAGACAATAACAAAAGCCTGAGTGCCGATGCGTGCAGTGGACGTTTTGCCTGCAACATAAAATTAGGCGGCTTGCTGGCGGTGGGATCAAAGAGGAAAAATCATAACAAACCAAAACAAAAGAAAACGGAACCCACTCTGACTTACCAAGTACTCCTCCACATGGGTGAGAGGGAAAGGGAAAACGGGTCAGGCCTCCAGGGTTCCACAATGATGTGGTAGTTCTGGCGTGTGTGGTAGCCGAGAGGCAAAGGCAAAAAGGGCAAACAGAGGGTGGAGGCAGAGAGGGCGAGGAAGAGGGTGACGGGAGGAAATCGAGGAAAATCAAAAGAAAAGCGGTGGCTGGGAAATCGAGAGCAGGGGTGGGCGGTCGAGGAAAGAGGGTGTCGTGGGCGCTCGGGGAAGGAGCTGGACAGCTGGGTTGGGCCAAGCTGGCTGGGGTCGAGCTGGCTCGGCAGGCCTCAACGACTCACGGCTCCCGACTCCACACACACTGAAATCAACATACATGATTCGTACTGCCGCTGTGTCTCGACAAATCACATGCCTCCAACCGTGTTGACGGCCGATGCCTTTTTGCTGCCACTTGCAGGATTGCGTGCATTGCATGTACGAAAGAACAATGGCAGAAGCGCGGAGGCAATGAGAAAGGAACTGGCAAATCAGGTTCATGCATTCTTCAACTGCGTTTAGTTCAGACTTTTTCTCTTCACAAGCAGATCCAGCACAACACCAAAATTATTCAGGGGCGGAAGGATGGAAAGCTGAAGCTACGACGCAAAGCTACCTAGAGAAGAGCTCTAGAAAGTGCACAGGGCACGCACCCCCGAAGCTGATGAAACAGCCGGGGGTGGTTGGCGGCAGAAACGAAGTTCGGAATGGCGCCTGTCGGCCAGTGTCCATAACGTTAAGCCGTAGGGCAGAATTCAATATTATTCGTAGTTTTTGCGGCTCTGCTACCACGCAAAAGAGAATTCAAACTCAAGGGAAAACACATCAACAATGCTACAGACCACGGACACATCGAGAAACAAACGCGCCAAATTCACCCTAACAACAATACAAAGGCAAAGAGACACGCGCTAGGTCTGGGAACAGCCGCCAAATGGTCACCAAATGCTGTCCAAACTGACCGTCGTCGGACGACTAGTTCGCTGTTAGTTCACTATTGGTCGTGTTGTGGTGCCTCTTGTTTTGGCCGGCCTCTGGAGTTTGTTTACATTGAAGTGCTTGGAGTGGAGCGGCAACACCGCCCTAGCGCCAAAACAGACGCACTTTCGGCCTGGGGTCGATTCCCTCGGATGCTGGAGTGACGCGTGACGTCCAGGTGGGGCCGCCTCACTTTTGTCTCCAAACTGCTTCTTCTCTTTGTCTTGCATTCCCTGTCCAGCGGGTTCGTCCGCGAGGGAGGCTATCAATCTGTCAGAGCTGTTGACGATTGGCATCTTGAAAAGCAGCCCCATCATCATCGCGAAATAGGTGTCACCAATGGTCTGGATTGGCGGGAATTGACAGACAGAAAGGTGGAATGCAACCTGCAGTTCATATGATACCAATTGTTAGAATGGAAGAACGTATCGAGAGTTATCGAGGTTTTATATGTTGATTTTTATTAAGCCCGTATTGATTTGTTTCATTATAGGTGTTATGAATCAAAGATTGTAATGTATTTTTTTAACGTGTTCATAACGAGCATAATGTAGACTTTTTTCATTACGAAAGAAAAAATGAAAATGAAATAAAATTAAAAATAAAACACCCAAATACGAATAACAAACGACACTTACTTAATTTATTTACTTATCTGTTTATTTTTGGAAAGACATTTGTTCATAAAAATACTTTTTATCAAGAAATATTTGGATTCATGTTTTATTTCTATATGCTGTGTCAACTGCGAATCTTCGCGTTGTCACGTATTTGATTTTGACTGTGTCTAGACACGCATAATATGTGTAGCAAAGTAATCTACTGGGGCGAGCAGCTGGTGCCCATCCTTGTTTTGCATGTACAAGGCCATGCAAAGTGATCCCTATCCCCTCCCTAGATGAACATGAATAATGCCGTGTGCTCATGTACAATGCACATGATGGTTGCCCTATGCCCTGTGCCCTGTGCCCCCTTTCTTTGCGTTGACCCAAACCGATGGCCGTAGATGACGAGAAAACAATGAACCTAGATGCACCACTCCCCGTTCCATTTTTTGCCTGTTATCTGTTACATATGACCAGAAGCGCGTGAAAGTAAAAAAAAAATCGAGAAAAGAGTAAATAGAAAAGGAGTCGAAGGACGGAAACAATGAGTAGTGAAACAAAACCAAGACAGAAACCCCGTTTTGTCTTGGAAACGGCCGTTCGTTAAAAGCGAGAAAAGAAAAGCAAATGAAAGTGTGTCGTTCGTACCGACAATTCGAAACAAGAAGTAAGCAAAAGGGACTTTAGACATGAGACTGAAGAAAAACGGGAAAGCCGGTCATTACGACCGGTAGTACTGTGAACTGGCCAGCTGCCGGGTTATGTTGTCTACAGCGGGTTCTTGTCTACCGGTCCATGCCCCGCTGGTAACTTCGCTTGCGAGTAGTTCCACGATGTTAGAGATGGCGGCCTCAATGGATGCTGCCAACTGGATTGCGCATCCGGCTGGGCACGATAGGATGACGCAGATGATTTGGGTGGCGACGTCGGCGAAAGGGACTTGCTGGCATCTGAGAGCAGGGTGTGAATTGGCATCGAGCTTTCGAGTGGTGTGCGCGGGTAGCTGCCACTTCTGTTGCTGCTGGCTGTCGAGTACGACGAAGTGCCTGATCCATTGCTAACGTTGCTTGCGCTGCTGGCACTGCTGCTGCTGACCATCATGTGGTTGCTGTGTGGAGCCAGGCCGGGGCTGTTGCTTCCAGTATCCGGTCTTGGTCCCGACATTGAGCCAGTGGTGGTTGGCGAGTGCGAGTGTCTATTATCGTGGAACATACGTGACAGGGAAGGAAGGCCCATATGGGCGCTGTCACCGCTATCACTGCGTCGGATTGCCGTCGATTGGCCATGGCTCGGCGGGAGCACCGTTGCGGTATGAGCGTGAGGACTCCGGCTGGCTGGGCGCGACGAGGCTGAGCGGTACGAGTGAGCATCGTGACTGCGAGCGTCATCGTTCTTTCGGTGGTTGAGAGGCGTCGGGGAGTGCATCAGTCCAGGCGAGGGCGAGGCCGAGTATTGACAGTCAGAACCAGAGGCAGTGGATCTAATGTGGCGTTTTCCACTGGCGTGGTGGCTGTTGATGTCGCGGGAACTTTCGCTACCACACTGGGAGCCGTGGTCATTCAATCCCTCGCTGTTACGCTTTATGTGGCGTTCATGTAGGCTGCGGCCGTGGTCAGGTTGGTGGTGCGCTGTGGGAGGAGACGCAGATCTACCGTCGAGCATGGGCGTGTTCGTGGTGCTGAAATCAGCGAGCTTGATCCGCTTGAATGCATTGTTGTCTAAGCCAGGGAGAACAGGGCACACGGTGTTAGATATATGTAATCAGAAATGGAGAAAGCAAGCAGGAAAAGTTAAGCAGGCAAGCTATTATACAACAACAACAGAAAGTATTCTTGGGAGAGGCCAAGGAGAGGTGAAACAGAGCAGACTGCATCCATCTGTGCCTCCTCTCGCAGAAAGACAACAAATAGTATTCCATTTCAAAATAGAATGGGTGTTTTTTGCTGAATCAAAATGCTGCGAGAAAACAACCAATCCCTAGCTTTTCTGTTTATTTTTTCTGCTTCTCGTTTTTCCTTTTTGGTTCTTTTTTCAAGATCGATGCATATCGCTAGCGGGGAAGAAGTAAGACACACCTTGGGTCTGATTGCCGCCATGCTTGGCCTTGAAATCCTGCAGGTACACCATGTACCGCTTGTATTCGTCGGTCTTCTTGTACTCGGCCAAGTCTTGGTTGTACTTGCCCTTGGCGAGTTGAGCTTGCGTCTCAAAGGGCTCACGCTCGGCCGCAGTCAGACCCTGCCAGTTTTCGCCGACATGCTTGGCGATTTCCGTAAACGATAGGTTCTTGCCCTTCAGATCCTCTCTTATCTCTGTCGCAGCGTGTTAGTAACCACACCTCTTTCGACGAGGACATATATGTGATGGTAAACGCACTGTTCGAAAAGAGTACGTAGGCAGACGGCGGACGTTCTGGTGCGTTCTCGTCTGGCTATTTCTACTGTTAGTAAAGTGGTCACACAATGGATATGGACATGGTATTTTGTGACCATGGATACGCACTTTAGGGTGTCTCCGGTACTTCCGCTTTGCAAGGACACCGGGGACTGCACCACGGCTGTCGAGATTGAAGTTTGAAGGTGCCTCTTGCTTTGTTGTGGAGTCTGTTCTTGATGAGTCTTCTCCGGGCGTGCGAGTGGGTGAAACAAGAGAGACGTCCTGAGCGACACCGCGATAGTTTGCAATCCGCCGTTGTAGTTTCTGGAACAAAGCAATCGTTAGTTGGCCGACGATAGCAGAGCAAACACAGAAAAGTCGTTCTTACCCGGCGGTGGCCAAGCTTGACTCCAAGGGCGTCCCTGTAAGAATGTGAAATTAGTACGCTGTCGATACGATAAAGACAGCGAAAGGCGAAGGAGAGAAACCATACAGATCGGACTCTGTGATGTCGAGAAGCGTCTCCCAGGAGTCAAAGCCTTGGTCTACAAACGCGTCGTAGTACTGTGTTAATTGGAGCTCTTCCAGCTCGTCTTCTAAGCGTTGTGACATGTTGGCCTCGACTTTGCGTCCGCTGCGGTCGTCAATCTTCTATCCAGGTCTCAGTGACCATGGAAAGGGGTAGATTTCGTCCTCAGACGGGGTGGGAAAGAGAAAAAGAAAGAGGGAGTAACTGGCGCCGCTCCGAGGATAGGCTACAAAGTCATTGGATGTCAGCAAAGTCCGATCCGCGCACGAAAGATTCAAAGAGCCAAAAGATAAATAAGGCACACCGGGGCGAGCAGGAGAACCCAGGAGGAGAGGAAGAATGGAAGGGACTGGGAAGCGATCAAGAAAAGACGAGAGGTTGGAGGGAACGATGGACGAAGGGGGTGAGGGAGGGGGGCAGATTCTGAATATAGGACTCTAGATATTCCAGAGCCAAGAACGACAGCAATGCCACTCCTCACATAGCCAGTTGCCGCCGGAGACTATTCAATACGCACAAATAGATCCGTGGAAGCGATTACGTGGGAGTTTCGCTAGAGTTCGACTTGACTGTGTCTGCGTGTGGCTGTTGACATTGACCAGATGGTAATGGTAAGCAATGGAGGTTGGAAATTGAGGTAGTGCGAGTGCTGAGGGTAGAATATAATAAAGCAATGTACTTCACCGAAGCAGGACGGTGGAGCGAATGCAGAGATATTGGAACAGCAGAGAAAGTGAGACAGGCAGACGTGGACGGCGATGTTGAGACGATGGGAGCAATGCATACTGAAAATGAAGAAACTCGTCGTTCCCGATGAAGGCCAAGGAAATGGTACCAGCTCGGGAGGATACTGGAGTCTTGGGATGGAGTATTCTGCTCTAAATTTTGACAAAGAACGGCCCTTGCTAGACCAAACAAAACGATGGAAGCAACGAGCCATGACGCCGACGTCTGGAGATGCATGCAATGGTGGTCGCCCTGGGATAGGACTGGAGTGGAGGCAGAAACAGAGTACGATGGAAACGGCAAACTTACGTTTGGAAATCAAATTCGTTGGGAGCCGCCCCTGGGATGTGTGAAGGCACGGAGAAGAAGACTGGCGACGTTGTGCGCTTGCTGGTGACAAGGAGCAGTGCTGGATGTCTCTCTAGGTCAGAGATATGGAGTTGGCGATGTTGGTAGAAGCGGGCGTGTGGAAAGCAGAGCGTTGCGCAGTAGGCTTAATGCGAGCCAGAGACGAGCGAGTGGTGAAGTAGAGAAGGGTGACGATCAGAGGGAGCGAGAAAGAGAATGTCGTCGACCGAAAAATGGCTCAGCGTGTCGTTAAAGTACAGAAGTCGATTTCCGCCAAAGATGTAGAAGAATGAGGATGGTAGAAAATGGCACGAGAATGACTGGGAAGGAACGAGAGACCATTTTGGGGCCAGCCAGCGGAGGAAGTAGAGAGGTGGTGGTGGATGGTGTAAGTGGCAGGAGCGGGTCAGAGCAGAGCGAATTTAGGAAAGAGGCAGCACAACCCTATGGGGCCCTCCTTCCCGCTATTGACGTTGTCCAGAGAATGTGCACACCACCATGGCAGACCGAACAGGGAGCCCCTCTTACTGTCATACGCGGCTAACAAGGACACAACAATGGGACAAACTCAATAGCACAAGGTCAATAATTTATATTTTCCACAATATAAGAATGCGAGGACTGGCTACGGCGAGGTCTGTAAATGGCAAAGTTGCGAGAGGACAGACCAGAAAGCGCACACCGAAAAGCTCCAAAGCAGGAAAGAGCAGAC